TAAAAGAAATATTATCAAAGGCGGGGTTAAAGGAGGACTATTAATATCCTATAGTTAATATCCTATTACTACTAGAAGGTAGTACTAGAAGAGGTAGCCTCTTTTCTATTTGGGCGATTCTTATTACGTTATAATAATTATATAGATCTATATTATTAATACTATATAGGTATATTAATAAGTCGATTATAAGGTAGGGTAAGTAATACTATAGCTAGTAGAATAGTATATAGAATAGTATAGTTATTAGCTAGGTTATTTAATAGACGCTATATGAGAGAAAAAAATAAGGAAGTTAATATTATATTAATTATAAGCTTATCTACTCTAAATAATATTAGTTTACCAAACGCTAAAGTCTCTATTAGAAGCTATTAAATATCTAAATAGTAGTAATTAAAACTAACTAGTAATATTAGTGCTAACTAAGTTAACTATAGATATACTACTAACTACTATATATAAAGTATATAGCTAATATAATAATATTATAATATAGTAAAGTTAATTAATTATTATCTGTTAGCTAATATATTCTTTAAGGAGTATTGAAGTATTATTATATTATATCACGTAGCGTATATACCGCTATATTAATAAAAATTAAAAATTCTAATTAATTAATTAATTTATAGTTATTTTTTAAAAATTTATAAATTTAAATATTTTAATTTATTATTTGAAATATAATAATCTTCGCTTTACTTCAACAATTAATATTTCTTAAATTTTAAAATTTTAAAAAGTTAAATTTTATTTTTTTCAACTTTTTTCGATATTTAATTTAAATATAAAACTCTTTATTATTTTTAATTATATAAAAGTATAATAAAGAATAATAATAATAATAATTATACTATTTCGAAATTATATATTTTCAATATGGAGAGAAAGGGTGGATAATATAGTAGTAATTCCGCCGATCTAGAATTTTGAAAGTCGCTTTAATTATATTTTGGATAGTTCGTGGGTACGAATCTCACTCCCTTTACCTCTTTATTATTATTATCCCCACAAAAAATTAAGTCTTGTGTGATTTTTCCCAACCCCAGTCTTAGAAGGGTATTAACTAGTTAATATCTTAAAAGATTTAACTAAAAAAAAAAAAATTAAAAAAAAAAAAAAAAAAAAAAATAAAAAAAAATAAAAAAATAAAAAATCTAATAGATAGTATCTTAATAGATCTACTATTAAAAATGCTGACTATTAAATTAGCTATGTTAGCCTACTATCAATCTGTACCCTTCCCAAAAATTTGAAGCCTATAGAAGGCTAAATCTTGATTTTCCTTTCTCTTCTGTATTTAATATAGGAAACTCCTCATAGTCCCTGACTGCATAGGAGTATAATGAAGAATAAATAAATAAATATCCGGTATGGAGAGGAGCTCAGATCACGTGACGTTCCCTCGAGCTTCTGAGAAATAGCCACCCCCCAAGGTCCCGCCTTACTGGGAACGGAAATCCACCTTGCGAAGCAGCCCGCATAGAGACAACCAGCTTCCAGCTTCCTGCAGCAGTAAGCAAAACAACGATGCAACGGGTCATTTGCCGCCACGATTTGAAACACCCGGTAGAAGTGCGTTCAGACTCGCCATGGGGCCAACTATGCGATGGCTACGGAGTACGACCGGCCCTTCCTCCACCGGCGTCTCCCGTCGGCGGTTCCGCCGGCCATCCTTGTATCCACATCTATTCCAATGGGAGTCCAACATATGGCCATCGCATGAAAGCACATGCGGCTAGAAATCCGGTGCAAAAGAATCCTTTCTTCAGCCAGACACATCGATCAGCAGCGATTGAATGGTTTTTTATACATATACGATGGCATCTCCCGCAACTGTTTCCAGTTTATACCCCCAGAATATACCATCCCAACCCACCTTGAACTAGGCGTCATCTCCAAGTGCTTCGGTCGCATAATGGCGATTACCCCAAAGCCTACGGTGGGCTTCGTTGGCCTAGGGGCCATGGGATTCGGCATGGCAATCCATCTTGTCAACCAGGGCTACACAGTCAAGGGTTTCGACACTTGGGCTCCTGCCTTGGAACGGTTCAAAGAAGCTGGAGGTATAGTGGCAGCGTCGTTGGACGACTCTGCCAAAGGATGCATGTACTATGTTTGCATGGTGGCTTCCACGCCCCAGGTCCAAGCTGTTCTATTTGACGATGCTAGACCTATTGTTAATGGTATGTAGGCACCAAATCCCCTCGCGAAATCTTGCTCTTGCTAACTATACCCATAGCGCTACCCCATGAGGCAACCCTGATACTCTGCTCTACCGTACCCGCTTCATATGCTCAGTCAGTCCGTGACCAGCTGGTGTCGCGTGGTAGGGGTGATATATCTTTCATTGATGCACCCGTCTCTGGTGGCGCCATACGTGCTGCCAACGGGTCCCTGTCGATTATGGCTGGAGGTTCAGACACGGCACTCAAACGTGGCGAGCCCTTACTTGCTGAGATATCAGATACGGCCAAGCTGTACCTCGTTGCTGGTGGTGTTGGAGCGGGAAGTAACATGAAAATGGTTCATCAGGTCTTAGCAGGTTTACATATTCTTGCTGCTAGTGAAGCCATGGGATTCGCTGCTCGACTAGGGCTTAATGCACAGGAAGTCTGCAAAGTCATTATTGCCTCAGATGCCTGGAGTTGGATGCACGAGAACCGCTCTCCGAGGATGCTGAGAGAGGACTATTTCCCGGGTGTTAGTGCTTTAACTATAATCCTCAAAGACGTCGTAAGTTGCCTGGCACTTCCTTGAAAAAATTCTTGCATGGCAGCTTTCTAATTACATATAGACTATCATCACTAAATCCGCACGTATAAAACATTTCCCAGTACCGCTCTCGTCTGCCGCTGAGCAGATTTACGTTACTGGCCTATCTCGCGGCTTCGGCCCTCATGACGATGCAGGCATGGTACGCCTGTATTACTCGGAACCCATCACCAAGGTCGCATCTTCCGCCACCAGGACTCCAGATTCCAAATCCTGGGCCACAAACCTCGTCATATCACTTCTTCGTAATATCCATCTATGCGCAGCTGCCGAAGCTGTTGCTTTTGCTCGCTTCTTGGACCTTGACATGACTCAGTTCTACGAGCTAGTCAACGCAGCAGCAGGTGGTAGTTTCATATTTAAATCCAAGGCGACGGAAATGATTAGTGGTATTGGTCAGACTGCTGTACCCACTGGCAGAACATTGGATGAAGCTGTTGATGAGCTTTCCGCTGTTGTACAAGAGGCGAGAAACCTAGATTGCCCCATGTACCTGGGTGCTGCGGCTTTAGGGATGATGCACCAGGCAAAGTATCGGGGATGGGGTAAGGGGCCAGATTCGAGTGTCGTCAGGCTCTGGGAGATGCATAACGGAGATAGCTCGAGTTCGACGTAGCTCCACAACTCATAACAACTAGTCATCGGATATATAGCGAATACATTTTTCTTGTTTTTTTTCTTTTGTTTTGTTTACTTTTATCCATTCTTTATTGCCGCGACTGGCATCAAAACACATCAATAAGCAAATACTGCCATGAGAATATGCCGGAGCAGGCAAATATCACACTCGGGATTTTGTCTAGAGCGTTTCGTCCGCCCAAGCTTTCGCTGCAGATCCATCCATACTCCGGAGCTGTCCCGGTGCCTCCCCGGACGAACTCCCACACTCCGTACAGACCAAAGCATTCATTAACCGCCTTCTTCACCCATAAGACGATGCAATTCTCAGAATAAACCCGTCAACTCAATACCCTACAGCTTCCCGGACACAGTTTTATCAAGGAACATACCTACAATATGCCGCACCCATCACTAAAAGATAACAGGGCGCTGCCCCTCCTCGTCGCAGCCGTGGCAGGCAAATATGCTGTCCCAGGCATGTGTTGCTATAACCTCGAAGGTATTCTGGCCACTGTTCGCGCCGCTGAGGCCAAAAGGTCCCCGGCCATGGTTCTTCTCTTCCCCTGGGCTATCGAGTACGCCGACGGGTTGCTCGTGCAGGCTGCCGCAACAGCATGTCGCAACGCCTCAGTTCCCGTAACACTCCACATGGACCACGCCCAGAGCCCTGAAATCATCAAACGGGCTGCCGACATGTCTCCTACCTTCGACAGCATCATGGTCGACATGTCACACTATGAAAAGGCTGAAAACCTAGCTCTTACCCGAGAATTGGTGGAATACTGCAACGCTCGGGGAATCGCCACAGAGGCAGAGCCAGGCCGTATCGAAGGTGGAGAGGATGGTGTTGCTGATACGGCTGATCTAGAGGGCCTACTGACTACGCCAGAAGAGAGCCAGGAATTCGTCGATACAGGAATTGACTGGCTGGCCCCTGCGTTTGGAAACGTGCATGGCGAGTATGGTCCACGAGGCATACAGTTGGATTACGGCCGACTCCAGAGAATCAATGAGGCAGTGGGAAAGAAGACGAAGTTGGTTCTCCACGGTGCTGACCCGATGACGAAGGAGATTTTCGAGAAATGTATTGAATGTGGTGTGTCGAAAGTGAATATTAATAAGGTCATGAACGGCGAGTATATGAAGGTGCAGAAGGAGTTTGCTGGCCGTGTACCAATCACTAAGTTGCATGAATTGGCGACTGATGCCATGCAACGAGCTGTCGAGAGATCCATGGATCTTCTGGGCTCGGCAGGGAAGGCTGCCTAGAGAGACCATAGGATAGATGTATATATGTGAACCAAAGAAGCAATAGGCTGGTATCTGATCCTCGTTTCAATTTCATATATGTACAGGGAAATAGCTGGTATTCTTATCGCCATATTTGTAACGACAGACAGCAAAGGAAACAGAGGGCAAAACCAGCACAGGCGGGAAGAAAAATATTTCGGAACAGAGGAAATAATATTGGTAATGCTAGATAGGCAAAAAGAGACACGCGGAAAGCTATGAGATACAGAGGGTAAGTATAACAAGATTGTGGGGATCAGTATATGAAGCGTAGAAATAATCAGGTGTAGTGGTAGCCAAGGGTATTTGCATTAGTTGAAGGACATCATTTTCTTGATTTCAGCAATGGCTTTTCCGGGGTTCAGGCCCTTGGGACAGGTTCTTGAGCAGTTAAGAATGGTATGGCATCTGTACACACTCATGCTGTTGTCGAGAGCAGCCTTGCGCTGTTCAGTTCGCTCGTCTCGAGAGTCAATCAGCCATCTGTAGGATTGGAGGAGGAGAGCAGGTCCAAGGTATTCTTCACTGTTCCACCAGTAGGAGGGGCAAGAGGTCGAGCAGCAAGCACAGAGAATACATTCATACAGGCCGTCAAGCTTCTTTCGGTCAGCTGGCGACTGGCGGTTTTCACGACCCTTTTTAAAAGATAGCTGGTTAGGATCAAATCGTCTACTTCGAAATGTAACCTAAACATGCGACTTACATCGGGAGATGGAGTATCACGTTGCAGATAAGGCTTGATAGACTTGTACTGCTTGTAAAATTGTGTCATGTCTGGAACAAGGTCCTTGACAACATAGGTGTGAGGCAGAGGATAGATGCGAGTCTCCTTGGTAGTGTCGGTAGGAGTGCGGCCTGGATTTCAAATTGTCAATTCCACCATATATCATGTCACAAATTGCCCTATGGTGAATTGATGTATTCGACTTACAGAGACATGCGAGAGTGTTTACTCCGTCAATGTTCATCGCACAACTTCCACAAATACCCTCTCTGCAGCTTCTCCTAAACGTCAAGGTCGGATCGTCTTCATTCTTGATCCTGATCAAAGCATCCAAAACCATGGGACCAGTCTTGTTCAAATCGATAGTATACGTCTGCATGCGAGGTTTTGCGGTTGGCTCGTCAGGGTTCCATCGATAAATCTTGAAGGTCTTCATCTTTGGTGCTGGTGCGCTGGTGGGCGCGGAGGAGGCCTCCGTGGGCTTTGCGCTCGCCTCAACGGTGGCATACGATCGAGAGGCCATGACGGGCCGCATGAGAGCGCTTGAGCCCCGGAGGAGACGAGAAGTTGAGCGGAGAGATGCCATGGTGGACGGTGTGAAGTTTCGCTCGTTCCCAACGACGGGTGTGTGTTTTCAAGCAGACCAGAGCCCGGGATCAGAACAGTCGGCCTCTAGCTATTCCACAGACTAGCAATTGATGCACGAAATATCGGTTAGCGCTTGCACACTGTGCTACTGCAGCTCGTTGTCGCCGTCGATGGTCGATGGTTGAAGTTCGAATGTCTTTCTCTTGCAACCTCGGATGGGGGAGTTCTTCGGGCAAAGTCGGTTATGTCAGCGGCCCCAGCCAATCAGCGTGCAGGCATTACCAGCACCACGAAAACAACATCGCAAGGGCAATTTTATTTTTATAGCGCTTCTGCCGGTTTCAACTTCGACGTTGACAGTGACAGCAAGTCATCTTTGCCGCGGTGAGCGGCTTCATGTCGGCGTCGGGATGGAGAGAGACAGCAATGCATGCTAGGCGAGTCAGCGAGGCAGCAAGAGCGCGCCACAGGGATCAAGTCCTGGCCTTCTTCTTGGTTAGAAAAAGGCTGGAGTGCTTGCTTGCTTCTTCTTCTCTCTAGATCATGGATTGGTTCAGATTACATATTATTTTGCTGCTCAAGCTGACCGGTTCGATATGCTAGGATTGAGAGGACTATACGGTCTAGACTCATTTATGCCCTCGCCCTGCGATTATGCTACAACGGTCCGAGTTCTTCTCCATATTTCAGCGGAGTTTTGTGTTGACTCAAGTTCAATCACCCAGACTGGCTAATGTCGAGGTTCATACTTACATATAAGACTGCCCTCATACGGCCACCACAACTTGGCGTGTTTGGAGAAGAGAGGTGAAGATAGATGTTACCTGTGCCGACGCCAGAGGTTCGATCTTAACGAGATGTCATTCATGCCAATTCTCGCTTGACAAGCCACATCCTCCATGCAAGTTTCCTTTAGTAGTCAACATCCAGACAATCATATCTGAATGCCAAACACACAGACACGTCGTGGCCAAGTGATAACTACTTGAAGGATTCTACCCTGGAGAATTGCGTAACCCACAACCTCTTGGGCTCGCAAAACAATCCTGAAACGGTTACAGGATAGCCAGCTGCGGTGGTAGAATTCATGCCAATAATATCCCAACTTATCTCCGTTCGCTAAAATCAGCTCTGGGTAAAATCCGTTCAAAGGCTGTAGCTACAATGCTGCGCCTCCAGATGGAGAGAATGCCACTTGCGGTTTAGTTTACGCACTTAAGGAAAGCATTACGAGCCTTGGCATAGGTTAAACTCATCCAGCCCAACAGCCCGATGGATCATCACAACCTTATCTTGCTCATGCCGCAAGGACACTCATCTCCTGGATGATCGCCAGGTGAAAGATGAAGAAATATTAAAGCGAGACGGCGCTTTATAGACGGCAGATGGGTCAATCCAGCTGTCGATCACGCAGTTTCTGTCATGTTGTCGGCAAACGTACCGTTCCTCAGGTATTTGGTTATCGGTAGTGGACCGATGTATATCCGCAATTAACCCTCTTTGCCTGGCTGCCCTGGCTTCCAGGGTCAATATTAGGATATGAAATACGCAGGTTCTTTATTGTCGTTGCACTGCCTGAAGCTCGAGACAAAGCTCTGACAGGATACCCGCCACGGGGTTATGCAAAAACTTTGAGCCATGCAAGAGGTTAAATCTTAAGCGCTGCCTAGCCATGGAGTTTAACTGGCCTTGACATGATTTGGGTTGGGAAGAATAGATCCTTCCATGCTCGGGCGTAAGAGACACTAACCCTTGTATTAAGGGACGATCCTCCTCGTGGCTTGCACCTGTTGACCTTCATGGATGCCGGTGCATCCTAGTCATGTCCTTCGCTTGGCTTTCCTAAAGTTTACCTGCACATGGCGTTAGTTAGTATGGACACGGTGCATTAGGCCTCCGTTTGATTCTGGAGGTTCTGCTTTTGATACCAGATCCTTTAACTCCAAGGCTGAACAGAGCCGTCTCGTATATAAAGATGGCAACTCCTTCGTCAACTTCTCATGCAACTGCAACAATCATCAAAGCAGCAAACAATCCAGACATATCTACAGCATCTTTACATTCCTGTTAGAAAAATACCACCCTTCTACTCGGTCTTCTCTCATCTGGTTAAACGCCCCTATTGATTATCTCCCTTCCAGTCACCACCACCTTACATTCTCCACAATGGACAAGTGTACTCTAGAGACCTGTCCCATAACGGAGAGTATCTACCAGTACAAGCCATCGCTGGCCGGCAATGCTGCACTCCTCGCCATCTTTGCTGCCTCCGGCATTGTCCACTGCCTACAGTACTTCTTTTTCAGAAACGGTTCTTACTCCATCCCCATGATCCTGGGATGTCTGACTGAAGTTATTGGATACGTCGGTCGCGTTCTCCTCGCCGATGATCCTTTCAGCCAGAATGGTTTCCTCATTCAGATCTGCTGTCTTACTCTCGCTCCTGCTTTCTTCTCGGCATCGATTTACTTCTGTCTCGCTGATATCGTCCGCCTCTTCGGTGAGGAAGCGTCATGGATTAAACCACAACATTATGCCTGGATCTTCATTCCTTGTGATCTTGTCAGCTTGATTCTTCAGGGTACCGGTGGTGGTCTTGCCTCGGTTGCCGCCGATAAGGGCACAGACCAGGCTCCCGGAACAAACACTATGATTGCCGGCTTGGCTTTCCAGGTCATCACCCTCGTCGTCTTCATCTTCCTTACCCTTGGATTCATTATCCGTACCATGAAGTCCCGAGCTCTTCAAGAGAAGGAAATGGGTGCCCGACCAAAGCTTCCAATCAGCCGTGATCGACTAGTGACTTTCGCCGTTCCATTTACTGTCGCCATCGTCACTATCTTCACTCGTTGCGTCTACCGAGTTGCTGAACTGAGTGGGGGCTGGGAGGGAGACCTGATTCACGAAGAGGTCACCTTTGTTATCCTCGAAGGAGTGTAAGTTTTCCAACCGGCTCATTTATACTCTCTATCACCGACTAACATATTCCAAATAGGATGATTGCGATTGCCGTTATCTGCCTGAACATCTCGCACCCTAAGCTTCTCAACCAAAAATAAACTCTCTATTTTGTCTGTTTCCCTATTTGCATTAATACCCCATTTTTATAGATCATTTACTTGTGCTCAATACTGCCATGGTTCCTTGTTTTCCCCTATATACCTCAATGTATCTATCTCGTCCCTCAACATTCGCCTTCCCCTTTGCTTTATCTGATGACCCAGTTCTTGTGCTAATACAGTTTTTACCGTGGTAACTATAAAATGATGATATTTTGATAATTACATGCTTACTAGAGTAAATGAAATGGCCTTTTCCTACGCTACTGTCAACTAGGATACTACCTCTATTACATAAGCAGCTTCATCATGACCTAGTAGCCATGATATTTTTTAAGCAAGAGCTGATTATATTCCGCTATCTAAGTCCATCAAAGTAATAGTGATTTGAAATGCACTATTCCCACCGCCCGCCCTTTGATGGACCTTACATGTAATCTAAGTGGGGTGGCCCATCAACACTCGTTTTGTTTTTGATACATGCTATCCCCGAATACACACAAAATAAAATTTCACATCAACCATCTTCAACATACAATCCATCTCCAAGTACAAAGTGATACCCGTTTCCCACCGTCTCGCTCAAGTACCGTCTCTTCGTATCGGCCACAGGCCGCTATCCTTTACCTAGCCGCTTTATTACCGCTTGCTTCCATTTCCTTAGTCTTGGCCGAATGGGTAGTGAAGGCGGCTTGAACATCTGCTGAAGGCCCCGCTGTAACTGCCGTCGTGTGGATTCCTCGAACGGTTTCGAGGCAAGGAAGTCTAGATCTTCCTCATCTAGTAAAGAGCCCTCTTCGGACAAGTCGAGTTTGTGAAACCATGATGCTTGGTACAGGTTTATCTCGAAAGGCGTGTGCTAATAACGCACTATGTTATTAATATTCCTTCTGCGCTTGATATTGATTGGTACTTACTAGAGCCTCTGGCTTCCTCTGTGGCTTCTTCCGTGGCTTCTCCATCCTCTCCTTCACTCTCGTCGCCAAATAGTCCATCTCCTCTGTTTCCCTTGGTCGTTCACCCGCCTGTTTTCGTGGCGGCAGTTCTTCCGGTTCATCGTGTTTCTCCAGTTCGCTGTGTACCCCCGATTTATCGTCCTCCTCTGGTACATTGTGTACCTCTAGTACGTCGTCTTCCTCCAGCTTCTTGTGTTCCTCTCGTTCCTCCGGCTGCGTTTGTTTCTCCTGTCCTCCAGGACCTTCTGGTCGTTTCAGTTCATCTAGTTCCTCCAGTTCTTCCGGCACGGGCAGTTCGTCTAGTCCATCTGGTTCCTTTGTTTTCTCGAGCTCTTCTGGTTTCATCGATGCTCCAAGTTCCTCTAGTTCTTGTGGCTCTTTTAATTCCTCTGGTTCGTTTGGTTCTTCTGGTTTGGTTTCCCCCCCATCTGATGCTGTTTGGTGGGATTTTGCGGTCAAGAAAGTGGTTCCTGTGCTCGTGCTACCACCAGATGAGGTCCAAGTTACCGGGTATAGTTGGTCCAGAGGCATCCCCTTGTGGTGTGTATGGTTGTGAACTGATATTAATCGAACCTGGAAGGCGCAGTCTGGGTGACGACATCTGTCCATGAGGTGCGCTTTGGCGAAGTCCGGGGAGATGGATCCATTGCCGGGGGAGATCGGGTTCGCTGGAAGAGTGCGCAGCCAGCGCTTTACCCTGTCAGAGTTCTCAAGAGTGAGTTGTATGGCAAGGAGTTGGTCGCTCGTGAACTTGAGATCCATGATGAAGCTTTTCGTAGTCGTGTCTTTTCTTGGGTCGTCCTTTAGTCGTTTATTTTTGATGTTTGATTCTTTTTCCCCAATATGCGATCCGCTGTTTTCTCGGGCCTCGTTTAGGTAAGTTGAGCTGTGAATGCTTTATTGTATTGGGATGACACAATCGGTATTTCGGGAGTTATTGGTTTGAATAAGATACCAGGAAGGGATGTCTTCGAGAGTCGTCAGCTGAGATATCACAGTGGAGATGTCGATGTTTGTCGGTTATCACAGGAGTGACATTAACTCGGCGTTTAAACTAACCAACTGTTCAGTGAATTTAGATATGATATTTCAGGCTAAAGGTCGCACTCGCGTTGAAATTTACCTTGCAAGTAGCGGTTTGTAGAGGTATACTGTATTGAGATTTTTTGGTGTGGAGAGAGAGATGGAAAGAGAAGAAGAGAAGAAGAGTCATAAGAGTCAGAAACGGCTGAGGCGAATACATACTCGCGCAATAGCTCATACGTCAGCGATTTTACCGATGACGTCCCAGTAACAGTGTAGAATAGTCAATGATGCTATCCCCTACTCTCAGATGGGAACTCTATACTTGTGGAACTGGGACGAACCTTAAACTCACGCCAGTATCCAAATATAGCGCGCTTAGCGGCTAAGGAGCAGGACCGTGCAAGGTGAAACCACAAGCTTAACGTTTGATCATCATATTATGCTATAGCATTGCCATCTTCCTCATGTGTGATTATTACTTGGTTGACCTCCTACAGCCCCTCCTACAAAATCATGTTGTAACAGAACACCTTACATCTAGCAATCTCCTGTGCCGTTGTATAACATAGTTTGTCTACATCCAGCAGAAGCCCTCAGAAACACCCCGTTAATATCACATGTAAGCTCTATGTGTAGGAAAATTGGCGATCCAGACAGCCACTCATAGTTTGAGGCTTCTAGGAGTCTGCCAGAGCCCACTCTCGAATGATCGCTGAACAGCAAGCAAGCTTTCCACGCCGCCAACTCCATTAATTTCTGCCACCCCCCCATGTTTCAGTACGATGATGTCGATGACTCGTTGAAACATGTGGAGCCTGAGGCTAAACGAGCCCGAAAGAAGCTTATTCTCGCGATTCTCTTCTCGAGCTCGCCGTCGAGAAGCTTCTCGCAATGCTCGACCAGCCGCGCGCTGGACTATATCGCTATCACGTGATTGTAAAGAAGCACGGACAGTGGGGTGAATCAGATGACCCCGCTAACTCTAAAGAGTGGGTTTGTGATGACATCAGGAAAAGCTTGGCTCGAACGCTTAAGTTATCAGCGCCGCCCCGAACCCATGAAAAAAAGCCTCCTCGCTCTGCTCTTCTTTCCACTTCCCACCCGCCAGAACCTCGTCCGCCTGCCCAGCATCGCGTGTATCTAGTGCGTATACTTGAGCTGCAGCCTCTGTATTCTAGAGTACTTGTCAAGCAGAGCCCGCTCGGAGCTTGTCCACCGCTGTGTCCTCCACCGCCACAGCTCAGTCGCCCCGCCATTGTTCTTTGGGCGTTCCCGTCTCGTGTTTCGTGTTCTGTGGTTATGGACAACCTTCTGAGCCAGCCATATATGCCAGGTCCAGGAGCTCCAGCTCCAACCCCAGGCCAGGCTCACCCTCTTCCCCATCCACAACACCAGCATCAGCAGCATCAGCAACAGCAGCAACAGCAGCCGCAGCAGCAGCAGCAACATGCGCAGCACCAGCACCAGCATCAGCATCCACAGCCCCATTCGCATACCCTCTCCCAAATCCAGATCCAGCCACAGCTGCAGCCTCCATCTCAGGCACAGGCGCCAATAACTCTTCCCCCTGTACGGCAGCCGCATCCGGAGCCTGAGCATACCTCTCTCACCCTCGATGGCTTTGAATATGTCCTTGAGGTCGTGCAGCAACCTATACGCGCGCGTATGTGTGGGTTCGGCGATAAGGTATGCTGTGTCCGCTGCTGTTCACGTATTTTATCTCAGTAGTACCGCTAACAACTCTCAGGATCGCCGTCCCATCACTCCTCCACCCTGTGTTCGTCTCATTGTTAGAGATGCCACCACAAAACAGGAAGTAGAAGCAGAGTATGTGGCAATCTAGCATTCAAGTACGGTCACCTTCCTGCTACACTTACTAACCAAATTGTGACAGTGAAATTGACACAACGTTCTTTGTCCTTACCGTTGATCTTTGGAATGCCGAGGGTGATCGTGAAGTCAATCTTGTTAGACATTCTGCGACCTCGCCTTCCATCTCAACTGCAACATCGTCTTCTTTTCCACCACCAACCCAGAACATGGCCCCAACAGGCCAGGCCTATTCCTCCTATCAACCCCAAAGCATGTATAGCCAGCCTCCACCAACCACTTACTCCTACTACCCCACCCAGAGCTATGCAGCCCAGACAGGGATGCCATATCCTGCTCCTCAGTCTGGTCCTGCCCAGAGTTACTATCCCCATGTCAATCAAGGATACTATACATCGCAATCACAGCAGCCAGTTGTGCACCATTTGCCCCCTGCACCTGTCGGCATGTTTACTCGCAATTTAATTGGAAGCCTGAGCGCGAGCGCTTTCAAACTTTCTGATCCCGCCGGAAAGCTTGGGATCTGGTTCATCCTGCAGGACCTGAGTGTTCGTACTGAGGGAATGTTCCGGTATGTTCTATTCATATGACTCTACCATCTTTGCTCCAAGCAGCCGCTAACCCAGTCATTAGATTGAAAATGAACTTCGTCAACGTGGGAACTCCCCAACAAGCTCTCAGTCGCTCTGGAAATACTTCAAGCAGTACCCCAGTCCTTAACCACGGCTCAGCTCCAGTTCTTGCGTCTGTCTATTCAGACGTTCTGCAAGTCTTCTCGGCAAAGAAGTTTCCAGGTGTCATCGAGAGCACACCGTTGAGCAAATGTTTTGCTATTCAGGGAATAAAAATTCCGATCCGTAAGGATGGTGTTAAAGGTGGTAGAGGAGGCGGTGCTGCCATGATGCTAAAAGGTGATGACGGCGATGGTGATGAACAATATGACGAGTAGAAAGTTATGGGTCCGCATCTGTTTGCGACTTTGCGTGCATCAGCCACGTCTTTATAAAAAGCAGGAGTGATGGTGCAATACCTCAGTATATTCCCACTTGACGTTTCCCAATTCTTTTCTTTTCTTTTCTTTCTTTTTCTTTTTTTTTTTTTTTTTAATTTTTCAATACTCGTTCAATCGGTCGTTATTTGTTAATTACTGGGGGCTACGGTTACGGTTTATATTTATCTCAAGTACTTCAATCTCGGGTTTGGTGCGTAATTTTGTATTATAACTTGTGTATATAACATTTTACCATCAGCTCTCGTTTATACCAGAGTAATACAACTAGAATTACGCGAATGCCTACCTTTGAGTAGCTATCCAAAAACCAGCTTATTGCGATTTGCTAGAGGATTATACCAGGAATCTGGGAGATGAGCATTACATGTATGTACGCACAAAGACGCATTTTGCTTAGTATTCGCAGAGCGGTGAGTAATGGCCAGGCGCAGCTTGGATAGAGAACAGTATCTTTCAAGCCGCACATTTGCAGGATCAACGTAATTATTACAAGGTATATACATGCATGTATACATACATATGTGAAGAAAGGAGATGAAATACATTAATATGTAGGTGCATTCTAAATGTCACTGCCGTTTGAAGTGGGTATCTTGCCTTATAAAAAAAACGAAAAAAGGGGGCTGGTGCAGGGCATAAACATAACAAACTCCCAGTGGGTGGTTAAATGTACGAAAAAAAAAAAAAAAAAAAAAAGGTAAGCGAGTCAGTAAAGAACCCAGTGTTTCCCCAGTGATAAGAATCGAATCAAGGATGCCGGGAAGTGAGAAAATTACCCGTCGATTAACAAAGAAATAAAATTAAAAGGAACTGACTGAGTCCTGGTGATGAGTCGTTATCCCTTCCCTGCTCAGAAGGCCTGCTCCCAAAGAGAGAGAGGTAGAGAGATAGAAAAAAAAAAAGTCAGAACGCATGCCCACAATAGCTATTGCTGCGAGATGAAGAGTATGAAATCATTTCCACTCGCCTCCCCATGGTTGACCTGGCTGGGGAGAGGGACCCCTGGCAATAACAGCTTGATCAATAGAAGTCGAGGAAGAAGGTGGTTCATTATTGTCTAATCCAGCAGGCTCATGGATAATTTCAATCGTGGTCTGTTGGTACACTTTACCAAAACCACCCTTCTCAAGCTGGTCAATAATGTCCTCGGTTGATTGATCGGCAAAAAAGGCAGGATTCTTCGCATTGTTTTTGTTTAACTTCTTGAGCTCGTACCCCTTGGGTTTCCGAGGATCCGGGGCAGCAGACGTTATTTGGCTATGACGGGCATTCGAGCCGGAACCTCCCTTTTCAGACGGCCGAGATAGCTCAGAGTCAAGTAGCAGTGCTTTGCGAGTCAATGTATACATGATGACGTCGACGGTGCCAGAGCTAGCGATGATAGCAGCAGCAATACATAGGTAGGTGAGCGATGGATTATTTCCTTGCATGCTTGCCATCCGGGCTGCGGCAATGGGGAGAGAGAGGAGAAGATATGCGAGGGGATAGAGAACCATATAGCCTGTGACCCGGCTCAGCCTGCCAAAATTCTCCCTCTGCCCACGGGCTAGCGCAGCCGACGCTTTCATTTTTCGCCGAAGATAGAAAAACAGAATGGTGTAAAGCATGATAGAGCCGAATTCCGAGAAGAAGATCCAGAGGTAATGGGCCCAAAATCTTTCTGCTTCGAAGTCGTCATCAATCCAGCACTATAAAATATTATTAGCGTCTCCTAGCCGTGATAACAAGAAAAAGTGCCATAGACAAGTGTAGCAGGGTAGGAAAGGGTTCATACCCATGCTCCAGACGGAACATATGTGTCTCTTCCATGTCTGATTGTTGGGATCAAGGCAAGGAGTAAACAGAAGCACCAAAGCCCAATGATACAGCTTACAGTCAGCTTGTATGATAGTTTCCTCCCAGCAACGACTGTTGCAAATGTATGGACTGCGATTGCGGCGACGAATAATCCACTTGACGGGTCACCTATCTGCAGCAGCCATCCTTGGATGAAGCAAAATGGGGAGCTAGCAAACAGGCCATCACTCTGTATCCAATGGGCTGAAATAAGAAATCCAAGGGCAACATGGAGATCCGCCAGCAGCAGGTTGTAGATGAGAACAACAAACTGATTATGCCCAAGATAAGATCCGTCGTGTTTATGCCAGAATACAAGCCGATGTGTGAGGAAGCCCAATAGCCCTAGAACCGCAACGACAGCGACCAATGATGCCGCCACCACCATGATGGTTCCCTTCCGGTAGTCGTCTGGCAACGGTGATACATCTAGTGTGATATTTCCCCTTGCCTCAAGGCTGGCAGTCTCCTGTATGGCTCTGTAATGGAGCTTGAGGGCATGCCGGAGGAGCGAGGCACCTATAGGCATGATGGTCTCGCGCTCAGTCGTCCCGTCAAAGTGTATGTATTAGATGGGATGAATGTTCCCAGCTGGGACGGGGGACCGGTAAACGAGTAATAAGGGTTCAATGCGTAGGTATATCAAAAATTGCAACGATGTCCATTGAGCAAGGGCTGGCTCCTTATTCAACTGGAAGATAGGGAAGAACACGGATATATTGGGGAAAAGGAAGTAGAAAAGATCTTGAGAGGCTTGACATATTTGGAAGTGGATATATGGGGATATAAATGCCTGCAGCATCAATGGGACTTGTTCTCTTTTCTAAGATTGGTCTTTCACTCTTGGGATTTCGGCCACAGAGACCCAGACGATGGATACGCTCTCCACAACAACACCGTATCTTATGCTTATCCGGGTTAACTCGAAGACAATCATATCCGGGGCAATGGTAGTTAGAGATTTGCCTCTAGCAGGGTATGTGACACCGATCTAGCTGGTGTCGTACGAGGACGCACAGTGTGGATGCGCTTCACTTTCCCGGACAAAGGTGAAGGAGGGTCCGTTTTCCGATCTGATATAGCAGTCTTGTCATATTATTGCAAGTCATTTGGCCAGCCAACTGGCTTGTCCGGCTGTGACCTTCCATTCAGCCACAAAAACATACTCTGTAGATGTCAGGCGCCGTAACGAAATCACTACCCCGGGGGCATGAGCTTCCAGAAGCCCCGTAGAAATATATCAAACCCTAAACTCGTGAACCGTCTATATCGCAAGGGGAAGGGAATGGACCTTGTTCTCTCTCTTTTTTTTCTTTTTCTTTTCTTTTTTGTCCCTTTCCCCTTTCTTCGCTCTTCCACCAGGCCGTTGAAGGCTTGTCGGTTGTTTGTTTCCCCCCTTCGGAGATGTTGCCTCCTCTGCGTTTGACACCGATGGGAGACAAGGCGCGACTGGCTGCAGGTCCGCTGGCCAAAGCCGCCTCCCAGCAAAAATGGCGGTCGAGTAACCAGCAGATGTCCAGCACATAGACGCACGCACAAAAGCTGTTCAACCGCCTTTCATCCCATGATGCCTGTCCTGCTTCTGCTGACCAGCAAGATGAGACAGGAAACGGGGTCTTTCTTCTCTTCCGGCGGACGGGAGGAAAATATCTAAAACGTCTCCACCAGGCGCGGCAGACCGCATCTGGGTTTGCACCACTCTCGTAGATCCAGAGCAATTCTCGCAAAGTAACTAGCTGATCAACAAGCTGTCACGCTGGCTGATGTGCTTCGACAACGCTGCCAATGAATGCTAGTTAGTTAGTGACGCCCATAGCCAGAGTGGTGAGAACGCTTCCACCTCTCCGCCCGGAGAATATACCTATTATTATGCCAGCCATGAGCCGAGAGATGCACCGCCCCCTACTTTTACGGAGTACCCGGATGCGACTATCGACGTACCGAGGATAGAAGAAATAGTAGAAGAAATAGGACATCAAGAGAATCGGGTAGTTGGTTATGCTGTTTGGTGGCGGCTGTGCGATGCCGTGTCTCTCCTTGCGTCGGAGAGACAACAGACAATTGTCCCTGCGACATGGTTAGCAGAGCGCTCGGGACTGCAGGGGCTGCAGATACGATAACTAGCTAGGTAGCTCGTTACTTAGCAGTTATATGAGCTAGTTAAGTGATGTGTGATTATATCCCGTAGCTATGCACATTGGTTGTTGATAGCCGGGGGAGCAGGCTCTACCCTTGCAGCCGGGTGGGAGGACAGTCACCTCAGTGCTGTCAGGATAGCGTGCGCCGTGAGGCCTCAGTAGTAGTAACTAGTATGTCTGAGCACAGCTCGTATCATCTAGATGTGACGCTGTCCTCGCTGTCTTGACACGTAGGATCGTGCCTTTCAGGGGCATCGATGCTCGCCTCTGGCAGTCCAACACTGCTTGCCGTCACACTCCACGTCGCTCTCCAGGGCCTCAGAGGGCGGGCTAACCGAGAGATCGGGTAATATTTAATATCCCCAGATAGCACATTAATGTACATGAGGCTATTCGTGGCTCGATGCCACCAAGCCAAAAAAAAAAAAAAAAAAAAAAAAAGGGCTGTAGGTAATATATATTTAGTAGCTCGACTGGACAAATTAAGAACACCACTGACCAAGATCAGCAGCACGAAGCCACAAGCCACCAGAAAACGGCCTGCGAGTGTTGTTATTAAACCGTAGATCCGTGACAATCCAGAAGCGAGGAGGAGAGTTTTGGATACGAAGTACTGGCTATGTTAAATCTGATCAAGGCTAACTCAGTCCCCAGATCAGCACATACTAAGGGTTCTGGAAGCCAGAGGCAAAGAGGAAACTAACTGCTACAAGATAACTAACGATGCTATGCAATTGAAAAGAAATCAAAAGGCAGACGTTACGTCGTGAGGGGAGAGAAGAAACAAATCTAAAGGTAGAAGAAAGGGCGATGTACGTTGTATCTTTTGTGTCAAGACCAGAATGTATATAAACCAAAGGCTCGTAGGAATTGAGGAAAGAAGTCGTATGAGCATCTTCGGAGCTGACAAGAAGGCACGGAGGCAAAGCAAGAAGAAGATAACTGGAGGGGGGAGGGAAGAAAGGGGGAGGTAGGAAGATCAAGGGCGAATGCAAGGGTGCAAAGGGAACCGATCTGTTTTACCTATGGCGGACCATGTCACATGAAAGGAGCGCAACAGGAGAACCAAGCCGTAAATCAATGCCTAGTCGGGTATTGGGTTGACTGAAAAGCTGAGAGATAATAGCCTAGCTCTGGCGCCATCGGATAACTAAGACGCGAGAGATGCGGGTCGGCTAACAGAGGTCAGATCCAGGGCTGGAAGGAGAAATATATCAAACAGCAATCTAGGAGTGGAAAGCTGGTAGGAGATGGTAAGTGAAAAAAAAAAGATCATTTCCCTGGGCGTATTGGAACAACATATTCGTTGTATTCATCAGGCTCTTCCTCGACAGGCGCAGGTGTCCTTCGTTCCGTTCGGCGCTTGGGCCTTCGTCTCCGGTTGGAACTGATATTGCTCGCCGATTCCGAGGGTGCAATTGAAGCTCCATCATCAACGTCTTCGTCCGTACCGCTCTCGAATTCAGCTGGCGTCCCTATTGGCACAGGGGTGCCTGCAAGTATCTGAATATTCGATCTACAGCCTCTGCGAGCTTGACTAGCGGCCGTAAGGCCGGCACCGCGCTCACGCAGCGCTCGACGGACCATTTCCGCCTTTCCATGCAAAATCTCAAAGGCGTCTTCAAGCGCCTCCATGCCAAGGAAGATGTCCCTTTCGACTTCCGCTAACGCGGCGATTTCTGTTTCTTCGTCGATAGATATAGGGGCGCCATACGTTCCAGCCGCTGCAGTAGAAATGGAAGCTCCAGCACGCGGCTGGCTGGCTGAACGCATAGTTTGGTTGCCGTTCCTTTGAAGGCTGGAGTGGGGGTCGAATGGAGGTTCTGTTGCCGAGGTTGGCACAGAGTTGTCCTCCGCTCCACTCCTCAGGAAGCCGTCAAAACGGCCTGAGATGAGGATGTCCCACTCGTCGTCACTGATGGCGGCTAACGTCGCCAGAACATTGTGCATGTCGGGGTGCTTCACCATGTACAAGGCCGTCTCAGGGTCGCGAGGTAAGCTCTGCAGCCTATAGAGACGGTAGATTGCTACAGCCCCTAGTACCAGGCAAGGTGGCCTGTCCGGAGGCTTTGGCGTCTCCTTCTTGGGCACTGCTGGGCCCAGGGGGAACTCAAGTAGGCTTGCAAAGGGGGCTCTTTGTTCGGGATCCAGGTAAGTTAAAATAGCAAACGTCAGTGTCTCATCGTCAACTTCTCCTGGAGGCTCAGCGGGCTGGTCGGGCTGCCGAGATAGCCATTTGTCCACAGCCTGTTTTGTTTTCCTTGATTGTCTGATATAATGGTCTCGATATTCCTCAGGTACGTCGATATCAAGCTTCTGCATTGGTATGTGCTCTTGTGTGTTTTCAATGGTCGCCGGATCAAGCTCTGGTTGCATCCGGAAGGGTGGCCACGCCGGCAATTCGCCTCGGCCCGAAACTAATTCCAGGACCTCGCCCCAGCTAACCCCTGGTTGTACTTCATTTTCTTCCCTACCACAACACATCGGGCACTCGCAAGACTCCGACGAAATATCTCGAGCAAAGACAGACTCCAGGCGGTCTAATAGTCTTCTGGCAACGGACCTATACCCCGTCGCTACCGCCAGCGACCCGTTCTTCTCTATGACTCGGCTGTAATCACTCAACAGCTTGGAAAATGGTTCGAATAGCTTCATTCCTGTGTTGGCAGGTTCGAAAAGATGTTGTGGCATATTAGCTGATTCTCCTGCTCCAAGGAAGTTTCGTGGTACATGATAGGGCAGTCCGCCATTTTGGAGCAGGTAGTCGACCCTAGGTCTTGAAAGCGGTATTTCTGGGGGAGGTGGAGGCGGAGGTGGAGGCGGAGGCGGAGAGGCAGCGGACGGATCTCTTAACGTTTCTTGCGTCAGGACATCAGGGCGTGGAGAGGGAGAAGTGTGTGATGGAGGCCTTGATGCGCGAGGGCGGTTTCGAAGCTTGGGAAGCTGTTCCGTCGTCTTCACTTGTACTGGCGCGATCGAGGTAGCATCTGAGTCTACTGTTTCATCTATTATTTCGTTATCGGATTCAACTTCGGCGGGTGATGCTGACTTTCGATTCAAGGACGACTTGGACTTTCGGTGTGCTGAAGTGGGAGAGGATCTGTGAGAAAACTGAAGAGCCTCAAAAATTTTCAATTTGGTTGGGGTGCTAGATCGGGTCCTCGTACTGGTTTTCAACGTCTGGTCACTTAGCTTCTTATAGATGCCCGCGGAAGACCTAGTAGAATGGCTCCTTGAAGATCTGTGCTTCTTTGCCTCTCCTGAAGGCTTGTTCGGGGTTTCCTTCTCCTCTGACCGGCGCCCATCATTAGAGGGTGTGCTTTTCCGCCGGGGTAGCTCTGTGTCATCATTTGTGAGAGGAGGGCTAGGAGGTCGAGTGCTTTGACTGTGTCTCTTGCTCTGGGTCTTGTCTTCGGTCGTCAAGCTAGGCTTTTGTTCGTCCTTTTTAGCTTCCGCAGATGTTAGGTCTGTTGGTTCGGGTGTCAATATATTAATCCGTATGCCTAAATTATCCCGACTTCCCACAGCCTCCTTGCTGTGTGCCTTTGAGAAGCTTGGGTAGGGCGTGGACACTTTTGACTCGTTTGTTTCGGACATGAGGGTGGTGGATGGGTGTTTCTTAATCTTTAAGCTAGACGTAGGCGAATTTGGTGAGCGGCCAACTTCGTCCTTCAACCTATCCTTATCAGATCTAGGCCTATTCCTTTTGCTCGAACTATGGGAGGAAGTATGGGCGGTCCGACTGTGACGGTCTTTGTCTTTTTCTCGAGTCCGCGACGGGTGTGATGGTTTGGCAGTTCCTTCGGTTGCTTCGCTGCTTTGGTCGTCTGAGCCTCGATCTCGCGGTCGATGATGTTCTCGGGACTTGGAGGGCATGGCGGCTAGTGAGAAAGAGGTAATCCAGCCGACAGCAGCAGGCAGCGTATATGGAAGTGGTACCAGGGAAGCAAAATTGTTGCCCAGCAGCCTGGTGAATAATGCGCCACTACGAAAGGGTCGGAAATGCGTGGATCTTAGTCACGGACGACCGATCGGAAGCGATCCCGCAAGGCATCAGGGGGCTCTATTGAGGTGCTTTTTGGTGATAGCGCAATTCATGGATCGCAACATGAAAAGCAAGGCAATGTTCGATGGGTTGAGGTATCCCTTGCGAAATGCCTTGGCCCGTTGGGCAGCAACAGGCGAATAGCTGCACAACGTGAGAGTCCGCAGGAAGAAGAAAGGACAATATCTGGTTCTCGATCGTTTTCGAGGCTGTTCAACTTGTGTGTGTAAGTAGCTGGAGTACAGACAAGGAGTGATAATATTCTTCTGGGGGCCGTTGAACTTTGTCGTATTTTAAGCACTCTGCAAAAAAGATCCTCCGTTGACGGGCAGAAGTGTGGCTGAGTGTAACCTGGGCCGCCAGTGGGGACGCCGCTCCAGCAAGCCACTACCGTCTTCCCAACCTCAGCTCTGCTTGCTTGTTTGTCTGCTGTCTGACCGGCTGCTCGTCGACTTCGTTCTGTTTACTTCTCTGCAATCTTGATATCAAAGAGTTTGAAGTCAAGAACTTCCCGATCCGTGGTTCATTTTAAGCGCCGCCAGCACGTGACGTGCTCCGGCTAGCGCTATTTGCGCTTGAAAGGTCACATGGCCCCGGCCTCCCACCAGCTAAGGTCGTATAGTGTAGCGGTTATCACATCGGATTCTGATTAGTCATTGGAAGTTCCGATAACCCTGGTTCGAATCCTGGTATGACCTTTAATTTTTTTTTTTTTCCCCCTTTTTTCTTTTCTCTAAATACATATTTTCCTTCTTATTATGCTTCTTTGCACTCTCCCGTTGTTATTATTGTTGTTCCTTTAGCCTAGCAGAGGCTGCCAATAATTGCTTTTGTATAAGAGAATCCCTTTTGCTAGTCAAAGATAAATACACTGCTTTGCGGAGAAGTCGTAGGCTCCGAGAAGGGCGAAATTTGAGGACTTGGAAGACGAGGTAGCGCGGTTATCCCTATTGGTTGTGATGTAGTCGTTTGAACTTTCAATTGAGGCAGCCCAGTCGCCTGCCGGCTCAGGCTCCTCGGAATTTCATCAACAACAACTCGTCGTTTGAATGGGCCAGCGCCCATGCGGTACCAGCGATCTTCCCATCGGTAACTAGAAGGCTTCTGTACGGATATGGCTCTATACTCTTTCCGTGCAATGAAAAATGAGCGGAAACATGTGGCTGCAGCAAGGCAAATACCAATCTCTGCACATATTATTACCCAATATGTCTCCCAGTTGGTATCAACGAGTCCCTTGTAGTAAACTCCCGCTCCCCGGATGATGGTCACAATACTCATTAGTATCGTGAGGCAGAGTGATAAAGTCAAGCCTAGCTTTTGCATCCATCTCACCCGTACTGTCCAGATCAAGCGGACTAGTATAAAGAGAACTAACGACACCATAAACTTTCTGTTAACAACATTCTGTGATCTTCAAGCCGGATTATTTCTTACTCAAAACGTCGCCCAACAGATCCAATGCTAGGTGTATAAAAAGAAATGCTGACACTCGTCTCTGGCCAGACGGGGTCAAACATATAGCTAGAGAAAAGATTAGCACAACCGTTAATTCTGGAAATGTTAAACTGCTTATGCTCACAATTTTTGAGTGTATAATAATATGGGCAGGAAATATGCGTAACCACAGACCCATATCCCAGAATGCCAATATTTAGAATGGTCACTACCCACCAGTACCTGCTCAACGGCAGAATTCCCTTAACCAGGTTTTTGAATAGAGCCAAAAAGCTAAATTTCACTGACATGATGGCAAGCCAGAGCATAACTGTCGTTACTTGTATCCATTTCTGATAGTCGAATGTTATCTGTATGATGTCTTGCGGAAGCGTTATTCCAGCAGTCTCACCATACTGAACTGCCAGTGTGAGGTACATTTTGTCAATTGAGACAGTGTAGAAGACAGCCAGGGCTATTGATAGACAGCAGAACGCGATGGCGAGAAATAAATCATCCCATAAAACTGCTTCTGAACCTGAAGTCGAATGTATGCTCGCGCAATAGCAGCTATCCAGCAAACAGCAAAAAGAGTCGCAGTTGAGGTCTTCATTGACAGTAACTCCCACGTCAGTACGTTGCGTTTTACAGTCCTGTGGAATAAGTGTTGCACTTACGATGACTTCTTTTTTATGCAAGCGAGCGATATTCCCGGCGCCCGTCATGGCTCGCGCTTTGTGCTTTTATTGAATGTCCCCCTTTTCAGCTCCTCATGGGTATTACCATCCACCAGGATGCAAGGCGTTCATACGGACGGAATATAACATACGGGAGCCTCCTTGAGTTATAAAGCCGCTCAAGGCTGCTGAAGCATGCTGGCTGGAAATGTGAGTTATTTAGGTGGGCAACTACATAAATGATACCATGTAACCATCACCTGGGCAGATAGATGGGAAGCGGACCACTCGACTCCACTCTTTTTGCAGAACCCTGGTTGTAAATATATGGATCAGTATGCAAGGAACTCGATGGCATGCGGCCCGAGACATCATGTTTTCGCTTGGGTATACATAGCCTAGCCTCAATCCTTCAAAGTCAATGAATGTGTCATGACAAGGCTCGATATACCCTGACTTAAATATGCGTATGCAAGTGACATTGCCCTTTGTGGTAGACAGCGCATATACATGGGAGAAGGAGTTTCCCATGCGGTAATATAAAAGGATGTAAACGCGCCTCGTTTGTCCTTATGATGATACCTCATGTCTATATATCAGCATAAGAAAGCCCAAAGAGGCCAGTAATTAGGTACATCTCAAAGAGAAACCGCCGGGTCTACCGAATGACTTCGGTAGTCTGGACCAGCGTGAAGTGCATATGTCCCGGTATCAAATCGCTAGCCTTCTTGTCGGTCAGGGCCCTGGCATCTTGGTAGAGCAGGCAGACCGGGGGACTGATGCTGATGGACGAGGCTGTTAGTCATCATGTCCCATTGGGTCACATGATGACCTAACTTCCAAGGTTACAGTTCAGAAAAACTGGAGAAATAATGATCCAAATGGACTAACGCTAACTCCATCTCTCCTCAGTTGCACACTTCATGCTCGTTGCCGCATCACACTTGACACGGATCGAGAGGTCGTCATCCTTAATATCGATATCAGAAAAGTGCATACTGGAAAAGAACGATAAGATGAAAACTATACCCATGTTTCTATCCCGTCACGGCGATTCCGTAGGCCATTATATCTAGCCCGTCGGATAAACCCGCATCGTCACGAACAGCATGGCATAATAAGATACGATCTTATGGGTTGTTATTGTTGAATCGACAAGCCACCATTTACGAAGCAAACAACTGAGCTCTTCTGCACCTACAGGCGTTGTAGAGCCTTGTTTGTTTCATTCCAAAAATCAAGTTTTGGAGCAATACAATATACAAACATCAACTGGCAAATCAAACGCTTGGCCTGCACTCAGGTCCACCATCAATTCGCACCATCCAATATACATAGACCATAAACGGTTTTACAACCTAATTATGGGTGTTATAAAGTACCACATAACTCGTTTTCATGGATACCTATGGCTGGCTAGAGAGAATAGCAAGCCGGAGGTATAGTGCTTGAGATACTCGTTGAACCCGACGAAAGAAGGGAGAATCCGTTGCGTCGTAAGCTGCCCAACCCCACAAGCAATACGTCTTTGTTTCTCTTCTCCCAGTTGGAAATGCATTTTTGCCACTCTGTCCATCCTGCAGCACATCGATCAAAACATGCCCTTGGAGACCTAGAATCGTCATTATTACAGTGATGGTTTCAAAAAATGGAATGTTACGTGTAACTTATGTTATGGCTGCTATTTTGGGTCAGTGACTCATATTATTCTTGCAAAGTACAAGAACTTGCTCAAGGATTTCCACACCATATAAAGGACAGTAGCATCGCACCCAGCCTTATTCCTTTTCCCATCTTCTACAAGCCACTCCTAAAGACTTCATCCAACAATCTATTCGGATCAATATACGAATACCGTTTGTTTCTTTATATTCATTTCAATTCACAGCCATGCATATGATCGCTGGAACCATTGCGGTAGCATTACTAGTTGCTTCCGCAGCCGCGGCCCCTGTGGATCAGTATGTATATTAAACAGTTCGGAGTTTTAAAATTGAATTTCACGTACTATACTTACAATTATAGGTTGTCCGTGGACAAGTTGTCACCAAAGACTCAGATAGAGAAGGCTACTTACTGGGATCTCTTAGGCAAAAGGATCATTGCAGAGTTGGATCTTATGGTCCCTCGAGGTGTACCTGTGGTGGCTAGCCATGGTAAAGATGATGATAACGACAAGGACGACGACGACTATGATGATGATGACGATGATGACCATGGCGACGATGACCATGATGACCATGACGACCATGATCACTGGAAAGAAGTAAAGACTCGAGGCCACAAAGACCATGACCACCATGGTAAGGGTATGAAGGCCAGAGGCCACAGGGACCATGACGACCACGATGGTCACGATGATGACGATGACGATGACGATGACGATGACCATCACCACAATAAGAGTGTCAAAGCTAGAGGCCATGGACGACACTGGGACGATGATGATGACCATGATGATGATGACCATGATGATGATGACCATGATGATGATGACCATGATGATGATGACCATGACGGTCACGACGACGACGATGATCACCATCATCATAGGGGCATCAAATCTAGAGGCCACAAAGATCATGACCATGATGATGATGACCACGACGACCACGATGATCATCATGATGATGATGACCACCATAGAAAGAGATGCCTCAAGTGTAGAGGTTATGGAGACCATCACGATGACCACGATGGCCACGACGACCACGATAATGATGATGATGATGATGATGATGATGACCACCATGACCGAAAATAAGGGAATCAATTCATCGCAGAAGCCCTTGAGCATAAACAGCTCAACTCTAAATCTTCCGAATTACCGCACTGTTGATATAGCAGGCCTAAAATTTCAAGCATGGTATCACAAACATCAAGCTAGCCAAGTTCAACCCATATTATCGAGGCATGGACATTGAGGTTTTTCTCATAAAACTACTGACTTTTCGCCTGCCCCAATGAGCAAATGTTAACTGTTCACGGCTTTTAATATTCTATTTCTGGTTACTTGTGATGAAGGGGCACATTTTTGACATACGACATTCATAAATAAGCTATCATCCATTCTTTAGCTCCTAGCTGGTAAATAGCTAAAATTCATCACATCCTTCTATTCTTACGTTCAATTATTTAAATACGGAACGAATTATCATTAAATATAATCATAGAAGAGCTTGACAATCCCTTAAAAAGGAGGGGAAAAAAAAAAAAAACCCCAAAATGTAGATCATGGTGATACTGTTTCTTTAAATGGCATTGACAAACTTTCCTAGTCCAACATCGATAGATAGGGATGTCTCCTTAACTGCGGTGAGATCCAAAATCCATTTCCCGTTAGATTTCTGTAGGACTAATCCACCGTTTTCAACTGCTCGAAGTACCCGCCTACTAGCGACAACTTTTGTTCCTGTCTGAGGGTCCCAGATCCAGCCATCCTTGAGCCACATCCAAGCCAAATATGCGCAGAGTTCTTTATCTTTTGGGAGTACTGATTTCCATTCGGGTGAGAATCCTTCAAGTGCATCTGCGCCGTTCCAGTCGGTGGCTAAACCTCGCAACCTATCTCGACAGAATATCCTCCAACTGTCTATAGCATAAGGTCCGATACCCGGTAAGTGACCAACCTCCCAAGCAACCCGGGGATCATCGTTAGTCACAGTCTCGCCACACTCAATGTCCAAGCCGTCAGATTTGTTAGGGTAATGAAGTTTTCTGTACCGCTTTCCGCACTCAGGAGCATTTTCTATCCACGCTTTAGCGAGAGCAATGCATTTTCTAGCTCGAGAATTTTGGAGCCCCAGCCGTTGAATCAATAGGACCAGTTCATCGAAGTTGGCATTAGCCAAAGCTTCAATGGTTGGATAATGTTCGAAAACACTGCATATCACTGGCATCGCCACTTCGCCCCTAGTTCGATTCAAAAATATGGTAGCAATAAGAAGTCGAAATGGTTCATGGGCAAGCTTCTCCTGAATTAGTCCAAATAAGACGGCGGAGGTCGGAGGGAATGGAATGCATGATGCTATGTCAGGGCGTTTCCTTTTGAAGTATGGTGACGTCTTCTGACCCTTTGCCATAAGCTTACGTACTTGTAACAGACAGGGGGAGCAATTGAAGTCGGTGAAATGAAGTACGTTGTCGTGGAAAACATGTAGATTAAGTTAGACCTACGAAGTTAGTTAGTTAACTAGTTATCCACGTGATGCGGCTCAGCTGCCCAAAGAGCCAATAAACCATGAATATAGAATATCAATTATAAAAATCAATGAACTACGGGGGTATTATTTTTGCTAACAGAAATTACACATATTAGAAATTAAAAACATCGATACATCACTGCGCATGCCTTTAAGCCGGAGATGTGGAACAATATTAGATATTACTCGGATTCATTTTGGAAAGAAGCAATTCACTCGCAATGGATTTAAGCATTGATCAACACAACGCCTAATCCAACCACAGCAGCTAATCCAGCTTTGGCTCGTTCTGTTGCAGCGGCGCCGGGCTGAGGGGTGTTTGTTGCAGTCGGCCCTGGACCACCCCCAGCACCGCCGCCACCGCCGCCACCACCTCCACTTTGTGTCTCCGTTACTGTAGCTGTTGGACTTGGGGGTGCGGTCGATTCACCACCACCACCACCACCACCCTCACCGCCACTTGTTATACCTGGTAGTGGTATCACAGAGGTTGGAGAAGGAATTCCATCCGTCAACGGGTCAGTGCTGACAGGGTTTGCGTTTTCAAACGCTGGTGGAGGTGGGTCAGCATTTGGAACTGGCTTAGCAGTGTCATTGTTGGGATTGAGAACACTAAGATTCGAAATTAGTATCTTGAATTCCTTGGTACCAGTGACAAATTGTTCAGTAATAAAGAGATGAAAAGTCTTACTCTGAAATAACGTGAATAACTCCATTGTTGACAAGGAGATTGGTAGATTCAACTCTAGCGGAGTTGACATAGCTTCTTCCATCAACTGTGGAAATGTGCAAGTCTTTATCGGCGTATGTTGGGTGGTCTGCGTCAGTCAAGTCTGGGGAATAGAGCACTTTGCCCTTGACGATATGGTAGTTGGCAATTTGCCCAAGGTCTTCAGCAGAAATGTTCTCGAAAGCGGTGCCGATACGCTGGAATCCCAAGTTCCTCGGAGCAAAGAGGGTGATGTCTTTTGGATCATTAGCGTTGGAGACAGCATTGCCACGCTGCAAAGCACCCTGGAAGCTAGTGAGATTTGCAGCCTGTAGTGTTGCCGTAACGCTCTGAGGGAGCGTCAGTGGACGGTCAATGACATGAATAACACCATTTTCAACATCGACCCCCTATAACCAGTAATTAGATAAAATGTTTGCAACGTACCCACAAGAAGCTCTTGTGAATTCCTTACCGGTTTGATGATGGTAGAATTGTCGTTCAATCCGGAGATTGCGTAGTCCTTCCCATCTTTCTCAACAAGCTGGACAATCTGACCGGAGCTAACATTGGTAAAGCCCGCATCATTCAATTCCGTGGGCGAAAACTGTGGCGTGGTGGTGATCTGTTCAGAGTTATGCAGTCCTTTCACCAACTGGTAGCTAAAAATTCCCCTTAGGAGGCTAGAATTCGATGATGACTGATTATCATTGCCCTCGCCTTGTCCCACAAAGTCGCGGAAGGCACTATTCTCGAGAGCAAGCAGAGTCACGTTCTTCTGCTGGTCCAGCACATCTTTCGCTTCAGGCGTTTGGTTTAAATACGAAGACATCTCTGAAAGTTCCGGCATCTCTGAGATGTCCTCAGAAAAACTTTTCGCGTAGGTGACGGTAGCCCAGAGGGCCACCAAAATGTAATAGAGCAGCATCTTCTCTTCACGTAAAAAATTGAAATTCTAATGGTATCTCTCACTCAAGCAGTAATAATATTACAGAATTGAGGTAAAAGAAAGGATTCCCTAGGTACTGACATAAAGCAGCGGCCTTGGGAAGGCCGGTTATTTATGATATCAGTAGATCGCCTTCTATGGAACATAGGGGCGCGCAGAATGACGACATTCCATCGACCATCGGTGTGGGGATGATGAATTCATAGCCCGAGGCGAATTCTAGAGTGTGGAGCTAATCCAGGTTAATGCTTTATGGAAATTTGACAATGTACCCGCCGCAGGGAAGCTGCTTGAACACTTTGATCCTAGAGAGCATTGTGGCTATCTGTTTGCTTTTCGTATATTTTTTCCAGTATTTTGAAGAATAGAGGCAGTTAACCTGGAATTATCAGGTAGCGACAACATGAAAACGAAATTATTCCGTTTGAGAATCAGTTTCTTATACCTCTCTACTTTGTAGAGCATTGGTCCTGCGGGATTCCCTTCATGAGTAAACATCTCTTTGCTACGTTGTGAGTGGCCGGAAGGAGGTTCAAATAAAATTTATTTTAGCTTTGAGGCTCTGTGGATATATTAATAAGCATTCTATCACGTGATTGATGGCTCATCTGGTCGCTCGTTTGTCACGATGTGGGAGGATCTGATTGGAGGACAATATAACTATATAACTACAGAGGCGATAGATTGATCCTTTTATAGCTGAGATTCCCATATACATATCTTCGAATCTCTCCGCCAAGCATACAAGATCTTAAGTCTTGCTCAAAGTGTTGGCATAATGGTACATCCCTATCTTGTATTGACATGCTAGTGGCAGCTGACACATGATTGCCACTTGAACCTGGTTCATTCAACATAGTTCCCTTTAAGGCCACGCTGAACCGAGCTTGGTCAAAGAATCCTTGCTTCCTGAGAGCTCCCATTTCCCATCCAGTATCATTTAAGGAATCTGAACAAGATATCGAAGAATAGAAAACAAATAATTCTAGTTAAGATCTAGCTTTCTAGTTGCAAGTGCTTCTTAACCAGACAGGTAAACCCGAGCCATGAAATCGTAAATACATATCTCGCTGCCCGTGAATATCACATATACCCTCTAAAAAAAAAAACAATACACTTGTTTTCTATATACTCCACCTTAAAATCAAACAACGACTCCGCCGGAGTTAGCCAGTCGTGGCTCGCCTGAGGCTTCGAAGACACCGTTCTTCAGCCTCATGATAGACTCCACGGTGCTTCCTGACTTTTCTCTAGTGACGTTATGTTTTCGTGAAATCATAAAGTCCACGGTCTTCTTGTCAAATTCATCTTCCATCAGGGCGACGTTGGGGACGAGTTGGTCGTGGAGCCGAGGAGCCTTTAGGGCCTGGCGAACGTTCATTTTCCTGTCCATGACGTTGATGACACTTTGGAGAGTGCCGGTAATAATTTGGGATCCTCCTGCAGCACCGCTGACGAAGTATAGGGAACCATCTGGGCGGGTGATGATGGTAGGACAGATGGAAGAGAGTGGCCGCTTGCCGGGGCGAATGAAGTTCGATGGTGAGGGCTTGTATCCGAAGGAGTTGCTGCGCCCAGGGACAGAGAAGTCATCCATCTCGTTGTTCATGATGATGCCAGTCTCGGGAACAATGACACGGCTACCGAAGTAAAGGTTGATGGTGGTTGTCAAACTGACGGCCATACCAGAGCGGTCGGCAGTTGAGATATGGGAGGTGCCGGGACTACAACACACACGTCAGTACGACGAAGAAGATTTGAGAGGCAAGCTTTCTTGACATACGTATTCAAGCTCTCAAGACCTTTGGGGTCATATACGGCTATGTCTTGAGTATACTCGTCAGAGATGTTCATGCGGTTCTTGTTAGCAGCCTCATCAGATATCATCTTCTTCTGATAATCAGTCAAGTTAGAGAAGAAAAGAGGGTCACCCAGTTCGGTTCTCTAGCGTTCATGTTAGCTGATGAACTAACAGTCCATGGTTCAGTATAAGTGCATCATACCTGTCCGTATCCAAACCGGATGGCCTCGTCCATTCTATGGGTACTAAGTGGCCCTGGATCCATACGGAAGAAGTTCTTGTACCCATTAAGTAGCTTCAAGATGCTGAGGAGAACAACTCCACTGGAAGGGGCAGTGGTACTAGTGACTGTCATGCCCCGGTACTCAATCTGAGCAGTCGGTCTCGAGACCACGGTGTAATTCTTCAGATCCTCGAGAGTCATGGTGCCGTTGGCAGCCCGGAGTGCATTGACCATGGCTTGTGCCATTGGCCCAGTGTAAAAGGCATCGGCGCCATACTTGGCAATCTTGTCCAGGGTGTCACCGTAGCGTCTGCGAGTGATGATATCACCAACCTTGAGAAGGGTTCCTTGTGGTGCAAAGTCAAGGGCCCATGCAGCGTTTTCGGCAAGGAAGTTCCCATTCTTTGTAGAGTGTAACATAATGCGAGAGAGGTCTTCAGTTACACGGAAGCCATCCCGGGCGGTGCGAATGGCGGGTTCCATGACAGTTTTCCAGGGTAGCTTTCCATAGTTTTTATGGAGGTACTCTAAGCCACGGACTTCACCAGGAACTCCACTACACATCGGGAACAAATTAGATCCATATAACGAGATGAAATTGATCACAAGAGCTCATACCTTGCGAGTCCACCGGATGTCGAGCCGCTCGTGTTGTTTTTGAACATGTCCTGGAATGCCGCCGCAGGGGCCGTCTCTCTGAAGTCGATAAACTCATAGGTACCATTTGGCGCGCGGATGAGCATAAAGCCACCACCGCCAATGCCGCTGTGATACATTGCTGAATAGACGCTTGCATGTCAGCCAATGGATCTAATAAATTATTGAGAACCCAGCCGGCAACTTACAAGTAACACCAACGCAGAACACTGTCGCAACCATCTATTTGGAAGGTAAACCGACCGTTAGCTGCAGGTACGCAAACCTCGATCTTCTTGCAAAGCGGGATAAGGTAAAAAAGCAAAGAAAAGAGACAGTCGATAGATACATACAGCATCTGCAGCATTGCCGCCTATCTTCAACATGTCGGCACCATATTCACTGCACATGGAGTTTTCGCTGGCAACGGCACCAAGACGGCCGTCATGATAAGATGCCGGAATGCTCCGTGAAAAGAGCCATGGGGCTGCATCCGATACTTGAGCAAAAGAGGAGAGCAGGTAGAGGACTGTGCAGAGCAGATTCATTGCTGCGGGTGCCATGATGAGGATGTTACAGTGAAGAATCCCCTACCTCGCATAGGCAGACGAGGGAGGAGAAGAGGAGAGGAAGACAACCGCCTCCGCAACGAGAAGGTGGGAATCCTCGGCATATAAGTATGTACGGTCTGAATGTCGAAAAAAATTTTTATAAGCGGGACAAACCTTGGGACGGCCCTTCCATGGACAACCCCCCCGGCCCGAGTTATCACCATTTGGGAGGTCTTGTCATGTCTACCCTCTCGAAGGGTCTCTTGCTTCCTCTAGCCTCCCTTGCTCCGTGATGATTGGAGCTGGCAGCCCGATGCAACAGCGGTAGAGCCTGATAGCAGAGCCATCCCTACCTCCTCTCCGCTCAGAAGACATGTTGGCCGTGTGATCACCTATACTAGATAGCTCGTGTGGTGCTATAGAGCAGGGTACTCCACACGCGAAAAGCCAGCCAGCGGAACCGTCAGTAGCCACCCGTCGGAGTTAAATGCTGCATGGTCGAGAATCTGCTTTCCTCCTCTCGTCTGCTTTTCTTTCAAGGCAGTCAAACTGGCGTGTGGGGCTTTCTTGGTTTCCATGTCCAACAAAGGGCGTGCTCGTCCTCGTCCCGGCCTTGGAGACCATCCTTGCCCGAGGGGATGACGATGTACTGCAGTGTTATCATCCCCAGAAATGCCTGTCGCCGCTCCCCCACAGGTACCCCGAAGTGCCGGGAGCTCCTTCGGCTGTACGGCGACGAAGCCCCCCCCCCCCCCCCCCCGGCGCTAACTTTCACTACTAAGTCGAGAAGGTGGACTCGGTGGACTCAACTCCGTCTTCTTTTTATTCCCCAGAACAAGAGTAATTTCCTTGCTCGTATTATTAATTTTCGTGTTTTTTTATTTGGTGGTTTTTCCCTCCCGGTGCGAAGGCGACGCTCCGAAGATTTTACCTGAGGCCTCAGCCGCCGCCTGTGGTGGTGGCCATGTTCTGGCGACGAACCAGAGCTTGATATGGACAAGCAACTAGCTTCCGACATCGATCATGCGGTCGAAGGGGAGGATCTGAGAGACAGCCCACTTGACATGCGCGGTGGCTCTCGTGGGTGATAGACAGCGCAGCAGACAACCAAGGCGGCCGTGATCCAAAGCACCAGCATCAGCGTCTCTCTCGTGGACGCAAAAGTCGAACTCCCTCCTGGCTCTGCGTCGCCCTTCCATTTTTTCGCCCTTTTGAGCCGCAGAATCCCGCCTTGTCCGCCAGAGACATGATGCTCTCGTCTGATTGGCTGACGGTTTATGGTTGATTAGTCATGAATAACACCTTCCTATTCCTTCCGGAAGCGGTAAGCGGTAGGTCAGGGGCTTCTCGTTCTCCTGTTGGCCGTCGAGGGAGGATTTGACCCGTTTTAGATAGCAGGTAGGCAGGACTAAAGGAAAGCGGCTATGTAGTATGGATGTTTGAAGGTCCTCTCTGCATATCCTCGTCGAGCCCGCTTCTCAGACTTGTGAATGCTTTTTTTGGTCGTTTTCCAAGGCAGAGGCTTTCTTTTGATAGTAGTTATCATTGCATCATCAGATGCGGCAATCTCAGGAAGGTTAATTCGTTCTGTCACGTAGGCAAGGAAGTCAAAAGCAGTATTCGTGGGGATCGGCCTTGGTTTTGTCATCCCTTCTAGTCTAACCGCCGTTAAGTCTGGTTCATTGATCAATTTATTTCTTAGCAGACACTGGATGAATTTTCCATCAGATCAGAGTACTCATAACTAATCCTGCAACGACAAAAACCGGATGGCCTTCCATATGGAGGCGTAAAAGGCGAGGCAGAGCGATAACTGCGGTTATAAACAGTGATCAAGCCGTGTGTTCTTCTATAGATAATCAATACACTCCCAACGTGTATCTATTTGTTCAAGTGGATAACCTATCAGAATACAGCTCAAATGCTGCAAATTGAAGAGAGGTATAGCTATGAAGATCGAGGGAAATAGGTATTGCGTTAGCATGTATGAAGTTTCATATCCGATTAAACCATACCTGTATATTTTCAGCGGTGGTGATAGACGTGCACAGGTCTCTTGCTTGAGCGATAGCCCCCACATTGCATCCCCCACATTGCATGTATAGGGAGTAAGCAGGCAGCAACGATATATACCTCTGGTATACGGGTGGTATAGAAGCATAAATTAATAGGAAACCCATCTTCTGTGCCACAGTCTGTGTTTCTTTTCTCTTATTATTTCTGGTAACTTCGGATACAATGAAATTAGATGTTCAGAAAGCCTATTAAGCGGAATATGTAATAGGCATTCGACTGATAATTGAGCGAGAATCTATAGAGCTCAGGCTAGGGGATAGTATAGGTCAGAGCTTCAACTTTATGGTAGTGAAGGATAGCGGTATCAAAGTTTGCACTGTGTTGGGCTCGAGAGTCTCTAGTAATAGCGGTGGCTTTCAAAAGTCACTAAAGATAGTGATCACCCCAACATCTACCGAGATGCATTCGATTTCTAAGCTTCTGCGTTTTCTGATAGCTCTTGGGAAAGCTACTCTTGTGTTGGAACTCTGAGGGTAGTGCCTATCGTTGCTTCGGACAGATTTTTTGAATTCAGAGCGTCAAAGCGCAGATGAAAAACGCTGTCAACTTAGTCCACAGCTCAATTCAACAAAATGAATATCAGATATATAATATCTGGTGGCAGATATTTCCATCGCAGAGCTTCAACTTCAACCGTTTTGTTGTTGTTGTTGTTGTTGTTGTTGTTGTTGTTGTTGTTGTTGTTGTTGTTGTTGTTGTTGTTGTTGTTGATAGATGGCTGGTTAGGTAAGGGGAAAAAGGACCACGTGATTCCTGGCATCCTATGTTGAGTTGGAGCTTCGGAGGCGCGAACGGGAAGATGAGCAGAAGCAGAAGCAGACAGAAGCAGAGCCAGAAAACAATTTGCAGCAGGAGAGCTACGCTCGAGACAACGACGCTTCCATATATCTTCTATCTACATACATATTACGCCTTTCTTCTAGGCTTGCTAACATGGCCGGTGTTCTCGTTGATACGCCTCTCGGGGCTCCCTCACTACCAAAAACCACCCTCAACGATGCGATTCCAGATATCGATCCGCTAGAGGGCTCGACAAACGATGATGAAGACGGATATTCCATCTTGAAGCGATATCAGAGACACCTAGAGTATGGCTCAAGTGACTGGCTGCGGCTATGTTTGGGAAGGAGGCTGACATTATGACTTTTCCGGATAGGTATATACAGTTACAGGAAGAATACATCAAGGATGAGCAGAGGTTAGCGGCAATCATGCGGAAATTATGGAGTGAGAAGACGTACTTGATACTGACTGCATCTTTTAGGAGTCTTAAGCGGGAGCTCGTCCGGGCACAGGAAGAGATTAAGCGTATCCAAAGTGTACCTTTGGTTATTGGCCAGTTCATGGAGGCTATTGATCAGAAGTACGTTCCCTGTTATTTTTTCCTGAAGAAGAAACTGGTGTTAATATCACTCTTTCTTTGAAGTACCGGTATCGTCCAGTCGTCAACAGGTTCCAACTATGTCGTCCGTATCCTTTCGACTCTCGACCGCGAGAAGCTGAAGCCGTCCTCCTCCGTTGCTCTCCACCGACACTCCAACTCACTTGTTGACATTCTTCCTCCAGAGGCAGACTCATCCATTGCCATGCTTGGAGCAAATGAGAAACCGGACGTAACGTATGCGGACGTCGGAGGTTTGGACATGCAGAAGCAGGAGATCAGGGAGGCTGTCGAGCTACCGCTTACGCATTTCGATCTTTACAAGCAAATTGGTATGCTACATGTATCAGGTTTGTCGGTGTATTCGTACTAATAGGTTTGCAGGTATTGACCCACCTCGTGGTGTACTGCTATACGGTCCACCGGGTACTGGAAAGACAATGTTGGTCAAAGCAGTAGCCAACAGTACAACGGCCAACTTCATCCGAGTAGTGGGATCCGAGTTTGTACAGAAATACCTAGGTGAAGGCCCTCGAATGGTTCGTGATGTTTTCCGGATGGCCCGCGAAAACTCGCCAGCTATCATCTTCATCGACGAGATCGACGCTATTGCCACGAAACGTTTCGATGCCCAGACAGGTGCAGACAGAGAAGTCCAGCGTATCCTCCTCGAGTTGCTCAACCAGATGGATGGCTTTGACCAAACCAGCAACGTCAAGGTCATCATGGCCACCAACCGAGCGGACACACTTGACCCTGCCCTGCTTCGTCCTGGTCGACTTGACCGTAAGATTGAGTTCCCGTCGCTGCGAGATCGACGGGAACGACGCCTAATCTTTACTACTATTGCCGGCAAGATGTCGCTGTCGCCGGAGGTCGACCTCGACTCGCTCATTGTCCGCAACGACCCCCTCTCTGGGGCTGTCATCGCAGCTATCATGCAGGAGGCTGGTCTGCGTGCTGTGCGAAAGAACAGATATAACATCATCCAGTCCGACCTTGAGGATGCTTACTCCAGCCAGGTCAAGGGAGGACAGGACTCTGACAAGTATGTATTTTTCTTACTCCACCCATTTCCATTTCAACCAGGCTAACACAAGTCCTCTTTTTCCGCCTGTGTAGGTTCGACTTCTACCGCTAAGCTGAGGCCAGAGTAGCCAGCTTCGCATGATGCTGTACCATTATAGAGTTGAATCCAAGCGTTCTCGTCTATGTCCTGTCGTCCTGGTGTAGCCATGTAGCCATCTCCATTGTCCCGTAGCTATCTTGTAATCCTGCGTTTGTAGCTTAACAAAAAAAAGCGTGCCTGGCAGTGATCCACGTCATAGTGGTGATTGGCGGCAGCCTGGGCGGCGCAACGCTCACGTGAGCAGCGTCATCGCCCATCTTTTCTTCTTCCTCGTCTTTCCGGGGAACCTCAAACATCCAACCTCCAACCTCACCATCAACCTCCATCGCTTCAGCTCTCCCGCCAGCATCTCATCTCATCAACGCCGCCCGTCGAGCAGCTTTATCACCACCAAAGAGCCTACTGTCTAGCATTATTCTCTCTCCTGAGCTACCATGAAGGGCTCTCTCTTGCTTGCGGGTGCGACCCTTCTGGGCTGTACCTCTGCTAAGCTGCACAGCCTGAAGCTCAAGAAGGTCTCCCTCAAGGAACAGCTTGTAAGTCATTTCGATACTCTCGATCCTCCTTAGCTTGGAGTAGCTGTATTTTCGTTTTTCCAGGTGCTAATAGATACCGTTGGTAGGAACATGCCGACATCGACGTCCAGATCAAGTCTCTCGGCCAGAAGTACATGGGCATCCGCCCAGAACAACATGAGCAGCAGATGTTCAAGGAGCAGACTCCCATCGAAGTTGAGTCTGGACACAACGTCCTCATTGATAACTTCCTCAACGCACAGTGTATGTTTTTGTTTCCTCTCTTTTGATAGTTGATGCGATGTTTCTACCCCAGCCAGCCACATCTGTGAATGAGTGCTAACCGCCAGGACAGACTTCTCTGAGATCTCCATCGGAACTCCCCCACAGACCTTCAAGGTTGTTCTAGACACCGGAAGCTCCAACCTCTGGGTTCCAGGCAAGGACTGCTCGTCCATCGCTTGCTTCCTGCACAGCACATATGACTCTTCAGCCTCGTCTACCTACTCCAAGAACGGCACCAAGTTCGCTATCCGCTATGGATCTGGCAGCCTAGAGGGCTTTGTCTCTCGGGACAGTGTGAAGATTGGTGACATGACTATCAAGAAACAGCTTTTTGCTGAAGCTACCAGCGAGCCGGGCCTTGCTTTCGCCTTTGGTCGTTTCGACGGCATCATGGGTATGGGTTTCAGCAGTATCTCGGTCAACGGGATCACTCCTCCATTCTACAACATGATCGACCAGGGCCTTATTGATGAGCCCGTGTTCAGCTTCTACTTGGGCGATACCAACAAGGATGGTGACCAGTCTGTCGTCACCTTTGGTGGTTCCGATACCAACCATTTCACTGGTGATATGACCACTATCCCACTCCGTCGCAAGGCCTACTGGGAGGTTGATTTCGACGCTATCTCCCTTGGCAAGGATACAGCTGCTCTGGAAAACACTGGTATCATCCTCGACACCGGTACTTCCCTCATTGCTCTCCCAACCACTCTTGCTGAGATGATGTAAGTCTTGTTATTTATACCCTCATGTTTCACTTAAAAGTCTCTAACTGGTGATCATAGCAACACCCAAATTGGTGCCACAAAGTCGTGGAATGGCCAATACACTCTTGACTGTGCCAAGCGGGACTCTCTCCCTGATGTCACTTTCACTCTTAGCGGCCACAACTTCACCATCGGACCTCACGACTACACTTTGGAGGTCTCCGGCACCTGCATCAGCAGCTTCATGGGAATGGACTTCCCTGAGCCTGTTGGTCCACTTGCCATCCTTGGTGACTCGTTCTTGAGACGCTATTACTCTGTCTACGACTTGGGCAAGGGCACTGTTGGTCTGGCCAAAGCCAAATAAATGCCCACCCTTATTTTGCCCATTTTCCCATGGCTCTATGTATAGGGGAAGGAATAACCTTATCTTTTGAATGGACACCTAATGCTGTTGAGTGCCATATATGTGATATGGGACCCTTTTTTTTCACTCCTTACAGAACATCTCTGTAGATTCCGAGGTGGATCTTGCCTTTGCATAATCAATGACCGGCGGAGAGAGTGGTTGAGTATCATGTTCGGTTTATGTTGCATGGTCTCTAAGGCCATGGAGATTCTTCTATTGTTACCTATCCGAAGCTGCTCCTAGAGCTCGTCTCGTATTGTTATTTACATAGTATTATTATTATCTCGTGTGTAGTCATCTCTCCATCCCAGCTGTCCCACAAGCTGCCTATAATCCAGACCCCAGGTTATAACTACCGCAGGACCCCAATCCACCAGCTCTCCAAGTACTCCGTAGTACCCGTATTATTATCCTCTTCTGACTGGTAGAACGGCCTCGTCTCGGTGGTTGACGCTGTCGCTATGCAGGCTGCAGTGTACTATCTGACTCGTCCTTGCGCGGCAAACAACCTTAACAGCTTAAATAGCGCCCGCTTGAGTTCGCCTTCTGCTGCCCTCGAACTGCTTCATGCTCCGCCCTCGCCTTCGACCAGCGCCCACCACCACCACCACCACCACCACCACAACAACAACAACAACAACAACAACAACAACAACAACAACGACGACGACGACGACAACAACGACAACAACAAAAACCGTCTACAGGACACCCCAGACAAAGCACTACATCGCGCTTTTACGATCCTTACGCAGCAGACACCAGCTCGTCCTTTGTCCGTCCGGCGCACCTCTCGTTGCGACTCGCATTGCCACCGTCAAACGCTCGATGCCACGGCCCAACAACACTCCATAGCTAACGCCCTGCCGCTCCCGGTCCATCAACAACACTCCAGTCACTATTCAGGCGCAGCATTAATTGACAAGCACAAGGGTAGCCTCGTTATCTGCAAAGGACTCAATACCCTCGCTATTCACTCTGACGCGACCGCCGTCCCCGGATTATGGCAGCTTAGACAGACACTCCAGACGCAAAGGACACGCCTATAAATAAGCCGCCCATCTTCATCGATCTCTCAACACCTTCGCTACAGAAACAAAATCGCAGATCGCATTGCCATATCTTGCTACCTAGCATCGAAATCATCTCAGTTTCTCCACATACACCACTCGACCTACCTGCTTTCTGCAGCTTGACAGCCAAGGCATGCAACTGAAATTATCTACCAGCCTTTACTACCCGATCACCGTCACAGACCTGCTGAAGAAGACCGGCGATGAGGTAAACCAAGGAGATGGATTGTTTTCATACACTTATCGCACGACTGTGACGGAGGGTGATGGGCTGGGTAACAAGGTAGACGTCGTAAGGACGTTTCCTACGAGATTTGAAAGCACTGTTGACGGAACCTTGGTAGCTTGGAAGATCCGGAAGGGACAGGTTATTGAGGCACCGTAAGTGATTAATTGCCTTCTTTCTGAGAGATGAGGAGATATGGAACGGTTTTGCTGACGGCTGTGGGCTTCGACTTTGTGCAGTATTAACATTGCCGAGATAGACGAGCCATGCGCTCACGAAGTGCAGTTTGGTGGCATGTGTGCGAACTGCGGCAAGGACATGACCCAGTGAGTCGCTGTATGCCTTAAATAACACGGTGTTTGCATACTTACCAGATGTTTTTTTTACTACGCAGTGCAAGCTACAACACCGATGTCCTCGATTCACATCGCGCGCCCATCCGCATGGTTCACGACAACTCCGCACTAACCGTCAGTGAAAGTGAAGCTACTCGAGTAGAAGAGGATGCCAAACGCCGACTCCTTTCGTCAAGAAGGCTCTCACTGGTCGTTGACCTGGATCAAACCATCATTCACGCTACTGTGGATCCGACTGTGGCTGAATGGCAGCAAGACAAGGACAACCCCAACCATGACGCTGTCAAAGATGTGCGGTGTTTCCAGCTAGTTGATGATGGTCCAGGCATGAGAGGATGCTGGTATTATATTAAACTACGGCCTGGACTGGAAGAGTTTCTGAAAGTGATCTCCACGCTCTACGAGCTGCACATCTATACTATGGGAACCCGCGCTTATGCACAGAACGTAGCCAACATCGTCGATCCAGACAAAAAGATCTTTGGAGACAGAATCCTCAGTCGAGATGAAAGCGGCAGCCTTACAGCGAAAAACCTCCAACGATTATTCCCAGTAGATACCAAGATGGTGGTCATTATCGACGACAGAGGAGATGTATGGAAGTGGAGTGAGAACTTGATAAAGGTCTCGCCTTATGACTTTTTCATTGGTATCGGTGATATCAACTCCAGCTTCTTGCCGAAGAAGCAAGAACTCAAAGCAAAGCCAAAACCTGGGTCAAAGGCCAAAAAACTGATACCCGCTGCTCCTGCCGACGCTGCTGATGCTAGGACCACCGCCACCGAAGGAGCTGAGAAGCCAGAGCCCAATGGATCAAAATCCGAGGCGTCCGAGGTAAATGAGCCCGCTCCCACAGACCCCGAGCAATCAACGCTTGAGCAGCTGGTAACTATGGGAGGAGGGGATAACCCAGTGTTACTGCAGGAGCAGACCAGCCAACAGGAAGAAGTTATTGCACACCAGGTGGAGGAACGTCCTCTGCTTCAAAAGCAGAAACTCCTGGATGCAGAAGATGAGGCTGCTGAGACCCAACAGAGTACAGAGAATGGGGATTCTTCCAGTGATGAGTCTCAAGATTCGGTAAAACACCATCGTCATCACTTACTTGAAGACAACGACAGTGAGCTTCCACTGCTGCAAGAGCGTCTTCAGCTAATACATCAGCGATTTTTTGAAGAGTACGACCGAAGACGCACGCAGGCTCTTGGTGGTAGAGTAACAGCACTGACGGGACATCGTGCCCCTGCAAAGGACAAAGCAGTTGACCTACAGATAGTGCCAGATGTCAAGGTTTTGATGCCGGAAATCAAACGAGTAGCTCTCGGTTCCGTCATCCTGGTCTTCTCGGGCGTCCTTCCTCTCGGAACAGATACGCAGAATGCCGATATTTCACTATGGGCGAAAAGTTTTGGCGCAACAATCACTTCAAAGATCAATTCACGCACAACTCACTTGGTTGCAGGGAGAAACCGAACAGCTAAGGTGCGAGAGGCTACTAGGTACCCGAAGATAAAAATCGTTACCGTTCAATGGCTGCTTGATTGCATGATACAATGGAAGCACCTAGACGAAGAGCCGTATCTTGTTCCGGTCCATCCAGATGACATGGGCGAACCTATAGGGTCATCAGAGAATTCACCAGACAGCAAAGAGAACGCAGACGACTCCTTTCCTTCATCCTCTGAAGAATCTGATCCGACCAGCGACGACGACACGGCGAGTGTGAGATCATCGAAGTTGGCTAAACGACGAAGAAATTCCGACGAAGAAATCCGGCTATCTGCTGGCCTGACTGATCAGTCACGATTAGGTTATGACGAACAGGAGCAGGCAACGGTACACGACGAACTCAAAGAATTCCTCGGCAGCGATAACGAAGACAGCGAAAGCGACAGCGATTTCTCTATGCTATTCCCCGACAAGAAACGCAAGCGAGAGGCCACTGAAGAAGCTGATGGCGGCGTCAATGAAGAAGAAGACACAAGCGCTGAAGGTAGCGGATCCCGTCTATCCCAGAAGATCAAGCGGTCTCATGAACGAACCACAGGTCTAAAAGAAGTTTCTACAGCTCAGCCAAGCATCTCTGCTACTGAACCGACTGCCGACGCTGAGATGGAAGCAGGCAGGGAAGCTTTAATGGGTGACCTGCCTGACGTCGAACCGAAGTACAAGGACCTAGACCCGGTCGTGGATGATCCAGAGGATGATGAGGATGCTCTTGAACGAGAGATGATGGCCGCCTTTGATGAAGACCCGGACTGGGAGCAAAACGCGGCTGAAGACGAAGATGCCAACTAATTTACCACCATATAAACCTTCACCACACTCCCTCATATACCCCCCCCTTCACCAGTTACAGAGAAAAACAGACTGAACTTCCAAGCATAGCGAGGCGTTGTTGAATGTTTCTAGCCTGTGGATTTCACTACATTTACTGCCCCTGATGCTCGTTTCCCTTTGGCCCTATTGATTGATACCTATGAAGTGTTTTTGGTATGTGGTATTTAGCATCTTCTACTCTTAACCGTTGAGTCTATGACCGTCGTCTATTCTACCTACATTTCTGGATACGGCTAGGGGCCCATGGGTACATATTACTGGTATACTTCATACTGATGTACTTCGCTCCGACATCTTGGCCTAACATTGTACAAAATATAGCAAGATCCAATCAAGTATAAAAATGTCCACTCTAATAGCTTCCACCGTTTAAACGCTGCATGACGTTACACATCTAAGAAGAGAAGGTAGTGGCGAGAATAGTTGAAGCTATATAGTAGAAGAGTTCTCTTCTGGAAGAGAACCTGTGAGAGAATGCTCTACCATTGCAAACACATTGTGCTGATATCCTTGATATATTCTACCATGGACAGCCAGGCACCCGGTCGCGGCCCAGGAGGTGGCACAGGAGGAGGAGGCGGCGGCGGCGGACAAGACTATCTCGATAAAGGTACGCGAGGGAATCATTCGCCCTGAGCCAGAAGGCTATGTCTGTGACCGTTAGCTGACTTTGTGAGCTCCAGCCCTCGAGTCCGCCGAGAAGAAGTTCGGAAAAGGCAAAATCGATCCCCAAAAGGCCAGGGGACTGAACGAGAAGGTCACTGATTTTGCGAGAAATACTTTTGAGAAAGTGACCGGGTGAGTCAACTGGTCAATCACTTTAAGACTCATGATAGGGCTGCCGGACTAACGGAAGGGTTTGGTGTAGAAAGAAAGTACCCAAGAAGTTCTCCAACTAACCTGCCGAACGGACTATCGAGAGGCGTTCCTTTGTTTCAGTTGTACGGCCCGAATGTATGTTTATTGGGCAGTGAGGGATAGCATAAATTGGTTTTATTAGTGAAATGCATAACAGCAAGTCGAGATGAAGCCCGCAAACAACAATTTATTGCAAGGAAGTCACTCCGGTGGCGAATATAGAAGAGCCGCTAAATTCTTGGCATGGATGACGTAGCAATTATGATTGGTTGAAAGGGTTAGCGAAGTCAACTAAGTAGCGCCAAGCTGAAGTTAAGCGCGCGCTTTTATCTGGGCTCGCTTAAGAGTGTATGTCGTATGCGGACATGCCTTGCAGCTTTAGAAGGACACTTGACCGTCTGGTGGGGGGCCATTAAAGGGTTTAGGGGGCTACATAGTGTATATTTGGAGTGGGCTAGGCGGGCTGTACAGTCTGGGCGGAGATACTTCTCTTACGTGTGCTTCAACCCATGGAAAACACAAACAGACAGGCTGATCTAGGCCCTGCAGCCGGGAGGAGAAAAAGTAAGACAGTCACACAAGGCACGAAGAACCCCTTTGGGCGCAAACAGTATTCATCACCGTTCCGGCTGTTATTCTGGGTGTACATGCATCCACTACGAAGGGCTAGATAATAGCCGGAGCTTATAATGTACGAATCAGGATGCATCCAGAAGGATAGCACACGGATTGTGTCGTTCTGAAGTCTGCAACATGTATTAATTCTCATCTTCAATCCCAATTTGCAAATGGCCTGTGAATCTAGTAAGCATCAAGTGTAAAAAAAAAAAAAAAAGGTAGTAATATGTACAGTCGTGTGAAGAAAGGAAAAAAAAAAAAGAAACCAGCGCAACAAGTAGAAACAGATCATGTAGGTCGTATAGTTTGATAGAAAAGCCGTCCCGGAACGCCATCAGTAGTACGTCAGAAGCAAGAGAGAGAAAAAAAAAAAAAAAAAAAAAAAAAAAGTTAAGTCTACATCCCGTTTATCATGAGGTTCGTAAGAAGGAAGCGAAGAACAGATATCTCCGATGCTGGCGCCGGTGAAACATGCAACCCTATTGGAATGGGTATCTTTTTTTGAACATTGAGCGAGAACTGGAAAGCAAGGAGGACGAAGAAGAAGCCGGCCGGGGGGAGCTGGGGAGAGGGCTACTTCAGGAAGAACCCTCTGCGGACCTGGAATGAGATGATGAGCATCCAGATGTAAAAGATGGTGCTGACCAGCTCGAAGGCGAAGGCTGTTTTCCAGCAGTTACCTAGGCGTGAGACCGTTAGTATTAGATCAATTTTTAATAAATAAATAAATAAATAATGGAGGAGGCGTACAGATGGTGATCTGGGTGAGCCAGGCGAGGGTGTTGATGCTTGGCCCCTTGGAGGGCATGTTGACGACGTAGTTCTGGCAGTTGGAATTGACGTTTGCTTCGGTCCCGTAGAGCTCGATGGCGGTCCCGATCAGCCCCGTGAGCCAGAGGACGAAGAGGACGAAGCATCCGAGGATGATGATGTCGGGCAGCAGCAGGCCGCGCTGGATGAGGAAGAGCATGAAGAAGACGAACAGCAGGCCCAGGCCGGCGGTGGCCACCATGTACGGGAAGACCCTAGTCACCGTTAGCAAACAATTGTCTACGCAATGGACAAGAAGAAGAAGAAGAAGAAGAAGAAGACGAAGAGAAGAGCTAACCATGGCGTCGAGACGGAGAGCTGGGTCTGGACGAAGAGGAACCAGCTGAAGATGCCCAGGCAGGTCGCGGAGGAGGCCAGGTTGACGAGCAGCCAGACGTGCAGGCGGATCTCAGGCCACCGGAAGCGCTGGATGATCGTGTAGCCGGACGAGCTGCTCATCGTGATATCGCTTGTGGGTGTGCGAGCCTGGCCTGTGGTCGGTGGCTTGTGGTATTATGGAGCAGATCTCTAGAGAGGGCGAGAGAGTCAAGATAGTCGAGATGTTTGCTGGAGATGGAGATGCCGTAGGGATGGACGGGAAAGCCGCCGCGGTGCGACTCAGCAGGAGAAGCCTCTTGCTCCCATCCGCCAGGCCAGACAGACAGGGAGAGAGAGAGAGAAGAGTCGGACGGGATGATGCAGCGCTGTTCCAATCTGCGGCGGCCACCTGGTGGTTTGCTGGCTGTTTGCTGTTTGCTGGCTGTTTGCTGTTGGGCGGATTATTTAGTGTACTGCGTGGTGTCAACGCAACGAGACGAAGGAGACGAAGAAGACGAAAAAGACGAAGAAGACGACGAGACTGCCAGTGGCTTCTGTCAAAGACGTCCACGTCGAAGTCGCAGCTGCATCGACGGATAGACTGATCGATGCGATGTGTGGCTGGTCGGCGCTGCGTCCTGAGTCGCCCAGCCACCGCCGTCGCCAGGCCAACGGGTTTCATCTCACCTAGCTACGGAGTTCTCGGTATATAATGGAGGACATATATACGGCGAGCACACGACAGGGATCGCACCAAGGAAGACTGGCTGGCTACAGAGATTTACTTAGAAGACAGAGAGTGCAGCAAGCTGGACGTGTTCTACTGGTGCATTGAGTGTATTATCTATATCGTCTCGTCGTGAATCATACAGTCTAGAGCAGGGTGTCGCCCAGGGCGCAGCGGACGAGCGAGCAGCCGGCGCGGACGGTCTCGCTGGCGCCCATCGAGGCCAGGCTGGGGTTGACCTCGACCAGGTCCATGGCGATCAGGTTGCCGGTGGCGTGGATGCACTCGGCGATGAAGTCGCCCTCGCGCAGGGTCAGGCCGCCGCGGACGGGCGTGCCGGTGCTGGGCGCCCACTGGGGGTCGAGGGCGTCGACGTCGAAGGACAGATGGATAGGGGTGTCGTTGCCGATGTGGGCGAGGGCCATCTCGACGACGCGGCCGATGCCGTGGCTGCAGGCCAGTTAGTATATAAGGATTGCTGAAAGGATATATATAGGGAATAGTTGGTAGTGACTGACCGGTCGACGTCGTGCATGCTAAAGGCTTTGATGCCGTGCTCGCGCAGCGTCTGCTTCTCGGCACGGTCGACGTCTCGCAGGGCAATGTAGACCAGCTTCCGGGTGCTGATCAAGTGGTCCTTGGTCAGCCAGCCGAAGACGTCCTCGCGCTCGTCCTTGGCCAGTCCCGTCAGGAACGACACCGGCATGCCGTGGACGTTGCCGCTCTCGCTCTCCTCTGGGCGGTTCAGGTCAGCGTGGGCGTCGACCCAGATCACCGCCATCTCACGGCCGAGGCGCTCGCGGATGGCCCTGGCGGTGCCCGAGACGGTGCCGATGGCGATCGAGTGGTCGCCGCCCAGCGTCAGCACCATCTTGCCCTCGCGGGCGTGCTCGTAGACCTGCTCGCTCAGCCGCCGGGTCACCGCAGAGACGGTCCGGGGCTTGATCATGTTGCGGTATCGCGGGTCCTCGCTCTCCGCGGGCTTGACGTCGGCGTAGTCGTGCACTTTGCTGTCGAAGTCGACCTTGTAGCCGAGCTCGTCGCGCACCTGGTCCAGCAGGCCGGCCTCCAGCAGCGCCGTCGGGCCCGCATCCACGCCGGCTTTGGGCTTGTGTCATTTTCTGTCAGTCCAAGACTCACTCACTGAATTATCCCGGGGGGTGGGAGAGAGTTGTGGACCTACCTGGCCGTCGGAAAAGCCCACGGCGACGACGCCCAGCTCCTGGGGCCGGGAGAGGAACTTCTGCGCGATGGTCGTGGTAGGGGAAGTCATCTTTGCTGGCTGTCCGTGTGTCGTGTCGTCTGCAGTCTGGCTATCCGCTTGATATATGTGTTGCTGCTCGCAGGTCGTCCACATCGCAGGCACCGGCTGCTTTATATAGACGAGAGCCGGATACTCTCGGCGGCCCACCGACCAGAAAAAAATCAAAAGAAGGGCGCAGAAGGGCTTGCGGGCTCAGTCTCTGTCTGTCTCGTCTGTCCTCGTCTCCGGGATCAAGGGGAGAAGCGCAGCAGGTGGTTGGTTGCGCTGTGCCTTCACGCCGGCTGAAGATGCTCTTAGGGGAGACGCATTCCCCTAAGTACATGTTTTGGAGAGAAGAGGAGACGCTGCAGGCGCTAGGGCAGGGCGATGGGCCGCCTCGTTTCCGTCTCACGGCCTCTTGTCTTTGCTTTTTTTCTCTTTTTCTCCGGGTTTTCTTCCGGTGGTGGCGGATGTTTGGCTGGGATGCCATTGGTACGGGGGTCAGCGCTGGCGGAGGACCATATATATCATCATCAACGATGGCGATGATATCAGAGGAGAGAGAGAACAGCCTGCTCGGCGCGCTGGGCCTCGACCCGGCCCTGCTCGCCCATGCGCTTGATCTGGCCGACGAAGAAGCCGACCTTGCCATGCTGGCCCTGCCGGATCTGCTCGACCATCTGCGGGTGCTGGGCCATCACCGTCCGCGCCATCGCCAGGTACTCCTCCTGCGACAGCGGACGCAGCAGCAGGCCGTCCTGCTCGACCATCTGCTGCACCGTCCGCCCGCCGTGCTCGCCCGCAAAGACCGTCGCCAGCAGCGTTTTGGCCGTGCTGCCCGTGATCTGCCTCGTCCCGACCAGATGCACAATCGCCGCCAGGCTCGCGGCCGGCACTCGCTCGCTGTCCCAGCTTGCGTCTGCCCGGCTGAACAGGCCTCCGAGCTCGTGCAGCACCCAGTTGCCCACCGTCTTGCCCGTAGCCGTGGATCTTGTGCTGCTACTGTTGCTGTTGTTGTTGACGTCGGCATTTTGGAGAAGGTGTAGCTCGTCGACGGCATCAAGATAATACTCCAGCCGGGCACAGTCGTCCAGCTCGACCAGCGGCTTTGCATCCTCCATCGTCAGCATGTACTGCGGCTCCTCCGTCAGAATCCGCAGCAGCTCGTCCGGCGACGGCGGCATGCTCGTCCGCAGCGTCTCGACCAGCTGCTCCCCTACCACTACCGGCGCAATGTCTGGGTCTGGCATGTATCGATAATCCACCGACCCTTCTTTCTCTCGTAGCCTCCTGGTCTCTGTGCTCCCGATCGTCCAGCCGCGGGTCTCGCCGTCAATCTTCCCTCCGCCTTCCAGCACCGCGATCTGGCGGTCTCGCTCGGCCACGATAGCGTCCTCGACCGCCTTGAAACTGCTCAGATTCTTGATCTCCGTTCGCTGGCCCAATTCAGCTGTGTCTGTGTCTCCTGTCCGTCTGACAGATACGTTGACATCGGCACGTAGACCACCCATTTCCATGCCCGTGTTGACTGCACCGCAGGACTGCAGAATGGTCTGGATCTTCCGTACGCAGGCAGCCGCCGTGGCGGGTGAGTGTATCTCCGGCAGCGTAATAATCTCGATCAGCGGGCGAGACACGCGGTTGAAGTCCAGCAACACTGCGTGCGAGGGCAGCTCCTGCGACTTGGCCGTGTCCTGTTCCATCTGTATCTGCTTGATCCCGACTCGCACCGCCTCGCCGTCTTCGGGGGCTATTCCATCGTGAGGATACAGCCAGAGTGTGCCTGCCTTTGCATACGGTTCTGGCAGTAATATCAGCCATCCATCCCCTCTACCAGTATTATCCATTAACGAGAAGTACTGAGCCTACCGTAGTACTGCGTGATCTGATATCCAGCCGGCTGGTCCTGGTAGAAGTAGTGCTTGCGGTCAAAGTGGCTCACGCTCTGTATCTCACAGCCAAACGCAATGGCAGCTCGCAGCGCCGGTATCAACGTTGCTGTCTGGAAGGACTGTCATTTGTAAAGTCAGACATGACATACATCAATATATAGCAAATGCAGGGTAGATAAGCTGGTACTGACTGGTTGACTGCCGGGGAACGCGAGATCGAACAGGGCGACGTTGGTATTCGGCGCATCCTCCTGAGCAGCAGAAGCCCCTACACAATCAGTTCAGCGTTTTTCATTCTAGAGACTTTTTCCCCCTCTATCTTTCTCTTGTGCCAGTGCTTCTTTATAGCCATTAACTCACTGGAAAACAGCTTAGAGTCCGTATCCAGCTGGGCGTGGACCTCAATGCCGACTGTCAACTCCCATCCTTCAACCTGCGAGCTCGCGCCTCTCGACTTCTTCTTTCCCTTTCCCTGCAGCCGTTTCGCCTTCGTCTCGTCCTTCAACTGCTTTCGCAACGGCACGAACGGTTTGGCATCACCGGCGACGCTGCTGGTCGCTGACTGGGCATGCTGCGTGCTGAGTAGCCGTCTGCTTGGGGTCCAATGTCGAGCAGCCACGGCAGCCGAAGACAGGAACATACGAGGGTGTAGCAGCCGAAGCCTGACCATCTGCGACTGCATCTGCATCTGCCTCTGCTCTTCTTTTTATCCTTCGTCTTTGTTGCCTTGGTCTTCGCTGGTGGAAGCTCGCGGTCGGGCAGCTCGTATGTATGCTTTGGTAGCAGCGCAGGTTGGGCGACCACAGGCCTCTGCCGTCTATTCTTCGTCTCCTAATTGAGCGAGCTGGCTGACAGCTGGAAGCAAATGAAAATGAGAATAATTAGGAGTAAATCCGTTGGCTAGTCTGGCTCTTCTGCAGGGAAGAAATGCGAGTAAGTCGAGGATTTGATTTTCCGTGGCTTTGGAATTGGCTGTCGTTGCTTTTTCTCGGCCATCTAGACAGTCACTCGCAGCCATCACAATCCCCCGAATATTATACGGAGTAACTAATAAAATAAACAACTCTGTCAAGCCGACTGATCTGGTCGGATATTTCTTGACAGCGAGGGGTGCCAGTGCCAGAGCAGAGGAAGAAGCAAAGAAAAGCCACTGCCAGCGCCTCTGTCTGTGTAATACGGGCCAATATCAGACTGCTATTCGCTGGCCGGGGTCGCAGGAGGACGAGGACGGCAGACTTTTGCCCTTGATCGTCTGCGTGCAGGCTGCCCATCGAGTTAATAATAGCCCAGTTGCTCTGTACAGAGTAGAAAAGTTGGATCTCTTCTTCTTATCCCTCAGAGTTGGACGGTCGTGTGTCTCTCTGTACTTCGTGATATCCGTCCTAAGGCCGCCAACCGACGGACTGATGTTTCACCACGGATTATGTATATTGATCCCTTGAGTCTTTAAGTAGCATTCTCTCTTGCAGTATATCTGTATCCTCTGTATCTGGCTGTGTCTGCCTGTCTTGTACTCCGTTCTGTCTCTGCACCGCATCCCTGGCTGCCACCGGGCTGATAGACACCGCTCCAGATGACTTCCATATGATAAGCAGATGATGGACACAGCCGGCTCTGCTTTCGACGAAGGTTAGCAACAGTGCAGAAGTCACTAAGCAAGCCACAGAGCATGGGCATGTCCAAGGGTCCGAGGCAGCTAACTTGCCTCTGGCTGGCCCCCAGACGAATCACCGTCCTCCTGCCCCGGACGGCCTTGGGTAGAAATCACCTTGATCCTGGGGAAGTAAAAGAGTATACGGCCGTCCGTTTGAACTAGCGACAGAGAGTCGATAGATGAAACCTTTCTCATCTGATGTGACAAGTCACTGGCCGGCGGCATGGGAGTCGAAGCTGAATCCGCATATCCATGAAAGAAAGCCCTGACGCCGTGAAGCCGAGGACACGCACACTGGGTAGATAGTGAAGCAGTTATGTGTGTCCCCCGTAGTTTATCTCGGTCCAGATCCCTCGAGACGAGCGGTATCTCGACTTCTGCTGCTCTTGTTTCATCTTCTGTTGGCTGTCTGGCTGGCTGGCTGCGTTGGTCTCACGGCATCAAGGCTGGTCGTTTAACATCCCCAGGTCATTGGCAGCGCATCCAGTATTTACTTCTTCTCTCCGTCTTCGTCTTCTTCTTCTTCTTCTTCTTCTTCTTCTCGTCTCCGTCTTCGTCTTCTTTTCTTTTTCTGCTCGTCTTTTCTAGTTATCCGTCGTCATCGCACACAAGGGCAGAGTCGCAGCCCTCCATGAGACGCCCGCATGCCCGCCATCTAACCGTGTCGATCGGGCCCAGGGGTGTTTCATCGCACTATTGAACCTGGCCGGGTTGGATGGAATATATTAACCTCGTCGTCTATCGTCTATCTATCGAGTGACTAGTTGTTGTCTGTCTGTCTGTCTGTCTGTCTCTCTGCTGGCCGTCTATATATCTACCCGAGTGCTGGCCGCTTCACGGTAGAACAGAACCTTCGTCTCTGCTGTAACTAGTCAACTGCCTAACCCGCCGTCAGCGAAAGGAATAAATAACCATCTATCTTGGACAGTGACATCTGCTTACTGCTGCCCTGCCGTCGCCTGACTTGACGCTGCCTTGGTCTCTCGCCTGCTCGTGGCTGCTTCTACCTCGCCGTGACCAGCTCTGTGAGACGCTGCCAGCCAGAGTTGACCGCGGGCGGCTATAGCGAGCGACCTACTAGACGGCGGGCTGTACCGCCCTATATCCCAGATCTATAACCAGATATCCCCGGCCTAGGCGGCTGTACGATCTATAAGATGGCGCCGGGGAAGAGCAAGAAGTCGAAGAAGGCCTCCGCCGTGCCCCTGCAGCCTCCGCCGCCGCCGGTCTCAGGCTCGTCGCTGGACTTCTCCTATGCCATCCCAGAGGCCGAGCCGGCGCCAGACCACCACGGCTACAGCATATTCAACGAAGCCCTGGATGCGCCGTACGAGGAGGACAAGGAGTTTGCTGCCGCGTCTTCCTCTGCCGCTGCCCGGCGACGAGCGGCCAGCAGAGCCAGCGAGCCCGCCGTCGCGCTCCCGGCCGCCGCTGCGCCCATACCTACTACTTCTTCTATACCCGCTACCTCGATACCATCGTCTATACCCGCGCCAGCACCTATATCTACGTCTGCAGCTCCCATAGAGCCGGCAGCAGCAGTCTTCTCCTACCTCGATCACCCGCTGGACGAGCAGATGCAGATGAAGCCGCCGTCGTCGCATTCCAGAAAGGCCTCCGAACCCGTCCTGCCCAGGGCCCCGCGGCCAAAGGACCATACCCGCAAGGCCAGTCTCTCCCAACTGCTCAGGACGGTCTCGGGAGGATCTTCCTCTACGGCCAAGGATAAAGAAAAGGACAAAGAAAGAGACCTCAGCCCGAGCCGGTCGTCGTCGGCGTCAAAGGAGTCTGAATACCAGCCCATCACTCCTCCAGACATGCTGTTCGACCATATCAACCTCAACATCCCGGGGACCAAGGGCATGTCAAAGTCCCACATGGCCGGCTCCTACATGACGGACTCAGAAAGCCTGCTCGAGGGGCCTACTTCCGCTGCCCCGGCCTTCATGAGCTTCTCCCATCCGGAATCCTTCTACATGCCGAAGAGCATGCTCTCATACTCCATGGCTCCTCCGCCTCCCACCAAGCAGCAGCAGCAACTGCAGCATTCTGATAGAGCACCGGCAACTGAAGCCTCCAGACGACGCTCCCAGGCCTCACTTCCCGAACAGTTTGAATGGACTGCTACACCCGAGACACCCCACCATGTATACCGCAAGTTCGAGCGGCTGAACCACCGTGTGCTGCGGCACTTGCAGGAGGAGATAGCCCAGTTGGAAGACGATCTGCTCACCATTGATGATATTGAGGCTGCCCGGGCTGGTGCTTCGGGCTCTCGTGCTTCTTCACGCCAGAAACAGCTCGCTGCAAAGTACCGCGATCAGATACAGGATCACTCTGTCCTCCAGAATAAACGGACAGACCTTCTCGACAAGATCATTCTCAAGACCGACCAATACAGTATGTTCCACTATCCTATCTTACCCACACACACACACAGCTTAGAAATGCTAACAAATTCATAGATCGGGCGCTGTGCTCCTTTTCTAAAGTGATCAAGAATCTACCAGCTGCTTCTGACGATGATATCGATGCATACAGGACCTTCCTACGCTCTCCTGCAGGCGCATCTACTAAGAGCGAGAGGAAACTCCTAGACCAGCGATCCGACCTAGTTACCATGGCTCCTCGCCCTGCCAGCGCCCTGCATTCGAATCCCCTCTACTCCACCGTGGCTGCTATATTCGCTGCCATCCTCTTCCCCTTGCTCGCCTTCGGGGCCATCACCGAATTCTTCGGACGTATTGTCGTCGTCTCCTTTGTTGCGGGTTCGTTTGCCTGGTGGGCGTCAAACGGACCTCCAGGCCATGACTATCTCATTGAGCCACAGGATGGCTGGAAGTGTGCTGTCATGTAAGTCATTCCTTTCAATATCCTCGTATCTCTCCCCTCTGATAACCAGTTACTAATGCCTATGTACAGTTACTTCGGCTTCATGACTATCGCAGCACTCCTGCTTTGATGCCTTCATACTCCTGTTTTCTATCAAAATACCTTCGGCATTAACTACTTATACCCTTCCTCCGCCTCTAGTCTTCGCCGGTTCGACTTCTAGGATGCATACACTGGAATATTTCATGTTCCGCTTTCTTCTTGGTTCCTTCAAAAAAAAAAAAAAAAGGATTACTTTTCCTACCATTTCGGTCTATCAATCTCATGTACGGTTCTATGTTTTTTTACGATGTTATGATTCCAGGAACTTCAAAAAGGGGGCTTCTTCCTTTCTTTTCATCCTGCGCCATAATTGATAATGATCTTATCCTTCTCTTGCTATGGGTGACCTTCTTTCTCCTGTTTTGAATGTACGGCTTATGAGTTTCATCTCCCCGTTTCTAAACAAGCAACCCGTGCAAGGAGTACTTCTGCTCGGGCTGAGCTGCGGACACCACACTTCTGCTGCGGACACCACAGCTAATTTACTTTAGGTTAGCGCCATACACTCCTTTACACAGAATCTTACTAGAGGTAAAAAGGTACTTCTCTTACTTACTTCCTACTCTTTACTCTATGCTTTCTCTCCTTACTCCCTCTTTACTTACTACCTACTCCCCTTTATTACCTTATATTCTCTTTTACCTCCTCCTTCCTTCTAATGAGACTTAGGGTAGGGTCAGGGTTAGGCCTTAGGGGGTTAGTTAGGGAGGGTAAGGGAGGGTAAGGGAGGGTAAGGGGGTTAGAGGGAGTACTTTTATTCTTATATAGAGGGGAGAAGAGAGAGAGAGAAGAGGAGGGAGAGAGAATTTAATTCTTCTTCTTTTTTTTCTCCCTCTTCCTTCTTCTATCTCCCCTTTTCTTTCTCTTCCCTTTTTTTTTTTTTTTTTTTTTTTTTTTTTTTTTTTTTTTTTTAAGTAAGTCTATAAGGTAAGAAGTATAGAGAGAGAGATAATAAGAGTAAAAGAGTAAAGAGAGAAGAGAAGAAGTACCTTTTTACCTCTGGTAAGATTCTATGTAAGGGAGTGTATGGCGCTAACCCAAAATAAACTAGCTGTGGTGTCCGCAGCTCAGCCCTTCTGCTCGTTCCATAAGACGAGGGGTATTTTTCTACCTTACTATTACCCATGTATTAACCAGCTTGTTTTCTACTATGAATATGCCTCGTATCTCTTACCAATCGCTTATATGAAACTATCAGGGATGGGGTAAGTCTATGCAGTGTTACAGTGCAAGCCTTAGTTTGCGCGAATAGATAGACAAGCAGAAGAACCTGAGATATTTCTCTTGCATTAATCGCATTAACTAGAAATACTCCTTATCCCTTTAAAACAGACATGGAGAACATTAGTAAATACGAGTCGATTCACCTTGACTTGAGGGCTCGTAAAAAGGCAAAGAAAACAAGTACATAGATCAAATGGAGAAAAACACCGGTCAAAAGCCATCTTCAGAGAACATTCCACTATATAGTCCAGCCAGCCCATTTAGCACATAAGTAACAATCAAGCAAGCCCTTGGATGATCTTTTGTTGTTTTCAACCTCTTTGTTTTCCTTTTATTTATGTGTGAATGTGTTTGGAAAAGCCCATAAGCTGGACTGATTAAAGATCCCTTTTAAATACCTCCATGCACCAGTGCAGAATAAAAGAACATAAAGCAGAAGGACAGCGAGTGGTCTACTCGGATAATTAAGGTAGAATAGAGATGGAAGGATAGACAAAGCAGGGGCAGAAGATGAACGAGGCATAGATGGTCTGTTGATACATTGGCGAATAAGGACGTGGTTGTAGGTAGGTCTCCTTTGCCCTGCAAGATTAAAGTCGCAGAAAGGCCAAGCTGCCAGGGTAGGAAAGACGGGGTGTAAGGTAGAGCAACCTTATTCAGGCTATCAGAGTGTAAACTTTGCCCCAACTGGTAAGATCTACTTTGATGGTCCAGGGGTAGCCATGGGAACCCCATTTGGCTGGCCGTTGGGCTGCATTGGCTGAGGTGAGGCAACAGCTTGAGCGCGACCGTCTAGCAGTTGCATTTTGTTTCGGTCCATGATCGCCGCCTGTTCAGCGGCTGACCGTGGATAGGGTATACCTGGAGAAGCCTTTGCATATGGAGAGTGTATCTGGTTCGCCTGGCCCGGGTGGTAGTTCGCATAAGGCATGGGTTGTGGTGTCTGCTGCTGGAAGTACCGTGGCTGAGCAGGGTGACCAGTAGGTGAGTTTAGGTAAGGTGTTCGTTGTGGTGATTGATTATAACCATGTGGTGACTGCGGCATTCTCTGAGCCGTGGCAGCATGGTTAATCTGTGGCTGGTGGATAGGTTGATGGTATGCGACTTGGGGTGTACGATGAGGGTATGGTTGGGTTGGAGTTTGTGCAGGGGAAGCCCGTCTCTGCGGGTAAGGAGGTACACCGTTGGATGCAGGTCGCTGGAACTGCTGGAGCATTGCACTTCTGCTGTAAGGGGGAGATGCCGCCGCCGGTTGTTGGTATGGGGGCTGCATGTATCCTTGCCGTTGACCGGTCGGCGGGTGCTGTGCGTACGGCTGGGGGTTTACGGGTTGGTAGTGTCCGGGTGGTGGCGGGGGTGGTCTCCCTGCGTACCCTTGAGGGGGGACCTGTTGATAGTTCACTGGCATATGCTTTTGGCGAGTGGCATGTTGTCGTTGGTAAGGTGCCGGCGCTGTTGGGGCTTGGTAGGGAGCTGGTCGGCCCTGAGGGGCCTGGCCATGGGCATGGCCTCTGGAGTTTACCAGATTTTGTTGGATTTGCGCAGCCTGTTTTTGTTGCTTGGTAAAGTCATCATCATCCAGAGTGCCTGGGTAATCAGCGCCATCAAGAAGGATCTTCTTGCTCAGGTTCAATTCTGCGAGTTGTTCTCCCGTCAGCTTCGACACTGCATATGGAGGCAAAGAAGACACCAGCGTCGACAAGCTAGACTTCAATGTTTCGTATATGCTGTATTCCGCATCGGACGGAGTAGCTGTTGGGTCTTGGCTTGGTAATGTCCCATTGCTTTGGTCAGCCGCTCTTTTATCCGGTGGCTGTTGCGCGAGGTTTCGGAGTTGGCGGTACGAGTTTAATGTTTGAAGCAGATCTGATATATCATCCAATATTTCTCCAATATCGCCCTGGGCCTTCTTCTCCTTATCCTTATCGCTCTCCGCTTCTTTAGAGTCTGTTGCTTTATCCACATACATCGTATCTGGCTTGAAGGACTCGACAGCTTCAGACAGGGTTTCCTCATCCAACAACTGGGGGTCTAACACTTGATCCAAAGTTGGACGAGCTTTCAGGGAGGCTGCGGAGTCTTCGTCGTTTTGCTCAAAGTTAAACAAAACATTCATGCGACGAGCCCCTGACTTCTCCCACCAGGCTTGATATTTGGCAGCTCGGGGAGCGACTGCGCCTGAACTATCAAAGGACGGGGCGAATGAAGAGTAGATTGCATGAAAGAGAGACTTGTCTTCTTTTGAGAATTTCTCCTTCTCGATGGCTTCCTGTCTTGACACGCGGCGGGCATTATCCGATAACAGGGGATTCTCATAACCATAGTTTAACCAGGAACCGGATGGAAGGGATATTTGGCTGTAAGCTTTTCTCCCAAGAAGCTTGCTAGGTAACGAGGAAGCGGCTTCGAGAGGATCTAGCCACTCAACGACGGTTGGACCACTTTCTGCAGGGCGTTTCTGAGGCCGTTCTAGAACAGGAAGATTTGGTCGTGGTGCAAATACCTCTCCGATTGTCCTTGTTCGGGTCCGCGATTCATCCATATGTAAAGGATTGAAGGGAACAATCTTAGTAACTACTATCCCCTTTGGAAGCGCAGTTTCGTTGATCGGTAAATCGGACTTCTGCACGCTCGAGAATATCTGTCTTCCATGAGGAGTATTATCCACGAGAGCCAAAGCCAAACGATCGTTACGAGAATTGCCAGGCAGTGGTTCAGGCGTATCCTCAGCCTTTGCTGGCTTGATCGAAGTGGTAGATGGCGATGCTTGGGGAGAGATTTTCAGGACCAGCCTATTTAGCTCCTTTCTGAAGGCGTTCGCACGACTGGAAGACTCATTGGGCGAGGCCTGTGTAGTTGACCGACGAGTCTTACTATCGTGTCGCTGACACTCTGCGACAAACGAGTTGATGGACTGTTCGACATCGTGAAGGAAAGGTTCAAGGGAATTGTAGTACGACTTTTCAACCCGGGACTGAACGGATTGTTGTTCGACAGCCGTCTTGGACCGTTTTACTCGCTTGTTCTCAGGCTCTCCAGTGGGTACATAGGCAAGTGGGCGACTTAAGATCCCAAGTTCAGAGTCATGTCTAGAATATGAGTGTTAGAAATGCGACTAGAAGATAAAAATGTGAGAGGCCACAGGATGGTCAACATCTTACTTTGAGAGAACCAGAAGAAGATCTTTGAGAGTATCGGGAAAGGCAGATTCGCCGCTTCCAGATGTAGGAGCAGTTCCGTCTGCCTCCCCTTCTGCTGTTGTTTCGCGTTTTCGCTTTGGGGGTGCCGGAGTGACTGACGTCTCAGGGCTTTGAACTGGATTCCCATTCATCTTGACGGTTTCTTCGTCAGCGTTTCTTTTCATTCCACCTCAATATATCATCCACGATGCGAGCTGAAAGTGAGAGAACAGCTAGATCGCGCGCGGTCGACGCTTTATCCAATTGCGAGAGAAACACTTCCTGCATGAATCGAGAAGGCTGATAGCGAGAAAATGCCAGGAAAAGCAGTCCAGATAAAACCCCCTCCAGGCCTTATGCTTGTAGGCTTTTTCTCCTTCGAGCTCACGGCCAACTGGGTCTAAATCTGAGTAGAGCACAGCGACAGACAGCTCTTGCTACCCTGTCGCGCAGTTAGCTTCAGCAGCAGGACGGAGACAGGCGATGATGCAGAACGGCCTACCGGTAAGAAAGCAAGCAGTCCGCCACCAAAAGGAAAACTAGAAGCGCGTCCAGGGAGTCGTTCGGGGTGCAGGCAGAACCACACTGCAGCTCGTCCGTCGTCTCCGCCGTCCTGAGGTCGCTCGAACAATCCCGCTGTCGGCCAGGAGTCTCAGAGATGCTGCTGAGACGAAACGAAATGCCGTCAAATCTGCTTTCTGCGTCTTCTTTTTTTCAAACTTCGCGATCTCAAATTCCTTCTTTGGGAGTTGTCACGTGAAATGATGACTCAGCAGGACATCCTCCAAGGCCGAAAAACGAACATCGCGAAGTTTTTTTTTTGATATTCGACGGCAACATTTGATTTTGATATTGATATTGATCCAGACATCTCTTGACGGCGAATTAATGTCCTGCTGACTCTCGCTACCGTGCCCGGTGCCTTCGATGTAACATGTTCTTGCAGACAGGCTGCTGATTCCTCTCCAATTAAAGCTACGGACCCATCCTCAGAGGAGCTGTTATATGTCCTCTTTCCGCCGGTATGCCTGCCAAAGACTTGCGGTATCATTGATATCCCCGTGTCTTTCTCAGACTCCTGTGCCGCAGCATGTCAAGGTGCGTTTCCTGGTATATGCTTTTTTTTTTTTTTTTTTTTTTTTTTAATTTTTCTATAACTCTGCTGACCAGAAGCCGTTTAGCCGACTAGCCTAACCCAGACGCTATGTACTGCACATCAGCCTGGTGCCTCTGGGATTGCGCACTCAGTTTACCCTTCTCCTGAGCTTCCCACCCTTATAGGGGAGACGAAGCCGTCTGGGGTCTATCCGCCGTCCCCCAAAGTTCTCCTTTTGGCTCTGCACCGGATTCAGGCAGGGATTTATACTTCAGCTGGTCATGGAGGTCTACTATCAAGTCTGGCTGAGAAATCTGCGGAAAAGGAGAAAATAACCTCAAAATTGGAAGCTAACTTAAATGCAACCCGTTCTGTACGCATTGAATATTCGCTCCTGGTTGCAAGATATCTGCATCAGATATACCCATTGTTGAGGACAGATGTGACTAGAGGGAGTGATTTAGATAATGCTCTTCTCACGGTGTTTGACGATGATGCATTAGCATATTTGTCCAAGAGAGGGTATTCTCCGGGCGATGTGATGGCCTGGGCATGGGTACTGGCTACACCAGATGCATATCTGGCTGCCATGCGGTACCATAAGTTGGTAGAGGAAACTGCGGTACCCGTGTTTGTTCTTATGTTCCTCTTGCGACGGGTTGACATCGACGAACCTAGCTTCAAACTCCTCTTAGAGCAGTGTCGAAGGCTGTTGAATTCCATGGTTCAAGATGATCTCCCACCCACACCCAAAGACTCAGAACCTATACCAGCGCGCAATATTAAAGGAGACTCTGCTCTGGCGATGACCATCCTTGTTCGATTAACCAACTTGGCACGCAATGTTGCTCCCAGGGCTCTGGTCAACATAGCGGAAATGTTTACATCCTCATTTGCTCATCTAACATCAACGAAGGACCTGGATAAACTTGGCCCTAAAAAGGCGCGCCGAGTAACAGAGCTTTACAACAAATTTATCCAACGTTTGGCAGGGTGGTGCCGAGTAGAACCGTATCATTCGGCTAAATTACAGCAAAAGGCTGTATTCCACGTACTACGAGAGATGGAAACTTACAACCCACCCCTCCCGGTCAACAAAGCGAGTTATCAGGCAATTACGCAGATTTTACTTGCCTCCAAAATGACGAAAGCAGAAAGACAGTGGGATAGCTTCAAGGCAGTCTCCTGGCCTCCGTGGAAGGAAGACAGGCTCGGAATCGACGCTGAAAAGACTGAGGGAAGCAAAAGCAAGGCAATGGAGTCTATGGCCCACATGCAGCAGGCCGGCTATCGTTTTGATGAATGGGATAGAGCGGCGTCTGTTGTAGCCGGCTGGGATACAGATGGAACACCGACAATTCAAAAGAGAACCAGGCTTCCAGATCCCAGCTGGCAGTTTTCAGAAGAGAACCAATCTCCCTCAGAACCACTTGTCTGGGCTGCCCGTATTCGTGCAACTAGAACTCTCCGAGAAGCATGGGCATGCTACGTCTCTTCTCAGCAGCAGAATGTCCGTCTCACCGAACAGATCATCCATGAAATCGTGGAAAAACTCATCGCGTCCGAGAGAACCCGCGGGCAAATCAATCGACTGGAGCAGTTTGGATCTCAAGCTTCTACCTTTACTCCATCTGATGGCGGTAAAGAGGTGCATCCCGAGCCAACGTCGCCGCGCGATCTCATATATGTACCTTCCGAGCCACCGAGTCTACCTGAGTTTTTACAACAGACGTTTTCACAGGATTTTCCGCTACCAGATAAAGTGCTTGTCTTGATCCTTCGACATACTTCCTCCTTAAAGCAGGGACTGGATTATATCAATCACAGTAGCCTTAGTAAGGGCCAGATTTATGCATTGTTTAGCCCTTCCTCCCAGCAAGGCAAAGAAAGGCTGGAAGCGCTGAGCTCCATCCATGATGCCACCTTTTCTGCTGTCATCCGGTTCCTATGCAGGTGTGCTTCACACAGTACCGTGAATCGGATTGCAGACCGGATAGAAGCTCTGAATGCCATGTTCCCGATTATCTTGCCACGATATTCGGACTTGGAACCCAACCAAGGCCGTGCCCTTGCTCACGCTGTTTTTCTCATGGAGCAACGGAGGCCCCGATACATGTCTGCCTGGCATAACCTTCTCAAGGCTGTGGCTATCGGCAGTCGACCGTTTCACCATTTTCACAGGCTCGGACTCGCTCCAGGAGTGAACCGAGTCTTTGTTTGGGAAGAGACACTAAGACTGGCTGAATACATGAAGGCCAACTCCATAGCGCTAGACCTAAGGTGTATCCAGCTCATGTGTAATGGATTCGCAGGTCTGCTGCAAACCCTCCATCTCCACCCCAATGCCGTCAAGGCAGGGGGAAGGGCAATGTCTCATATCCTATCCTTAGGGCCTTCCCATGCAACACTGGACCGGCCTTTGACAACACAAACTCCTGACGAAATGGTAGAGCATGGCCTCTCACTGCTAAGATGCCAAATTAACCGATATCTCCCACTGTACCGGAGACAGCAACCTACCAGCACTCCGTCAGTTGACGATGCCACGCCCTCGAACGGAGTGGTAATGCCATCTCCCTCCATTCTCCACTCGCTTATCCGGGTATTCGGGCGTGGCAGAGACCGACAAACCATCGTGGCTATTCTCCGTGTTCTCCAGGCGGAAGCTTATGAGCTCAAGCGGGTGACCAACGAGCGACGTGGGGGTCGCAGGATGCTTCGCCGGGCTGTGGTTGCCTGCAGGGCTTTTCTTGAAAACGACCTGGCGGGCTTGAGAGAGGACAGAGACGGCTGTCCGCAAGGCCGTTGGCAAGCCCACCCCCTCACCCAGGAGGCTCGCCGCCTCGTGAACGGGACTGAGGCCATGGCTCCGTGGCCGTCGGATGAAGAGGTTGATGCTTATATCCAGCACGAGATGCTGTATAACTACCACGACGACGAAGAGTAGACTCCATCCATGTACCAATATCAATGCAGTATTAGTATCAGCATCCATGCCAGACCTAGACAAATAATACCGATAACACTTCGAATAACAACTTAACTAGTCTTCGGCGTCGGGCCAAGCGGCCGAAAGTAATAAAAAAACGAACATAAATACAAACCCGAAGAATAGTTAACACCAACGTCACCCCATCAACATCCGCATCAGCCTCTCTCTCTCTCTCTCTCTCCAGCATTTGCCATCCATTTGCCGACTGTAGCGCCAACACACAATGGCTGCTGCTCGAGTGTTCCGGCCGACCAGCCTCCGCCAGTTCCCCGTCGTCCAGATCCGCCGAAATGCTACGCTCGGCACCAGCGCGAACGGCGAAGTGATCAATGTGCAGCAGATTCCGGCCCCAGGCGCCGGCCATATCAGAGTCCTGCTGCTGAACCGGCCCAAGGCGCGCAATGCGATCTCCCGGCAGCTGCTGAACAGCCTGGGCAAGCACCTGGACGACATCAAGGCGGAGCAGGGCAAGGGGCCGACGAGAGCGCTGGTCGTGGCAAGCAACGTCGATGCCTCGTTCTGCGCCGGAGCAGACCTGAAAGAGCGAGCCACCTTCACCAAGCAGGAGTGAGTTATAGCTTCGTTTACGGAGTACTCTGTATAATACCGCCTAATCTTCCGAGAACTAGAGCCGCTGACTTGACGACGGGATAGTACCGAGGCGTTCCTCGCTCAGCTGCGGCAGACGTTCGCCAACCTGGACGAGCTTCCGATCCCAACCATCTCAGCCATCTCCTCGATGGCGCTGGGAGGCGGACTGGAGCTGGCACTGTGCACCAAGCTGCGAGTCTTCGGAAGCACCAGCGTCGTTGGACTGCCCGAGACTCGCCTTGCCATCATTCCCGGCGCAGGAGGCACGTATAGGCTGCCACGGCTTATCGGGAAGAACCGCGCGCTGGACATGATCCTGACGGGACGGCGGGTCAGCGGCCCTGAAGCCTACTTCCTCGGCCTCTGCAACAGGCTGGTGGAGGTGACGCCCGAGGAGGCAGGGAAGCCGGGAGAAGCACGGGAGAAGGTTCTACGCGAAAGCATCAGGCTGGCGCAGGAGATTTGTGAAGGCGGACCGATTGCGCTTGGCCAGGCTCTGAAGGCGGTTGACGGGTTCGAAAGAGGCGCAGAGGCAGAGAACGAGGCGTATCTTGGTGTCGTGGAGACGGAAGATCGATTTGAGGCTCTGAAGGCGTTTGCCGAGAAGCGGAAGCCTTCGTTTAAGGGACGGTGATTCGATAATAAAAAAAGTTTGACTGGCCATGCACCGCTGACCTGACCTGACGATGACGAGATGACGATGGTGATGGCTGAATTACGACGATGGCTTATGAATCTGTGTACAGCGAGGGCTGCCTACATGCTATATGCTACATTGCTACATTGCTACATTGCTACTTGCACTAGTTATGTAACTGTAGGATGTACCTCTTGTCACGGATGGGCTGGGTCGGATTCCATCACCATCTGGGGCCAGATGGGCCATGTGATGTATATTAGAAGTGAACATCAGGCACATGGGAGGCAGAATGTGCAGGCTACGGGTGATTCGCAGTGGGCTTTCCATGGATGCAAGGCAGTTGTCTTCGGCAAGGAGAAGGTAGGAGTTTGGATATGTGTGCTACTACCATCAATCAAATAGACGGCAGCGTGTATCAAAAGCACCAGCCTTGCTTGGTTGGACATGCAGGCACCAACGTTTCCTGAGCCTCCTGTTAGCGACTCTCGTATTCTGATAACAGCCGACTTGGGGCTTCCAGACGTTTGCTCGAAGCTAGCTATCTCTGCCCTCGGTCGATTCGAGTGCATGGTCTATATCCGTCGAGGGCATCCTGCTCAGCCCTCTGGCTCGCGTAGTCGAGTTTGCTTTGACAAGGCGGCCTTGTTCGTATGATGGCATCGAGCATGAGATACCCTCGATGTTTGCTGTCCACTCGACCTCGACGCCGTAGTTGAGAAGTGCATAGAGGCAGCATTTCCATACGAGACATGACCTGGGCCGTCGTTGATATTGAGATCTCTGCCCTCTCCGCGCCCACCAAGATCACGAGCTGAGCCGGCACTGCATGATACAGCCGCCCATGTTTCACAGACGGCCTTGCTGTCGATACTGGGTGGTCCGTAGAATCCTGTGTGATGCAGGCGGTTGTGTTTCCCCCCTCCCCGTCGAAACCGCATCTGCATCTGCATCTGCATCTGCATCTGCACTGCGTATGCCGGGAGAATGCGAGCGCCAACAGCGTCGAATTGTTTCTCGGGGACTGGAAAGAGTTAAGTCTCATCGTCCACTCTCATGTCTGGCTCGTGGTTCGGGGAGGCGGATCGATCCATGGGGCAGTCAAAAGCAACGCCAGGCAAACAATGCCGTATAACTAGATAGATAGATAGATAGCCAGTAACCTGTTGACTCGATCGAGGCCATGCCCTCCATCACCCCAGCCGCACCGCTCGCCTGGGAGCCCGAAGAGGTCTCCGCCGGCCACCAGGAAGGCTTCCCCTGGCATAGGGCTGCAGAGTCCACCACCCAGCCCGCAAAGACAAGCCTCCAGCCTGCCCGTCCGCGAGCATCCAAGGCTGGCCAAACGCCCGCCAATCGCGCCCGGGAGCACTATTTTGGTCTGCCTGGTCGAGTCCCCAATCGCGAGCCGGGGATGCGCAAACGACCAAGGAGGAACGAGGCTGGAAATCCCCCGCCCCCTTGCAGGCCGGCGGCAGCGCGAGGAGACGCCGGAAGAGCTTCGAGAGAACGGTGGCCCATTGTCCTATCGGTATAAAAGCGCCGTCATCAGTTAGCTAACTGGCCAGTTGATAACTAACTTGCATATAGTTGCTGGAGAAGAAGGTCTGCAGGCCGGTGATGTCAGTTACGGAGCGCAACTCGCAGCTGACCCTCCAGGGCTCGCAGAACCGCTGAGCCCTCCCTCCTGCGCCCTGGGTGCCTCCTCTGCCTCCTCTGCCTCCTCTGCCTCTGCCTGCTGGCGCTGTCTCTGCCTCTGTTTCTCTTCTGTCGCTGCTCACAAGACTGCGGTTGCATCACCGATCATCGACGGCGCGGTGGGTGTGTCAGGCTGCTGCAAGGGCGCCGCCGGCTCTCATCCTATAATATAATAGATACACCACACCCCTGGCCTCGATATCTCTTCTTCCTCTACTTCTACTACTTCTGCTTCTGCTTCTTCTGCTTCTGCTTCTGCTTCTGCTTCTGCTTCTGCTTCTGCTTCTGCTTCTTCTCTTCCTCCTCCGCTGATCTCGCTCATGGGCTCGACGTCTCGACTCTAGAGAACAGCTTGCCGTCCGCCGCAGAATGACGACCGCCGTCACCAAGCGCGGCGTCGCCGTCAAGCAGTTCGGCCTCACACAGCTCTACCAGACATCCAGCCCGGCCGTCGAGTAAGTCCCTGTCTCTGTCTCTGCCTGTCGTCTGCGTATTCACCCTGCTGACGGGTCAGTATCGTCTTTGTCCACGGCCTCAACGGCTCGGCGTACCATACCTGGGCCACCAAAAAGCCCCCCGAAGTCTTCTGGCCCTCCGACCTGCTGCCAGGCGCCCTGCGCGGCCTCGAGGTCAGGATCCTCACCTACGGCTACGATGCGAATGTGGCCGCCTTCAGTGGAGGGACGTCGAAGGACAAGCTGCACAACCATGCGGAGCATCTCATCACCAGCCTGTGTGCGCTGCGGAGTGTATGTGCCGGGCCTGCTATCTATTTATATACAGATTCCAAGGCTAACATGGTATCGATAGGACACCAAATCGACCGAACGGCCCATCGTCTTCGTCTGCCACTCCCTGGGCGGCCTGGTGGTGAAGAAGGCTCTCTGCTGCTACACCAGAATCAGCCACCAGCATACCCAGCATCTGCGGTCCATCTTCGTATCGACGTTCGGCATCATCTTCCTGGGGACGCCGCACAACGGATCCAGCATTGCCAAAGTCGCCAGCACGGCGCAGTCCTTCATCAACACCGTCATACCAAAACGGCTGCTCTCCACCTCTCCCCAGCTCGTCCAGGTCCTGCAGAGCGACAACGAGCACCTCCAAGTCATCAACCGCGACTTCGTCCAGATCATGGACCGCTTCCACATCTACTTCTTCCACGAGTCCAAGCCCATGGACATAGGCAGCACCCGAGCCTTCATCGTCGAGGAGTCCTCCGCCGCACCCGTCTGGGACGGTGTTGAGCGCATGGGCATCGAGGCTGACCACGGTGCCATGTGCCGCTTTGCTGACAAGAACTCCCCGGGCTACGACACCGTCACAGAGGCCATACGGCGGTACTCATCTACTGCCGGCCCTACCATCGTTGCTCGTTGGCAGCAAGCGAAGCAGGAGTACCTCCTCGCCATGCAGGCCGGGCTCCAGGTTCAGCAACTTAACGCTGGCAGTGCCTTTGACCTTTCCGCAGATACACAGGACCCTCTAGGTAAGCTGTCTTGCCCGCCCCCCCCCCCCCCCCCCCCCCCCCTTTTTTTTAGCGACAAACTTTATATACATGCGCCAGTTATGCTGATATTGTGTGTGCAATCATAATAATAGATCTCTCCCGCATCTCTCTACCGGGACCGCATGACCCCATATTCACCAACCCTGAAGCTCTCCGCCATGTCAACCGGCCCCTGTTGCTAGGCAATAATGATGATTCCCTGGTGACTGTAAGTCCGCCGGGCTTTCACCCCAATTCTGTGTTTCTTGGGATGCAAGAGGAGATGGATCAGTTGCGGAGAGTACTATCGGACGAAAGGAAGCGGGTCCTGGGGCCTGCCGCTGTTCTTATCCATGGAAGCCCAGGCTCTGGAAAGTCCCATCTAGCCAGACAGTACATGTACGACCATGATAAATTATACCCCGGCGGCATTTTCTGGATCGATGGCAAGTCCAAGGAGTCTCGTCTCAACGGAATATGGGAAATCGCCGTTGCTGCCTCTATTCTCTTGGAAGACCGCGAAGACCGAGACCCAAGATGGCTGATGGCCCATAAATACACTGCAAATGTCAAACGGTGGCTAGAAAGCAGAGACAACTGGCTGCTCATCTTCGACGGCCTCGCCTTTGAGGACGAAGATGACCTAAACGAATTCAAAAACTTCCTCCCCTTCAAGCCGAATACTAGCATCATCTACACGTCCGTCGACCGCACTCTTCGTCAGAAACAGCGCCTTTTTGAACCATATGGCCTTGCTGTCCAGCCTCTCGCCGTAGAGGCCGCATGCCAGCTACTCTTCACTGAGCTGGGAATCTCAACCCCAAACACGAGGCAGACCCAAAAGGCCAGAGAGCTGGTCAGGTACTACGAGTGTCTGCCACTCGCCATTCATGCCCTCGGTCATCGTCTTAACGCCAGTGGGAAACCACTAGAAACCTACCAACCCGGCTCTCACTTGACTGACAGCCGCCTAGCTGAACCATACAGGGAGATAATGACGGATCTCAATTCCAACCAGTACACCGAAGCCCTGCAGCTAATCTATATCCTATCCTTCTTCGGACACAACGTGCCCGTTGGCATGATCCATCTCGGCCGCAAGGCTTTGGCAGAGTACAAAGTTGAAATCCGGACCCTGGAAAGATATGGTAGTACCGAGAGGCACATCGATAACACGTTTGCCATCCTCATCAAGTACGGCCTGATTGAGCGCTCCTTTGACGCTTACAGCGAAGTCTCAGCTACCCCTACTAGTGAAGTCGACAGAAGGGGTATCGAACGCCGTTCTACAACACACTCGCAAAGCGCCTCCAGTCAGGATGCGATAATGGGCCGACCAAGAACAGAAATCGATGTGCTTAAGATTCATTCAGTCGTCCAGGGCTTCTGCCGCGATGAACTTATTGTCGAAGGTGCAAAGCATTTCTGGTACTGGCTGGGCATTGCTACAAGCCTGTTCTGTCTCTCTTACAAGAATGCTACAACTCAGATCAGAGCAATCAAGAATGCAGGCCTTGTCAGGGACTACCGCGAGTATCAGACTCATGCAAAGCGTCTCATGCGTCATTACCGGGCTAGGCTAGACAAATCAGAGGTCAATCTGGAACTTCACCACGAATGCTTGAAAAAGATGCTGCTTGACATCGAAGAGGAGATCAGACACCGGTCACCTGGCTCATCCCAGGAATGGTTCCGCCACCAGAGATCAATCTTCGATCATACAAACAGCATGTCGTCGTTCTCTGACTCTATAGCCAGCACATCTACCAGGTCCACCTGGGAACGGGACGTGGGAGCCGAATGCACTGACTCTCCACAGGAGATAGTCTCTCCGCAGGGTAGCGTTCAACCCCATTCGGTTCTCCATGGAAACACCAATGTCGGTACCGAGAATGCGGCTCAAAATGGCGGCAACGAGAACGAGGCTGCTGCCCCTGACATGTCCCCATCTCTGTCCAATAGCACTGAAGTCCCAACGCCGAAGGTTCCCCAGGAAGAGCGGCCCAGCACTCCTGGGAAGAAGCGAGGCAGTTTCCTGTCAGCTTTCAAGGAGCCCCTGAGACGGTTGAGAGAGCAGCGGAAGAACCTTGGGGAATCTAGACCAGCTACTCCTACTGTCTCTGTTTCAGATGGCTCTCGACGGAACAGTTCCATCCTGGTCCAGGGCAGCCCCAGCCAAAGGAAGCCTTCTGATGCTGGATCTGCGGGTAAACCGGTGGCCCCATTGGCACAGCAACATAGCTCAGCTTCATCCTCAAAGAACAGCGGTACAAGCACTGGACGGGTGCCAACCAAGCCCGGATCCAGCAACAAGAGCAACCACGGACCTTCCTATGCTGCCGTTGTTGGGGGTGCGACGCATGCCGGAACGAAGCCACCATCGCGGCAGCAGTGTTCAAATCTAACGCAGCGTCCAATGCACACGGATAGCCCTCCGTTACCAGATGTAGAGGAGATAAAACGCCTATCAGCTTCCCTGATGGGAGGCGCCGAGATGAACCTGTCCCTGTCAACTCACAGTGACCCTGGCCTGCCATACCCTCGTCGTATCTCTGCATCTGAACGAGGCTCACCAACGACCCCGAACTCTCCCTTCGGGATTGAACAGGATTCTCAGCGGCCTCCAATATCAAACCAGCAGCATTTCAGCGACTCCAATGTTGGTCCTCCCTATATGGGGCCAAATCCCTTGCCGATACCATATGAGCCGAACATCGAAATCACTCAAATGCCACCACGACGACCCTCGGCATTTACACCACCCCCACTACGAGCCGTCGGTTCCAGAAACAGTCTTCCCCATGGCTACTCATCTCAGCCGATGTCTCGGGAACACTCTGGAATATCACACCAATCACTTCAAGCAGAGCCTGGCAGATTCACACCTAGCCCACCGTCTGCATCGGCGCCTCGCGCAGCCTCCTTCTCCCATTCCAACAGGACTGCAGTCATTCCCAGAATAGACACCCGAATTAGATACCCAGCTAGTGAATGTGCAATCGATTCAGCCACCACAACGCCAACATTAGACGAAAGCCAGTTTTTACCATTATCAAATGTTACCACGGGGCCAGGCTTTATGGTTGATACAGGCGACGGCATTAGCGGTGTAGTTGAATTCAATCCTGTGCAATATACACCACCGCACATCCGCTTCGGCGAACTTGAGCCTGTCAATGTCGAGGCAGCCAGGCAGCGAGCCGAAAGAGCGCTTAGACAAGAACAGCTGATACGCCAGGCACAAGTACAGGCACAAGTGCAGGCACAGGCACAGGCTCAAGCACAACCACGGGCTGCACCTTATCCTGACCACAACTTCATGCCAACAGCTAGCGATCCGCAGCAGCTCGCTGACATGATGCGGCAGGGCTTCGCTACTCCGCCGCAACAACGAGCGGCGGAACAATTTCGTCAGGGAGGAGCAAGAACCCGGATAAGAAGCGGCAGTACCCCCCAGATACCAGACTGGACCGGCCTAGGCATCCACCATCGCTCTCCATGAACACCATTCAGAGAGCAAGACCAAATACACGACTACAAGAATTCTTACCATGATACATTCCGAACCACACCACTAGCTACAAACATCAAGTTTTCGACAGTTAATTTCTTTTTATCCTTTGGTTTATGCCGCTCATGTTTTATCCTGACCACGCACTATATTTCATAAATACACAGTGTTCCCTAATACATCGGAACAAAATCAGCTTACAACAGTGCTTTATACACTAAACTATAACATCGGAGAAGGAGTTACGGGCCATCGTTACCGTTTCATTTATAGCCGGTTGATTTGCTCTTATGTTCACATCATCCCTTACCTTTTTCCATGCATCATTGTGCGGTCATCATCCTTTGCTACATGTTCAAGTCAAATATCTGCATTTGTTTGGCGCATCACCATTTCCCCCACGGATAAGTAAGCCGTGGTTTCGGGAGTCAAGCGACGGGTTTTCTTAATATTGAGATTTTTTTTTTTTTTGTTTTAATATTTCTTTCGTGGATATGGAATTGAATGGATCCTGGGGCCAGGATGGATGGATATGACGAGCTGCATGGAGAGACTCGAAGTGCGTATGTTGATAGTTTGCTGGCGGTAGGCTAGGAGGGTCTTTTTGCTTCTGTTCTGTTACTATATAATAATCCATCATGTTTATAATGACCATAACTAGGAAGTATTTCAACAATAATTCAGTTATCAACGTCATCTAGTCCTTCTACGAAGGAGGACCAACATCTCCGGATATACACCAATATATTGTGCATCTGTGAGCTTAACTACCTAACGTGATGTCCACATCTATAATAAATGCCTTATAGAGACGAGCCGTTTATATCGTCATGCGCTGGGGGGAGACGCCTTCGCTAATTAAGAAGGTTGTAGCGGATCGAGGAAGTAGTGCGCAGCCAATCAACACTAACAGTAACTTATTAGTAACTAATAAGAGGCGGCATAAATTCGAGAATGCAGCTGCAGCTTCGGGTGATTTTGGGTGAATTCGGGTGACTTGGGGTACCTTGAGGTACATCCAGAGGAGCGTAAGGTAAAAGGAGTGAAAAAAAGCAGCAAGGACGCCTTGCCGGAGAGAGCAGCAAAAAATGGGTGATCAAAAAACATACGGCAGTCGGGATTCGCTGGTGGTCACCCACCCAACTACTAACCGACCGGCAAGTGGCTTAAGTACAGCTGAGCGGACGGGAAGCTCTGTTTTCCACTTCCTGTGGTCGTATGTACTAGACTCTTAGTTGAGAGGGTTGATATAGCAGTAGATTCATCACATTCATCATTCATCTCACGCAGCCATAGATTTTTGGAGTGCATACACAAGAGGTTAAGAGTAGAGAAATATGGATATATACGCATTCAAATGTCCTAGTTCGCAAGAGAGCCGCCACCCGGGCGGTCTGCTTGTCTGCTATCAGACTTACTAGAAGCTGCAGGGCCACCAGCATCATTAGGCTGTGCAAAGCTCCATGCAGTATCTTGAACTTCGGTTTCATCAGACGTTGCCGACGTTTGAGAGCTCCCCAGAGTAGCTGTTGGCTCAGAAACATGTTCAGATGTGAGAGCCTCTGACTCGAGTCTGGCAAGCCTCTCATTTGCCGCCTCTATGATCCTTTCTCGCTGCTCTTTTGCCCAGTCCAAAGCATTTCTATACGCCGATGCCCCTTGTCGGAACGTTTCGACGCTTCCAGTCATGCCCCAGTTATTAACCATAGTCATTATATACTCGGGGCGACCGTTCGCTCTGGGAACGAGGTGGGTCGTATAGATCTTCAGATTACCGCCGTGGTACGTCGAGGTTATCGTATAGGCATTTCTATCGTACGATTCCTCGTCTTGATTAAAATTCTGAAGCCTATGTATACCTCGAGCACCCAATGCCCCATGGTAACAAGCTTGCCTCGTAGCAACCATAAGGGACCCGTCAGGACCCTTGGTCTCAAGGAAGAAGTTCGGGAGTATAGGGAGAGAATCCTGTGAGGATGGAACAATATAAGAACTAAGATCCTTGCGAATCCGAGACTCGAGCTGCTCAGGCCGGGCACCAAAGAAATGATCTGGCTTTGCGTTTACCAAAGTACCATCTGTTAGGGGCGCCAGGTTCGAAAATGGATAGTCCTCTCCCATAGTCATCATATCGTCAACATTGCCTTCAATAATGGAAACAGCAAAACGGCCAATAGGTTTCTCCTTCCGAATATTCATATCTTTATCAACAAATTCCTCAAAGTCATCCTCAGTGAACTGCGAAGGCGAGAGGGAAGATCGACGTTGTGCCAAACGTTCATTAAGTTCTACCCAGTTATTAGGCTTGGCTGGCCTATGGCCATTAGGATACTTATATCCAGGTAGGTATATGCCATTATCAATCAGATTTTGTTCGAAATTGCGGTTGTAGGCTGAGGTGCTGGAAGATTTTGCGGTCTTATTGGTACTGCTTCCTTCCGCGGCGGAGCCTGAAGGGGATTCTGCGCGTCTCTTCCGGCGATCCAGATTATTAGTACTCATTGGGTGAAAAAGTCGTTCAGGGTTCGGAAACTAGGGAGCACATTAGCATACGAACTAATAGCTCACAGTAATGTAGGTAACATACATTTCTGAGGTCAGATAGATCAGGGCCACCGCCTCTAGAATATCGTCTGATATCGTTTAAAGTCGCGGGACCAGAGTATATAGTGCCGGAAGGAAGCTTCTGATGAGGACGCCTCTCTTTCTCTTGGAGACGTGTGACTGGTCGCTGTCTGGATCGAGGTGGTTCTGAACTGATAGAAGCGCTGTTTCGTCGGTCTAGCTCCTCAAGCGCGTCTCTCGTTAACCAAATCCTCGATAGATTATCCCAAAATGTAGGCGGACGCCGGTTGATCTTCGGTCGTTTTGATGGGCGTTGACCAACACAATCCTCAGGTCCTTGTCTTTTGCGGCGTGAGAGTCTTCCAGAGACTGGCTTAGGCATAGGGCACAGTGAATGTACGTGTTTTGGACCGCAAAACACGTAGAAATGCAGGACGGTACGATTTAAGTCCGAGGGGTCGTTGTGGGGTAAGCGCTTAGGCTGCGACCTTCTGCGACCTTATCATTCCAGAAGTTGAGCAGTCGAAAATATATCTTCCCCCTGCTAAATCTTTGCTCAGTCGTTCTGATATAACGGTTTTCATTGGGTGAGAAAATGGGTCTCTGAGACAGGGATTTTGCATCATCATCACGTATGAGACGCATTCCTTTCGTCAAGGATCCTGCCTTTAATTCCGCATTCCATGGATGTTGCTTTAGTTGTCTCTGATATCTTTTTGATGGCTTTAGGAAAGCCTGTGAATGCCTTTTTGCGTCTGTTCTGAGGACCTCGGGAGGTTTAGCTACTGGTCCGTGCACAATTAACCGCCAAAATATTTATCCTGCCGACGCGCCGAGACAGTGATTAGATAATCAAGTACTTAGCCGCTGGACCACCCCCTCGTAGCCGCCATGGTTCTATCAAGACCATTGTTTCATGGAAACCAGTAAGGGACCTGTAGCTGTTATTTATAATTACGAACTACTTAAAACTAAGCCAGGTTAATTCATGTCAGGATTGTGGTTAGTCCATCGGGACGGTTCTACGTAGTCCCGTGCAAGCAAATCCGGTATGAAAGATGGAGATATGACGTTAGAAACAGGGAGATGAAAGCAAGGCAACCCAACTCAAAAGAAGATGGCGAAGAGGAGTTGTGTAGGCTATGAAGTATATAAGAGATGAGTAGATCTCCGACTCTCTAAGAGATGGATTCTATCTTTCAACCGTAATCATATATTCATCAGGAGTTGAACATTTAGGTAAGTCTAACATCTTGAGCCTACACTCAGGTCTGGAATAAACCACAACGGCTAACGTCCATCCCCCCATATAGGCACTTAATTCTATACAATATGTCTTTTGTCACTAGAGCTGTTGTTGCCAATTCGCGCTTCATCAAGCCTTCCACCGTCTTCATCAGAAGGACACAGTTGAGCCGTGCCTTCTTCTCGACATCACCACAACATCAGAAAGGTCCTATTGAGGCAACAAAGGATACCCTGAAGGCAGCCGACAGACTCGTTTCAGATGCTGCTGTCAAGGGAATCGAGAAAGGAGGTTCGTCTTGAAGACATTACTCACACCCTGGTGCATTAAGACGCAGGCTGATAAGTTTCGTTTTGCAGAGGCCGCAACGAACAAGATAAAACATTCCATAGGATCCACAGCGAAAGATGCGGAACATGGAGCACAAGATGCTGCCAGAAAGACAAGCAGGAAGGCATCCAACATAGCGGATGAAGCCGCTCAGAAGGCAGCTGAGAAGGAGGAAGAATTCTCTGGCAAGGCATAGTGGTTGTCAGGGCAAAAAGTTGATGATTTCTCGCATGTCATGGCTGCAAATTGGGAACACGTCATGTCATCTATATGGACCGATATTGTCTATTCCGTGTGTTTCTTAATGAGGGTAGAGAAGGCATGTATGTTGGGCCATCAGCTAGGAGGCGGGAGAAGGAGTACATATTCCCTTGTACTTAGTCCAAATTTTAACACATCCTTATCCATAAGTTCCATGTATCTTCTGGCTGGAGCTGGATCTCCATTGACGGTAGTCCCATTTGCACTTTCTAGGTCAATGAGATACGGACGAACTCTGCCATCTCGATCTCCAAAGTCATTCCGTTTTTCAACGTATCTGAATTGAATAGCGGCATGTTGTTTGGAGCAGCTTGGGTGATCGATAGGCAAGTCTGCAACTAGCTTTTCCTTTCCAATCAGCCAGCAGCTTCGATCTCCCAACTCGATTGTTTCCAGCAGATTATCGTCCTTGAAGATATATAATCGCCAGGCGTCTTTGGCTGGAGGTTTTCTGGCCTCTGGAGGCTCGTTGTATTTCAAAACAATGGAAGTGGTCCCATCACTGGATCTAACAGTGTTGGTATCAGCTGCTAGACGCCCCGTATTCCCGTAATTGGCTTTCTCTTTCTCCTTCTCGCCCACCGGAGTTGCCTGGCCAGACCCGTCACGGGGCGTCTTTGAGAATGCGTCCTGCTGGGATGGGAGCGGTTTATCAGATCTCCTGCCTACCTGAGGTGAAGGACTGCGCCTATATGGTTTTCTAGACGGAGAAGCTGAGCGCTCCCTGCCCTCACGGCGTCTGTGCGATCGATGTCCATCCCGGTCATTTCGTCTGCGATCACGGCTTTTCCGACGCGGTTCTCGGAGATGGTTCGTACGGCTATGGGATGCGTCGCTCGAGTCCACTGACCGGCTCCTATAACGATGTGATTTCCGTCCTCGAGGGCCTCTGGAGCGTTTCCTGCCGTCCGGGCTTAAAGATCGGTGCCTCTGTGACTTGGAGCCACGGGATTTGGGGCGTCCTCGATCCTCACGGGAATGTGAAGATGGGGACCGAGATTTGCGTCGATGAGATCGATGGCTTTCCTCGTACCTAGGCATTCTAGGGTCTGTATGTAGAGTCCTTCTCTTGAAGAAGAGCCTGCGAGAAGCTGCTGAGCATTGCTCTTCCAAGCCGCAAATGCATTAAACGCCAGTTCCACCGAGTTGTTAATTTAGGTCGTGGAACTTAACTTGTTAGTTAGCTTTTGGCTACTTTTTATTGGTCAGATATCTTACCAATAACTAACTAGCTAAGTCACTTTAATCAAGTTAGCTAACTAGTTAGTTTACTATTTGACTAGAATTTGTTCGCAGGCAACACCATTTCGGTATCACGATTGAGATTTCAATGTTAATAGGCAAGAAAAAAAAAAAAAAAAAGAAAAGAAAAGAAAAAAAGAAAAGAAAAGAAAAAGAAAAGAAAAGGAAGAAGAAGCTCGATTAGGCCAGTGGGCTACTATCAGTATTCCAGGAGATCTCTGTCCAGGGCTTTCCTCCGATGACTACATTGAATGTGCTCCTCGAACAGCTCCATAGAAATGCTTATGGAGGCTGTAGGCGGGAGTTGCTTTTTTGATAATATTCTATCATTTATTTATCTATATAACCGTTGATACCTTTGAGAAACTAAGTGTATTGTGTATTCCGAGGTTATTGATGACGTACCTCCTACACGCTAGCTACACCGACATTGTCTCTCCGTCGATCAATAATCGCCTCCTTCATAAATGGGCTTTGAGATCTTATTTCTTTGCCCCATTTGAAGACCACAAATGGAGTTATAGCAAGAGCAAAAGACACAAATGCGAGAAGTGAGCTGGCCCACTGAAATCCAATGCCTGTGTACATTGCTGTTGAGGCAAGAGGGAGAAAGGCGATAGCAATGTTCTCAACCAAGCCCACAGCACCAAGAGCGCTCGCAGCGTACTTGCTATATGCATCAATAAGATAGTTTGCAGTGCTTATCACAACAGAAGTTGTTCCAAACCCCACCATAGTCAAGCCGATAACAGGTGCCATCCAATGGACGGTAGGGTATGAGGTCCATCCATATACAAGCATTCCGCCGGTAACACCAAAGAAACCCCCAATTATCGATGTATATAATCTTGCCTCAGGGATAGGTATGCCGGGAACTTCGGTATTATGGTCAGCAGATGCGTGATACCAGCCGTTAGTTGACATACAAAGTCCACAACCAAGAATTTCACCAAACACAATGGCAACCTGGACATAACCTGCTAGTATAGCATCCCAACCATAGAGTTGCCCATACACTAGCTCGACAGACTGGGTGAATAGGTAGATCGTTCCAAGGCTAAAGGCAGCCCAAAGAGTGGCAATAAATACCACAGGCTCCGTAAACAACATGTACAGGGGCCGTTGCACGTTTTTGAGGACGGTCTGGTACAATTTTGCATCATGATGGAGCTTATTCGCTATATATACCTTTTTACCATTACTTAGTAGGCGTTTGGCTCTCGCTCGCAAGATAACTGAGCCGCGGGTCTCGGGAAGGCCGATGATGAAGAGAGGAAAAAGTGCCGCTGTGAAAATCAATTCGATGTGACCAATCCATCTCCAGGACAGAAATTGAAGTATAGATGCTCCGATCACTGGGCCAATGCTTGTCGCAACCAGGTATGTAGTAACATAAAGACATATGGGTATGCTTCTGGCGCGGTCTCCGTGAAAAACATTTGATACGATACTAGCAACGGCATCGCTCATAATCGGAACGCAACCGCCGCTAAAGAATCTCATGACAATAAGCGTCGTAAAATTTTTGGCTAAGCCAATTGGAATCAGAAAGCAGATAAAGAAGAAATAAGTGGTGAGAAGCACGGGTCGAACTCCGAAGTCTTCCATTATAGGGAATAAAGTAAGGGGTAACAGCGCGGCCCCTACTCCCCAGGACGTGGTCGGCCAGTAGGAATGAGGAAAATCCACATCAGAGATATGGAATTCTTCATTTATAGCATTGTGAGCAACCGCAATGATGGTTCCATTAGTAGAGCAGACAAAACTTGCAAGAAGTCCAAGTCCGGTTGCCCACCATTTCTTCCGTAGAGGCCAATTGAATGGATCATCGGGGTCTTCGCGCCCATCCCAAGTCACAATAGCTGTAGCTGAATCATGATATGGTCCTGCATGATATGGTTAGTCAAGATCAACTCCAAAACTCCAGTAACTGTAGACAAACCTCTGCTAGGAGAGTTTGCTATTAGGTTCTGGGGTGCTCTAAGCTCCTCTGCTACCATAGTTCCCATAATGAGTTGTATACTAAGGTATGTATTCTCTCTCTAGTCCCCCGATAGAAGCAATGTATTGTGGCAGAATGACATGTAATGATGTACATGAGCTCTATTCGCCAAAGTGAGTGCCTGTCATGGCACAGGAGAATTTCGTGTAGTCATCTTCCGAGGTTTTATAGAGCATTGTTGGGCTGCTCAACTATTTAAGAATTTCTGCTCTCCACTTGGGAGTGCTTGTAAATCTCGTACTCGGAGGCTTATAGGAGCATCTAAAGGCTCTTCAGCCTCAGGAAATCGAGCAATAGCGGCTGAAAGAGGCAACTGTCTAGATCAAGCAATCGTCCCAAAGAGGTAAGAAGTCTAATTAGGAAGGGCGCGGGTAGATCCACAGTTTTTTGTGGGCCCGTCGTTGCGGTCTCCACAGTCCAGACCCACCTCGCGCTCAGACACAACCCGAGGTTCCAACAGCAGTAGCACTCCCTTCCATCCATCTCAACTTCCCATCTTCTTATACTTGAATTAAACACAACACTCCGTACATAGTCGGACCTTATAATCAATCGAGAGATACCAAATAATTAGAATGCGGTTATCTTGGCAGCCCGGATTTTCTCCGTCTAGGAAGCCAGTCAGGAGGCGAAGAGCACGCAGGGTCGAACGTGGACTGTTAAGGGACACAGAGAAGCCACGGCAATTTGAATTTATCTTTGAGCATTCTATAATAGAGCGTGAGACAGCACCTCATGCCGAGACGCCATTCGAAACGCACCGCAACGAATCACCCGTGATCCAGGGCGAGAAGGCTTCTCACAATTTGGATTCGATTGATAGACCGGCTGAATCTCACCAGTATCAGCACAACGGTAAGAATCCGTATACAGTTTTACTTTTACCCAAGTCCACAGCCGATAGACAATTAGACTTCTGTAAGAAGAGTACAGGTACTTCGATAGAAGGTTAAGCCCAGTTGCTACTAGAGAAGTAGACCCTTCATGCCCCCCTTATGCTTCTATACCACCTAGCGTCCTATATAATGGCCTTCGCCAGCAATTTGGTCCTATCCTTGAGCGATGTATGTTTACTACGGACTCAGATACCCGGCAGTAACCTACTAACAAACAATAGATAATGGGGAGTTCTGCAAAATCCCATTAACATCTGATCTACAGATAAACCCGTTTCGATACCGGAAGGGTCTGGAGCCGGAACCAGCCTTCCTAGTCCACGCAGTAATGGCGTTAGCAGGCCATCACGTCCATAGTGCATCAACCCAGAACCATCGCCATGCCGCGCTTCACCTGGTCCGCGAGAGGTTAGGCTCGTACAATAACACAGAAGACGTTTACTCTATGCTTGATACAGTCATTATTTTATTCTCACTAGATGTTAGTTATACCTGCTAGCCCTCAGGCATCGGGCTGATTGATAGTTGATATATTAGGAAACCCAGTCCGCATTTGGAAACTGGAACACACATCTTCTGGGTGCATATGGCCTTCTTGAAGCCTGCGGTGGTATTGAAATATGGGCCGCATCTGCGAGGGCAACAGCTCAAGTAGCAATTCTCACGTGGTAGTTATGAATCTCACCTCACTGGTTAGCTATGGCTTCTAACTAACCTTGGGTTCTCTATAGGTGGGACGCCATAACTAGTTTAGTTTCAAGGGAAGGCTGCGTGTTTCCTTACACATACCCCTATGCTGTGCTGTCAAAGCATGACGGTCAAGAGTGGGACTATTTCGGACTGTGCGGATGTCCGCCAGGCCTCGTACATATAGTTATGCAGTTGGCACGGCTGTGTGCAGAAAAGCGAAAGTCGTCTTCGATGCTGTGCGCCACATTTGATGCCATGCTCCTTGAAATTGAGCAGTCACTTGAGTCCTGGGATCACACTTCCCTTGAGACAGCCATCCAAGACGAAGAGAGTATGCAACAAGATCGAGATAGGATGCACTGTTCAGAAGCATGGAGGAATGGCCTTCTCCTTTATACATATAGGGTGTTTCGATGGGAGCTTGGAAGCAGTGTCCCACTACCCATTTTATACCGTGCAAGAGCCATTACAGATCATGTCTTTGCGTGTCGTGACAAAAGCATGGTATCCAGACAGGCCTTGTTACCGCTCTTCTTTGCAGGATGCGAACTGAGAGATCAATCATTACGCAGCAAAATTGTGGAGTTCTGCTGTATCTGGGATAGGAGAACCAGGTACCATATGTTCAGCAACACCATACCACTGCTGGAAGAAGTATGGGCAGAACAGGCTGTGAAGGGGTTTGAGAACGTCTGGTGGGGTCAAATAGTGGACAAGCAGCACTCATCGCAGGATGACCATCCTCTACAGATGCGGCTATGCTTTGGCTAAGAGCAGTGTCAATTGATAAATAAGAGTAAATTATAAATTATCCTCAATTGGTTTATCTTGAATTAGTGGCTAATAACTGTAGATGTCTCCTATTGGCTGACGGATAGACATAATTTACTATGATTACTAATAAGATTTGCCGAATAGCCGCTATGCTAGATGACTAAGCAGTTCTCCTCATGCGATCAAGTTGAGGCAAGAAAAGCTGCCAGAAGCTACAAGTCGTTTATCTAAATCAACATCGATGACCGTCTAGTGCAAACTGATCTCGCATGTCCCCATGTGCATACTTACCTGTCTAAGGAGACCACGAGAGATTGAAATGCTTGCCGAATCGTGCCGATGCTGAGGAAATCAACGCTTCTTTGCTCATGCGGCGGCCTCCAGACTCTCAGCCCGCACTCCCCGCTTGTCCGCCCCGAACAGCCGACGTACAGGCGTCAGTCGAGGCGTTTTGCTCATGTACACGGGCCAGTCTCTGATGGTGTTAAAGAACCCGAAGACGACCTGTCATGGCCGAAATCCCCTTCTTTTACCCCTTACGACTTGCTCCGGCTAGAACGGCATGCGCCCTACTCAAAAAAGCGGTTCTACCAACTCGTCAAGATCTACCACCCGGACGGAGGCTGTAACGGCCACCCCCTCTGCAAAGATCTCCCCGAGTCAGTCAGATTACAGCGCTACCGGCTGCTGGTAGCTGCTCATGAATTGCTGTCGAACCCTACGAAGAGAAGCGAGTACGACAAGTTTGGCCGGGGTTGGTTCCAGAGGGAGGAGCTATTTGGTACCCAGGGGCCGGCAGCGAAGAGTGCTATGGACGCATATTATTCCAGACGGAGACAGGTAGATCCTACCATCTTCAGGAACGCAAGCTGGGAGGACTGGGAGCAATACCATGGCCAGGGCAACGGGAAGTACCAGAAGCAGCAGCAGTCCACGGGTGCCTCGCACGAGACGTTTGCCTCGCTCTTCGTCCTGCTGGCCATATTCGGAGGGGTGGCTCAGGCCGTCAGTATAGGAAAATATTCCAGCTTCGTTGACGAACGGGTCAAGCAGGTTAACAGGGAGTGTAGTCGCTTTCTGGAGGGACGAAGGCACCAGACTGTCACTGAACTGGAGTCTGTGGACGAAAGGGTGCAGCATTTCCTCAAGAGACGAGATCCGTCTGGCTACGGTTTGAAAGAAGAGGAGGAAGAGACGTATCGAAGACACCTGGGAGGCTCTAGCCATAATATCGAGCCGTACCATGGGGATCGTTGAAGTCTCCCCCTTTTTGCATCATAAATTTTTGGTCTAGAAATTCTCCATAGCTACATATCCCGGCGTTACAGCGGCTCTATTTCAATGCATTTCTGTTCTCTACTCACTCTTACTTTGTCGCCCTCAAAAAGCGCAGCTTGCATGTGAATATGTAGGCCATATTGCTTCTTCCTGTGGCGGCTTTTCTGACACCTTCCCACCAATGCCGTCGAATTACATCATACAGCGGACGGGCTTCAAGCAAAAAAAGGCTTCCACGTTATTCCTCAATCTTTCAAGGGAGGACAAGAAGACTGAGGAAAGACTCGTTTGTGGCTTGAGTTAATGAGGTGACGCTCCGTCTGTTCTCATTTCAATAGGAGGAGGGAGCGAAAAACCCGCTTGTGAAGATATAAAACACCGCTTCCTAGGGCCATAAATTATAACCCGTCCTCTTATAGCTGAGGGATTCCCCCCTTAAAGACCCTTTTCTTCTTCGTTCTCTCGCATCGCTTAATCCTTCATGCACTCTATCCAGCTATCGTGCACACGACAGTAAACAGATACGAACGACCGCCGCCATGGCGAGCCTGAATCTGACCCTGATCCAGCAGTACCTGGTACGCATCCCGCTCGTGCTGGTCACTGCGATCCGGCGGCTGCTGCAGCTCTCGCCGGTGCAGGACAGAGTGAGCGTGCAGATGGAGCTGCTGGTCACCTTCGTGCGCTCGTTTCTCACCCTGGACGATTCCGTCTCGAAGATGGCCGAAGTCAGGCTGACGGATTCAACGATCAAGGGCTACATGTGGATTTCGAATGTAACGGTGCCTAAGCCGGCGGAGGACGATGTGCTCGAGGCGCTGGTGAAGGCAATCAGACACCGCGGCGAGGGAGGAGAGACCTTCGATATGCCTGATGTGCGCGCTGTTGAGGCCGAGTGGACGGGATACAGGAAGGGCACCAGCGAGGATACCCCGATTCCTGATATCTCGGACGCAGACAAGTATGAGCGCCTGATGGAGGACGTGGACGATGACATGACCATCTTCTACGCCCACGGCGGCGCATACCAGTAAGCCCAAACCCAGCAACGCCCATTACACACCTGGGTGTATAAGTGATAGATACTAACTACCAGGTCAGTATGATGGACCCTTGCACTCATCGCTCTACGACGACAGCCCTGGCACGGCTCAGCCGCTCTCGTTGCTTTTCGATACGATACAGACTATGCCCGCAGCATCCATTCCCGGCTGGCATCCTGGATGCGCTGGTGGCATATCTATCCCTCCTCTCGCCTGCTGAAGGTGCCCTTTACGAAGCCGTACCGGCTAAGAAGATAGTATTCGCCGGAGACTCTGCTGGCGGTGGCCTCTGCCTAGGACTGCTCCAGACCCTCCTGACACTACGAGAGATTATCCCATCCAAGACAATTCGTTTCCATGGAAAAGATGTACCACTGGATCTTCCCGCTGGCATTGCTACGACCAGTCCTTGGTGCGATATCACCCGTTCCTTGCCATCTACCTTTGAGAACGCAAAGTATGACTACGTTCCTCCACCACCACAAAAACCTGGCACCATATTTACCCCTCTGCCTTTCCCACCAGACCATCTGTGGCCTACGGTGCCGCCACGGGTGGACTTGTACGCAAATGCGAACATGATGGCTCATCCCTTTACCTCACCGGCCGCCAGTCCAAAGGGTATCTGGAAGGGCAGCCCGCCAATGTACATTGCCGTGGGCGAGGAGCTCTTGCACGACGATGGTATGTATATGGCCAGAAAAGCCCATCGAGACGGTGTCAATGTTGTCTTCGAGCGTTACGAAGGAATGCCACATTGTTTCGCCTTGCTTGCTCCCAACATCCCTCAATCTCAGCGCTGTCTCAAGGGCTGGGCCAAGTTCTGCGTCGATGCAGTGCATGACCGTGTGAAAGGTTACGGAGAAGCCCAATTCTTCAACCACAGCTTGACAAAGACTGATATCCGCAGCCTCGATGATATTGGTACCTTGACGGATGATGAAGTTGAAAAACTGATCAAGGCTGGCAGAGATTGGCGTATTGATGGAGAACATTTGCTGCAGAAGGCGTGGAAGGAACAGGAACTGGATTCCTAAATATCTTCTCGCATTCATTCTAACTGTGCAGGCACTGGTTCCTACGTCTGAGTTCCTACGATTCTATATATGTTGGCTATTCCACTATCCGGCTATTTGTCTTTTCGATACACTACACCAAACCGATCCAGCAGAAATACAACAAACACAAAGAATCAATCTACAGCCTACGAACGAATAATGAACCATATATCTAAACAATCACATAGTACATGATAGCCTTAATAATCTGACTACTATAAGCTAGAGCGAAATAATCATTTCATATATATAATCCCGTACTCTATGATCTCAAAACTCCAGGCAATCTAGAATACCTTGCCTAAAATGATAAAAGTACAAAACAAAAAGAGGAACAATAGACCATTATGCATGACAAAACGCCAAGTCATAGATACTCATCACCCTGCATACTGTCACTCTGGTCATATACTGCAGCACTTGGCTGGTAAGCAACAGATATAGGAGGCTGGTAATGCTCGTAGCTTCGGCGCCGGTATACTGAATTCGAGCTGTCAACAAATCCATCCCAAAAGCCAAAGAGTTGCGCCGTAAGGCGGAACAATGCAACAAAGATGGTCCATAATGGTGACAGGACAACAGATAGATGAGACCAACGCCATAACATGGTGGGAATAACAAATGGGTATCGTGGCGCATTGGGATTCAGACAATTACGCTCACATTTGGATGCGTATAAGGGGTGGCAGTAGTAATCGCACATCACTAGTTCGGCAATCCACCAAGTGAAAAATATCAAGAAGACAAAGCCAATCCGCTTCCAGAAACGGCGGCTGGGGAGGGCAAGATATAGGCGGCCATCGCCATACAGGCCGCACGCTTCACATGGGATTGTAGAGTGATTAGAGTGTCTTATTCTCGAGTTTTTATTCTTGAAACCTCCCGAGCCAGGCCGGGCGATTGTTTCTTCCGCCTGGTGCTCAAGGCTGGACAAACCAGCTCTAGCTTCATTTATGTTATGAAGGAGCGATTTTAGCTTCGAATTGACTCGGTCAAGGGTTTCTTCATCTGTGTCAACGTGAAAAGAGCTTAGTGACGGCTCTGACTTGACCTGTTCATCTCCGGACTGCTCACTAAACGGTTTGTCCTCAAGGATATCCTTGAGAGAGTCGAGGGTATTCTCTCCAAGAATAAGGCTATAGTCTCCGGATTTTTCCTTTTCGAGAATCGATTCCAAGGCACTTTTGGGAAGTTTTGGTTTCTTCAACGGCATAGGCCGAGAAGTGGATTTCCGCTGTCCAGTCTGTAGGACACGCTGTCTGGAGTCACTAGCTTTATTGGCTTTCGGGATATCTTCTACTGGTTTTGGCTCTGCCTCTGACACTCGCTCCTCCTTTTTAATATTCTCTATATGAGGCGTCTTTGATCGTTCCGTGACTGGGGTGTCAATCCAAGCCCCGGTAACAACAGGAGTTTTGGCTGTTAGAGGTGTCTTCGTCGCAATCCTTTGTTGTTCCGGTGTCTTGACAGGACTAGAACTCCTCCTTGTCAGCTTTCGAAGAAGCTGGCTGGAACTTCCCCTGCCACTTGCAAATCTAGGTTTCTCAACCGTGCCGTAAGAGTGTGCAGACGAGCCAGTGTCTGGTCTGAGGTCAAGCCTGGCCATGTCGGGATCTTGAGTTTTTTCCAGCTGACTGTCCTGGGCCGCAGACATGGAGAACTGTGCCCGGAAACTATTATCCTGCTTGTCTTGGGAGGCCTTTACTGGCGGACTATCAGACACCTGTAGTGACCTGGCGGTAAAGTCGAAGTCGTTCCCCCACTCCTCAACGGGCAACCGTATGTCATCCTCACTCTGCTTGTTATCGACTCCGTTCATAGTCGTAACCACTCCGTCTAGCCATTCTCTTGATTGTCTTCCCCTAGACCCCCATGTCCTAGGAATATTCACAGCAGGGTCGATTTGATTGTCCGGCACAGACTCCTGGTGCTCTATGTCCTCCTCCTTCTTTTCCGCCTCATGGCGCTGGAGATTCTCCATAGACAAGGCAGTTTTGAGGTCTGTATCCTTTGCCCTACTGAATATCGGTCCGTTCGTACTCTTGGTAGCACGCTTTAACCGCCGCTCGTCTAACGCGTGCTGTGCCAGCTTCATTCTAAGATCATCGTCACTCACATCGTCTAGGAAGTCGAGGTCGATATCGTAGATGTTTTCAGCCTTCTGGTCAAATATTCGACGGTTCCTCGCCGCTGGACTCGGTGAGCCTTGATCTCTTCGCACTTGATCTTCCTGCACCTCCAGGTCTGCAAGGTTATCCGCGTCGTCCATAGTTCTATACGGCTCCAGCAGTTCTCGGGAGGATAAACTCGACTGTTTAAACTTGGGCGACACGGCAGGACCATTTCTCTCCCTTCCTGCTCTGTTATATCTTGGTGCTTCTTCGTCCTCTTGTCCGCTATTAGCTCTTGCTGTGTTGCGGGGAGATTCAGTGGCTTCGAATGCGCCTGTCAAGGTTCTGGTCTTACTAAACGTGATTCTGGGTTCTCTTCCGTTCCGTATGCCTTCTGTAGCTCTTCGCGACGAGCCAGTAGATTCGAATGGCCTGTTATTTCGGTTCCTATACCATGCTGGTAGAGGCTCATAGCCGCCGACGCGATGGTTCTGGGTAGAAGTAGACATCGCTTGTTCGTGCAGCTAGTTATTCGAGATATGCCCTCCGCATCGTAACAGCCAGCCGCCTTATCACTATCAGCTCCGTCAAGAAAATATATAATAACCAATATGAATATGCCTGCAAGTCGGCGTTTTATTTACTGCTCGATGCTCTGCTCGACGTGAAATCGCGTGTTTGCTTGAACTTGCAGGCGATCCCACGCCAACTGCCCAAAGCGGACTAGCGCGTCTCGAGCTGCCAAAAGTTTCGAAAAGTTGAAGCAAAAAGTCCATCACGAAGACACAGCTTTTGATAGACGGCAGACAGACACTCAGACGATAGATTGGACCTTCTCTAGTTGCTTGAATTGAGCGCCCCTTGTCTGTGGGAACTTGCGGTACCCGTTTCGACTCTGACATATATCTAAAATTGGAGCTAGTGATAGCAGGAAAGGGACATTTCAGGGACAAGTTTGATATAACCTCACAATGGCGAAGAATTCCAAACGAGCACCCAAGGCAAAGGCCTTTGCACCATCAGACTCCTCGGCAAAGTCATCCTCGAAGTCGGATTCCTTTGACGTTCCCGCAGCATTCACACAAGCTCCGTCTTCTCTAAAAGGCTTTCTTGAACCCCTATCTACCAACCGCATATACCTCATTCATATCGATACCCATCCTCCCGGATTCAAACGACAGATATTCCTTGTTCCACTTTCCATAAACATTGTTATAGTCGCTTTCATCCTATACAGGATATATACCGGCCTACTTATGTATCCAGACATATTCAATGCTGTGGTTAGCGGAACCGGTCCGGCCAAGATTGACACATCATCAGCTAGCTGGGGATTTCTATCCAGTACATTGGCCTGGAGAACCCTCAATTTCCTACTGGACTATATTTTGGCAACCATCTTCTTGCCGTGGCCTGTGCGTTTCTTCCTCGGACCTATCCGCTGGAGGCTAGCTGTGAGGTTTGAACCCCAGGAGATCATTGTTCGCCAAAGCCGAGAATGGAGCGAGTCATTACGGCCTGGAACATGGATTAGAGATGACGAGGCTACGATGAAAGACCGAGTTATACCTGCCATTCTTCCACTCCGGTTGCAAAAGACGGGATACCTTCTTATCGATGTTGACTGGGACTTGGACTGCGATGCAATGGTCAATGCCCATAAAGTGGTTGAATCCAAAAAAGCGAAGCTGGAAGACTTTCATACTGCTGTTCTTGTACATGGCGGTCCATCCAAGGGCTGGCTGATATGGAGAGTTGAGGATGAAGCCGTTGCTGCTTCTGGAGAGACTCTCCCGCCCGCCGCACGAGATAGAATCATTGCATTTAAGGAGAAGCTTACAGACATGGGCAAAGAAGACCTGTTCTACCGCTGGGTTGAAATCATCCAGTACGAAAGCACCCGGCCTGGAGGATTCACGCCAGAAAGGCAACGAAGTGCTATGATAGAGGTTAAGGAGTTATTCGAAAAGGAGGGTGTAGATTTTGACCAGTTTTGGAAAGACATTGGCGGCATGGAGGGCGTTACACTGTAAAGGTAGATATCTATATAATAATGAGACACGAATTCCTGCATCGAGATATAGATATACCATCCGCCGAACTACCGATCCTCAATGCTTTGGAGCATTCCGAACAACGTCGTTCGCCTCCCTAGACATGATCCCCTGGTCAACCAGAGCCGCCACGACATTGACAACCCAGCTCTGACAATCCTTAAGCTGTGCCCTGTTTGTAGGTGGCTACCCGCGTGACACAGCTATCAGTCAGCTCTTGGACTCTTCCCAGGAAATATATAAAACATCCAACTTACACCACTACTTGCGCTGGCAGAGTTCATGCTTGGCCCTGGAGCTGCTACGGACAAGGCCACTTCCTCAATCCGATCGGAAGGAGTGATATCAGCGTATTCTTCTCCTCCGGAACCGTCGAGCACAAACACATCGTTAATTTGATGTAAAAGTACCTCCTGATGGGCCAGAGTCTCCGACTTCAAAGCATAGTTTCTGAGGAATTGCAGCGTGAAGCCGTTTAAGACATCTCCGTGGACATGGATCTTCTTGCCTACGCCTGGGTCTGCGAGGCTGGGGATGTAGATGGCCCAGTGAGCCTTGAACAATGATCTGTTATATATTAACAGGAGGATATCTCGGGCCATCGTTAGCTATTGTTATGGCTTATATTTGTCTATAAGGGGTAAAAAAGGGTATTTGCTTGCTAGCGAGGGGTATAAATTAGTAGCCCGCGAGTATACGGATATTTATAGAAGGCTATTTATGGCATGGCAGTTGTTTCGCAGTCCTTCTGTATTTTATGTAACTTAAGAGTACTCGGCCAATTCAAGTATAATTTTACCAAGTTCATACATGTTTGACTTGTTAATCAAGTTCGTTCTGCCTGGGAAATAGATATAGAAGAGCGATTAAAACTAAGCATCATCTTCGGAAGAATAGCAGCCTAGGGTATTTGTAGGTATGGTTATAATTCAAATAGCCGATCCTTTAAACCAGAAGATGGAAGACGAAGGGGATAGTCCACTAAACAAAGGAACAATGGAAAGAATCGAACAGCAGTAGCAACAAAACGGAGAAACCAACTGTCATTGAAGCGCAGACAAGTAGAAAGGTGGACAGATGAATAGTCAAAGCCCGCTAACTCCTAAATATACGGCATGCTAAGACGCTTGCATAGAGACGCTTGGCTGGCTAGACATGAAAGGTTCAGTGAGATTTCGTGTAGTCGTAAGAATGCGGTAGAGTTCCAAAATAGTTGGTATATGGTGTAAATAAGACATGAATATAAGAAAAAGACAAGGGGGAAAAAAGAAATGAGCAGAGAGACGTAAGAATCGTAGATCATGTCATTATTGGCATTTGCTTGCTCGTGCAGGTTGTTACTGTTCATTTTTTACGAAGGACGTGTGAAATCTCATTGATGGATTCCATGAACATGACGGCGTCTACAGCATTGTTAGAGCCAGAACAGAAGAGTTAACAGAGTAGTTATCATACCTTCTGAAGAAGTAAAAGTTATAATATGCTCTCCTCGCGCTGTAGTGGAGGGTTTATATTCATCCGAGTTGATGAAGACGGTAGGTTGTAGTTCAGTGAGGTAAATCACCTCCTGTTCGACATGTCGCATCCACGAACGAGGCCGCTTCACGTACTGATGTATAAAAGCAGTCCATACCGGAACACTAGTCATAATCAGAATACGCAAGAGGACATTGATGTAGTGGTTTTATGTCAGGGCGACTTACTGTTTTAGTTCGCCGTGCAGAACGGTTGCATGCAGTCGGACGGCTCTTGTGCTAGTGTCAACGTATATGTGTAAAGCGTGGATATAATGGTTATCTATTGTCTCGCTGCATGGTTATACAGCGTTAGTATGGGTTGTATGAGGAGAAGTGAGCAGTTGACCATACCCTGAGAAAACAAGCTCTTCGCCGTCCAATTGGTAATCCTTGATACGGGAAACGGGGTCGGACGAGTCCTGACCACGTAAAGCGATGAATGTGCAGAAGAACAATACCATGTCTGTGGGCATAGGTTAGCATAAGTCGTTAAATCAATGGCTTAATAACGGGAAAGGGGCGTACACTCGAGGGTGCTGAATTGTAGATTCGCCCACGCGACACGGTCTTCCTCACCACTGGACGGGTGGCAAAGCATAAGGCACGATCCCTCCCGGTGGATAAGCAGCGATGTAATGACGGTGCTGCTGTACGCCGTCCGCTTGTCAGACTTGACTTTACACAGGACTCTCACTCGGTGATCCCTGTCGCGCAGAAAAAAGGAAAACGTGACCTGTGGTCTGCCGGGAAATTTCCTATGAGCATTGCTCTATGTGAGTTTAAACCATTCTGTGAGTTGTGCAGTTGCGGATTGGAAGGTGATGGCCTACAGCTGTAGCAGTTCGATGTATCCTTTATCCAAGTGAGCCTTCACCTCAGGCATGTTTTCACCGTAACACTTCGTCCTGGTCGAGGGGGCATTAGTGAAAGGGTACTTATGAAAATGAAAGCAGCGGGATTAAATAAGTAGTAGCCTTACATATCTCCCGTGGACCGTAAGGGGGTTGAGGTAGTGACAGAGCTGTAGACTTTCATCGCCCAGTGTTTAAAAGAGTTGGAGGTCAATGACATGGTATCACTACTTGAGTCAATGGGGGACTTGGGACTAGTCGGGTTGGACCAGTGGATGGAATCACGATGTTCCTTTCTGTTCGGTCTCTGCCGCTCAAAGGAACCAGCCTTTTTCATTGACGATTTCCGCTTTGGCGGCTCAGGTGCCCTTGGAGGATCTAAGATATGCTCTAATGAATCATCGGGGCTTACTGCGCGAGGCATGGCAACTGGAGTAACACCTGGTACCCCTGGAGCAGGAGGCGGTGGTGGAGGAGGGGGCGGCGGAGGTACGGGAGGCACAGCAGCGGATATGTGGGGATGGTGAGGATGGTGATGAAATGGTGGCTGTTGTGGAAATTGCCCTGGCATCTGATGCTGTTGTTGGTGATGATGATGTTGCTGGTGTTGTTTCTGGACTTCCTGCTGGGCCTGGATAGCAACCTGCCTGTCCTGGATTACACGCAGCGTAGTAATGGCTGCTCGACAGCTAGCTAGCATAACCTCGTCCGCCACCTCTCTATACAAGAATAAGTATATAATTACACATTTAAATTGTACAAATATAGTAAATTAAATAAAGTAAAGTAAATAACTTACCCTTGCGCAATGGCCGACATCTCCTCGAGCATCTGCTTATAATACTTCAACCGGAGGTGCAACGAATAACCAGCCTGGGTATAAAAATAATGCCACAATCCATCCCAAGTCCGCTTATGCAGCGCAGCGATCGTGTCCGCTATCGGCGTCCCCGCCGCCGTCGCAGCCGCATTGTGCAAGTTAGTTATATGGATGGCTTGGTTCATCCGACTCAACGAATCGTAGATATCCCGCAGCGTCTGCCTCAGACTAGCACGCACCACGAGCTCCAAGTCAGTAGCTATATGGGTGAAGTTCTGCCGGCGAGAGGGAGACTTGTGCGAGCCATCCAGGGAGCGGAGACTAGCGCCGATGGCGTAGAGTTCCGCTACGACGGCGGAGATGTCCACCGAGGCAGTTGGGACATGGGGGAGGAAGCTGAAGACTCCCCGGGCGATGTCCTCGCATGACTTTGCTATGTCGAGAAGATTCATTTTGGGTATTATTGGTTGGGCATGCTAGCCCTGAAGCATATTCTGTACCAAGTTATCCCAAGCGGGGGGGTAGAATATTTTGTGGGAGTATATAGAAATAAATATATATGTATGTAGCTGTCGACAATGGCTCTTGCTAGAGAGGATGGCGAGAGAAAGTCAAGAGAGAGTGCTTTGTATCAAGTAAAAAGGTGCATCACACCGCCGTACGGTTGTCAAGGGTATATATTCCACTAGTCAGCTAAGACCCTCCCAGGGCAGCAGCCCACGGCCCTTTATAAACACACAAAACTTAATCACCACCGGGGTCTCGCCCTCGCCCTTGTCATATCGTCAGGCTCTCGCCAGCGCCTTCAGGGGGTATCCAGCTGTCATGTCTGTCTGTCTGTCTGTCTGTCTGTATGGCCGGCCTGACAAGTGAGAGTTGCTGCGTGCTGGCCGTTGAGCCGCAGACGAGAAAAGACGAAGTCGCCTTGACTGCCCAAAACGGCGATCACATGGTCAAGGCTGCAGGTGTGAGTTGTCAGCTTAGTCATGTTAGTCACGTGGAAGTCGACGTGTTAAAACTTCCTTGTTGCCCTAATTTCTCGCCTTTTTTCCTTCTTTTTCCCTCCTTCGCTCGATGCTGGCGAGGAGCCGACGACGACTTGAACAAGAGACGGGGGCTGATGTTGACGTTGACGCCGACGTTCATTTGCAATTTTTTCCTTTCTGGCAGTCAGTGATGATAAGGCTGGACGATAAGACGGACAGAGAAACCCCAGAGAAAATACGTGATACAATTCGTGAGCGAGTTACAAGAAAAGCACAACCTTTCTTCCCCCCTTACTACTTGTCCATAAAATGGCGTGGAAATAAGAACGGCGGAGAGAGAGAAGCGAAGAAGTCAAAAACATCGACGGCGAGCCGATGTCTGGAGAAAGAAAAGAAAAGAAGCAGTCAAGGTAAGGGGGGAACACTCAAGGTGGGATGATGAAAATACATAATAGAGCTTTGGAACCATGAAACCCCCATCGATACCGTCCGTCCCAGAAGAAAAGCCGTTTGAATGAAAGAGAAAAGAGGAAAGAGGAAAGTGACGAAAGGGAGACAACCTTGACGAGCGAGACAAGAGAGCAATTAAACGGTATAACAGATACAGACGACGTAACCAGCAAAGCGAGCAATCACCAGCAAATACAGGAGAGAAGACATGGTCTTTTAAGAGCAACTATGCAGAATGTTGCCTTTTTTTCACCTTCATGTCTGGTTTCTCTTCTCGTTTTAAGAGGATTCTTCATCATCCTGGCGGCTCTGGTTTATGTTAGTCTGGTTATGCTGGGCGAGGGGAGAAGGAAAAAAATAGAAAAGGACTTACGTTGTATGCGGCCTTCTCGTCTTCGTATCTCTGTTTGTCGGTGGCAGCCTTCTCCTCGTAGGGGACTCGCTGCTTGTCGCTCAGGGCCTTCCATCGCTCTCCGAGGACCTTGCCAACTTGGCCTACACGGACAAGTTAGTCTCTTTTCTGTTTCCTTATATATCTCTCTCTTGATGAAAACAAGAGAAAAAAATGACGACCTACCAAAGGTGATGTTTGGGTTCTCCTCACGGACAGCAGCACGCTGCTCATTGGCGAAGATCATGTAGGCAGAGAGACCGCGCTTTGGGGCATTGGGGTCTACCGTCCACCTGTTAGCCATTTGCCTGGGGGCCAGAGTGAGAGAGAATGAACTTACCCTTCTTCTTCTTCTCGACACCGCGCTTGGTCTTGCGGGTGGTCTTCTCCTTAGGCATCTTGACTGTTTTAGTCTTTATATTGGTGACTTGAGAGTTTGGAGTGGAAGGCGTCTTTGTTAGCCGGGACGTCGAGTCTGTGTGGAGGGTGATGCGCGCTAGGTTGGAAGGAGAAAGAGAGAGAGAGGGAGAGGGAGAAAAAAGAGAGGGAAGAGGGAAGAGGGAAAAAGCTCCAGGCCAAGTCGCGTCCGAAGCACGTCCAAACCACAGTGAAAACGAGCTCGAGAAAACGACAGCAGCGATGGAAAGGAGGATGCGACGTGTTTTACACCATCAGACGCGCTGTTTGAGCGTGTAGTCAAGCAGCAGCGAACTGGCTGGCTGCGGTGGTGGTGAAAAAACACGTAGAGCAAGGCCCGAAGAGAGAACAAAAAAAAAAAAAAGGGCGACCACTGAAAAGTAATAATAATAATAAAAAAAACAGAAGGTGAAAAAGAGACGTTGACGAGACTGATCCAGAGGAATAAACAGAGCAGCAGAGCTTTGCGACGACGGAATTGCGTGCAGGCAGGAGTCTGGTGCTTTGGTATAGATCTATATAGATCGTAGAGCGAGCGAGCGAGCAAGCAAGAACGAGAAGCAGAGAAACGGGCTGGAGATGGAGGGCGAGAGAGTCGCAGAAGATGGCAGAAGAGCAGCAAGCTTACCTGGAGCGTCCTCTGGTGCTGGACGTTGAGTATAGTTGAGGTGTGCGAGTGTATATAAAAAGCGTGGTGGGAAGCGCAGTTAGTATGGGCGAGCCTTTTTTGGTGGTGGTTTTTGTATGGGAGGGAGTTTTGGTGAGAAGAGGTGAGAGGTGAGCGAGAGGTGAGGGAGAGAGAGAGAGAGAGGAGAGAGAGTGAGTGAGCGAGCGAGCGAGAGGTGGGCGAGGGCGAAAGGGCAGGGAAAAGGCGAAGGGCGGGTGGGCGGGCGGCCTGGGCTGGCTTGCTTGCGGCCTGGCCTGCCTGCGTCTTACCTGACGCTTACCTGACGCTTACCAGGCTGTTACCAGGCTGTTACCAGGCTGTTACCACTGTTACCACGCTGCGACGCTCGCTGCGACGGCAGGGAGAGAGGTACGGTACGGTCAGGTAAGGGAAAGGCTAGCAGGCAGGAAGCAGGAAGCGAGGCCAGGGAAGGAAGGCAGGTTACGGTACTGTCAGGTAAGGTAAGATACGGCAGCTTCACATGCACCTTGGCGGGCAGCGGCGCGCAGAGCCAGCGTAAGGGGCTGTTTGTTACCGCAGGGTACAGCTGGGTTACAGCGAGTCGCAGCCTGCGCCGTCTGGGGGCAACTGGACGAGGCTTGTAATGAGGAAAGATAAAGAAAAAAAAAAAAAAAAAACAAGGGCGTATTGTCCTTCCCATAGTTACAGTACGGGGACCAAGTACCTCTTGCGGAGTTCCTCTTGGGTGGTACATCCCGCTTCGCTGAGACAGCCCGTACCAGAGATACAGGCCCTTACCGAGGATAACAGGTTACAGGATACAGATAGTACGGGAGGGTTGATGTGATGGATCAGGATCAGCTGTCCTTCTCGCGCTGCTTCGTACACTCTCGACCTCCCATCACCATCACATCACGCAGCCATGTCCGGCCTGGGTTGGCCTGCCTCGTTTCGAAACGCCGGCCCAGCCCCGATCGCCCGCAGTAGTCAGGTCAGGCAGGCCGGGGGTCGGGGGTCGGGGGGGGGTTCGGGGGGGTCCCTCTGGCCGCTGTGTCCTGTAACTCGTCCACCGCACTCACACACACACACCACGCACACCATAACACACCATAACACACCATACATACACATACACACCTACTCTTACACCACATAGTGCGACTCTAACCTGCTGGGCCTTGCTCCCCCCTTCTTACACTTACTTGCCTTACCTAGCGTCCTGATACTCCATTATTACATCAAATACCGCACTAAGTAGCAGAGTCGATCCCGAGGTATGGAGCAGGAGAGGGTACCACCACAGGCCCTTGACCACGTAAGTCAAAAGAGCGCAGGCAGAGCGATAAATAAATTACCGCTCTTCCCTTCCGTTACGTGTTATGTAAGAGTCACGTGCTATCGTTGTTGATTGCTTATATCATCTCTCTACTCTGTGCTTCCTGTTTCAGTGGAAGGAAGGACTCGAAGCATGGTAGATACTATTGATTATTTTGAATTTGATAGCTGAAAAGAGAGGTAGCCTCGCTTGAAGTATCTCGGGAATAAGCCCGGCTGGCCAACGGTGTGTCCCTGAGACCGGCTACTTTTGACATCAAACTATGTCACGGTTGCCACAGGATGTACATACTTAGTTACATACTTGCGCGTAGTAATCTTGGTTAGATGAAAACTTACCAAGTCGATGGAGATGTGAGCTCTGTTTAGCTACATACATACACGCTTATCTTCTTTACTTACGAGATGTATGGATTAGTAAAACGCACTGTGTTATTGCTGGGTTATTTATAGGACATCAATAGTTTGATGACTAGCTAGCTGGGTGATTCATTATGACGCAACCCGTTTGGGACCATGCCCTCGGCATATCAACAAACAAAAAGCTGATAGAGATAGCTCCATCACATAGCTGGCCACATTATTAGTTATAATGTTGTCTGCCGAGGGAGATAGCTATGTGGTGACCTTCTCACTCGCAGTCGTTATCGCGTTTGCTGTCGTCTTGCTCAGTTGGTCATGCAGCACAACAGCCGACCAGATACCCACCGTCAACTCATACCCTTGGGACTGGGGTCAGAAGAAAGCTCACCAGCAATACCTCTTGAACTCTAGAAGCTTGATCCAGGAGGGTATCAGAAGAGTATACTGGCCATCTACCCGCTTCTAGAAAAACCCCATGGGCTGATCGAGAGTAGTTCAATGGGCCGTTTCGGATTATCACCGCCCTCGGGTCCAGAGTGATACTTCCGCCAACTTACACGGAATGGCTAAAGGGCTGTCTGGACCTGGACCATCAGGCCCTTGTTCATAATGTAAAACTCCAATTCCTCCAAGACAGCTAGAAAATGAGGGAAAAAAAAAATTGACGCTGACATGGTTCATCAAGGAATACTTTGGAGGATACCCGGGCATGGAAGGGATTGGGATGGTCACCGATCCCAGACGTATTGTTATCGACGTCACCAAAAAGAAACTCAACCAGAGTAGCCGTAAGTAGAAGTATCTTTTTCTTCTTCTTCTTGTGATCTGTGATAATTGGGCCAGGTGTCTTAACAAGCGAGATAGAATGCAAGTTGATGCAGGAACATATCAATGAGGCGTTAGGAGATATTTGGGGCAATAGTGAAGGTAAAAAAAGCCATTCCTTACATGTACAGTCAAAAAAACCCATCAAAACTTACCATTATCCAGACTGGCATTCCGTGGACTGGGGCCAGCATGCAGTCAGGTTCATCGCTCGAATGTCGTCTGCCGTCTTCTCGGGATCAGACCTCTCTCGAGACCCGGAATGGCAGAACCTCATCATAACATACACTATCAACACCTTCATAAGCGTCAGAGCACTTCGCTCATACCCTTCGTTCCTCCACCCTTTGGCCCGCTGGCTTCTCCCCGAATGCAGAAAATGTCAAGCTCAGGTCCGCGAGGCACGGAAGTTGCTGCATCCAATCATCCAGAACCGTACAGGGTCCGATGATACCTTCCAATGGCTTACGGATGTTGCTGCAGGTAGGCCGTTTGATCAAGCTGCGGCACAGTTGGCGTTTGCAGTTAGTGCTTTGCATACCACGACCGAGCTGCTTAAGCAGACCTTACTGGACATATGCATGCATCCGGACCTTGTACAGCCTATTCGGGATGAAGCGGAGGCGGTGAGCCAGCATGGATGGACGACTGCCGGGCTGTTCAAAATGCAGATCCTTGATAGTGTTATTAAGGAGAGTCAGCGTTTGAAGCCTGGCCTGCTAGGTAAGAAAAGTTTTTTATTTTCTTTGTTAGGGACTGCATTGTTTTAGGAGTATGATTCTAATGATTTACGATGCAGTCAACCTTGAACGTAAAGCTCTTCGCGATGTTGTTCTCCCCAATGGCATGAAGTTACCCAAGGGGACCAACGTTGCTGTCGATTCTTCCATTATGTGGGATCCGGAAATCTATCCAAACCCAACTGCCTACGATGGATATCGATTCCTTAGATTACGTCAAGCAGGAAATGCTGCCGCAGCCTTGGTATCCACCAGTCACGACCACATCGCATTTGGCATTGGGAAGCCGATTTGCCCTGGAAGATTCTTCGCTGCAAACGAGCTCAAAGTGGCATTGGCAAACATCTTACTAAACTACGATGTTGAAATAGCCGGAGAACGCAAGCCAAAAATCGTCGAAATGGGGTTTGAAATGTTATGTGATCCGGAGGCAAAGTTGATGGTCAAAAGGAGGCACCCGTAACTCTAAATGCCCGGCTTGTTATGTACAGACACCACTCTTATCTCAGTCTCTCAAGTACCTTTATCAAATCAGACATGACTCCCATGGCAGTAACAGCTCCGCCAGCTCCGCCACCCTGGACAATTAGAGGAAGTTTTCCGTATCGCTCAGTATAGAAACTGATAATGTTGTCACTGCCCTTGAGTCCTGCCATGGCACTATCCTTGTCAAAGCTTTGCAAGCCCACTTTGACAACCTTCTCAGGAACGTCAATGCTACCCACATACCGCAGTACCTTGCCGGATGCTTCCGCCTTTTGCTGAAGATCATCCATCTTCCCATCAAAGTCAGGCAGGAGACGCATAAACTCCTCAGTCCCTTTGGGCCCAGCTTCCAGTTTCGCAAGCTCACCTGGAATCAAGCTCTCAATGGGGAACGAGTCAGGGCTCTCAACTTCCAACCCAGCAATTCGAGCCAAGATGGTCAATTTACGCGCAACATCCATGCCGTTCAAGTCATCTCGGGGGTCAGGCTCAGTATATCCCAACTCCTTGGCCTTGCTGACAACCTCGCTCCATTTCTTCTTCTCACCTGCAGTCGAGGGGGAAGGTGAAGAAAACTGGTTGAACAGGAAGGACAGGGTCCCTGAAAAGACGCCTTCGATTCGAGTCACTTTGTCACCAGTGTTGACTAGGTCACGCAGGGTTGAAAGAACAGGCAGTCCGGCGCCCACGGTACTCTCATGGTAAACCAATGCATTGTTGGCAGCAGCAGTGGAGAATATATCCTTCCATAGCTGCAGGGAGGACGAGAACGCCTTCTTGTTTGGCGTGACGATACTGATGCCTTTGCTGGTGAAAATAGGGTAGGAATTGGCAATGGTAGGGTCAGAGGTGTTGTCAACTAGAATGGCTCGTCCTGGCACCCCTGAGAGGTATGTGGCTATCTGCTCTGGAGACCAGGCTTCAGACTTGGTAAACGAGCCGGAGGAGAAGGCTGACTGCCAGTCTGCCGGGGGGATGGCTTGGTATGAGGGAGCCGGGGAAGTGAGTGTCTGTGAGGACCGGGCAATGAGGACCAGGGATGGGGCATTTGGTAACTTGGATAGCTGTGAGAGAAAGTGGCTCCCCACGCCACCAACTCCTATATTCATACAGTTGTCAGGCAAGCTCGATTGAGCTGGATATTAAAAATATTTAGGTGCTTCTAAGGCCAACTTACCAACGACACCGATGTAGATTGCTTTGGCCGACATCATTGGTCTCAAAGGAGAGTTCTGTGTGCCTGTTGATATGGTAGATCAGCTACGCAAGAAATGACTGTTTCGTTGTTGTTTCCAGCTGCCAGTTTTCCCCTCGGAGGGGCTCGTGCTCCGATCCTCGGTGATGTGATCAAGATAAGATAAAAAGTCTCGGCAAACGCTTAGGTAATAAACTTTAATCGAGCTTCGGGCTTTTGGTCTTCGAACATTGAAATCTTGAAGCTCTCTTGCCGCAGCTATATCAATCTAGTGGTCATATATGTCTCTCGCTTGTATAGGACATTATCATGTCTTCTTCTCAGTCATTATACGGCATACGTCGACAGAAATCGGAAGCGACCAAGAAAGACCTCGTATCCTCTTCCACGCTTGCCTTCACCACCCACCTTTCCTCTCTAATAGCGAAGGAATCCAAAGCCTCTAGTCCTGGTGCCGAGAGTGCATCAGGATCGACCATTTCTCGTGGCCGAGCGAGGAAGTCCCAAAAGCCTGATATCTTCTCCGTGCATAATAAAGGCGCACAGAAACGAGCAGCAGCAGATTTATCCAGCGATAATGCGGCACTTCAGATCCATAAACGAGGCGAAGATATCGGCGAAGTTGACGATGCGGTTCTTAATCGGTCCAAGAGGAAAATGATAGAGAAGACCAAATTATATGAAGAACTACAGAAGGGAGAATACCTTGCTGAGGAAGATAGCGATAGTGACGAGGCTGGGCAACCCGACGACCGGTTCTCAGTTATACGGCGAGCGGATAAAAACAGCCTCGTTAACTTTGATAGGAAATGGGCAGAAAGTAGAGAATCAGAAATAGGTACCAAGGACGCGAGTGATGACGAAATTACGTTCGTTGAATACGAAGACGAATTTGGCCGGACAAGAACAGGTACAAAGGCAGAGGCGGCGGAAGCTCAACGGAACCGACAGCTCCAGCAGGAACGATCTAACATGGATGACGAAGAGGCTGAACGGAGCATGAAACCAAGCCGTGTCCCAGTGGCTGCCCGTCCATCTCGGCCTTCCAATATCATATATGGTTCAGCTATACAAGCAGCTGCATTCAACCCGGATGAAAATATAACTTCCCAGATGTCAAACCTTGCAAAGAAACGAGATAAAAGCCTTACACCGCCACCCGAAACCCACTATAATGCTGAAGGAGAAGTTAGAACCCGTGGAACGGGATTTTATGCGTTTTCGAATGATGAAGAAATACGAAAGAAGGAAATGGAAGAGCTTATGGCTTCCAGAAGCGAGACGACGATTGAAAGGGATCAAGCAGCTATGAAGAAAGAAGCGAGGGAGAAAGCAAAGCAAGAAAGAAGAAAGAAGATCGAAGAGTTGAGAGGTAAAAAGAGGGCCGATAAGTTTCTGGGCAGCCTGGACACTCTTCTGCCCTCTGGGGCTTCTTCTGAAGAGGCTGGCGGGAAATCAGCAGATTAAAGGAACGCCTTGGAAGTAGTTTTATTTTTCATTTATGATACCCAGAAATGCGCCAGTTTACATAATTAACGAGTTATGCCTGCATTGATATATTTTGGTATTCGATAATTCAGAGCACAGAGTACAAAATACCGGCTACTGCTGTGGCTTATGGCTTGTTACGATAGAGCTTCAAGGTATGTATAGTTTGTTAAAGTTGTTGTATATTAAATATGTTTACCTCCCGAGATACCGCTCGTTATAAAGACGGAAGAATAGCCTAAATGTGAATGCTTTGCTGTGGCCGGATTGGCTTTCTTGCTAGATACCGCGCAACGCAAGGGCTAGTACCTTGGGACAATGAAGATCGTCGCTCAAAAGTGCAAACAAAAATTTCGAAGTATTTCAAAAACGCCCTCTGGATGCCACTCTGAACAGATATGAGCAACCATGCAAAGCATACAGATCTACCTGGCTGCCATGGACCTACCCGTGGAGAGATAGCGTAAGTGTAGATACTGTGATCAAACGCATAGACAGTATTCTTAGATACTTATTATCAAATAAGATGCTCGCATTAAGATGAGGGACAAATAAAAATCAAGTATAGGAAAACAGCCAGTAGAGAACAGCCAGTAAGAAATACAATAAATTCAACATATTCTTTCAACACTCCAAAAGGGTACGATAGATGCAATAGTAAGAATCAAGAGGGCGGGTATCATCGTAAAGAGGTCCAAACACCAGGTGGATGTGAGATGCGCAAGACAGCTGTAAGTAAATGCATGGGGTAAAATGTCTATTGGTACATGCACGATGCATAAGTAGTCAGGATTAAAATGAAATCAAGGTGTTATAAATTTCAGGTCTGGGAAACGGTCAGCCGGTGATATTGTTCAAGGAATAGGAGAGCACTAACACCATATTGAGAATAAGGGAGTGTAGTGATGTAATTCCTAAGAGAAAGCATCTGATCGGTAATCGAGGGAAAACAGTCTCTCCCATGGCCTTTTCGAAGACGAGGACCTCGATGGCGACGAACTCGCACCAGAAATGAAACTAGGCTTAGATCTGACTGTGGCTGAAGGTGAACCAACTGCTGGGCTTGGGCTATGACCATCATTGACCTATGTTCCGCAAAGAAAGAATAATAATCAGTTTCCTGACGAAATGAACCGCCTTCCTCATGTAGAAGAAGAGGCTATTCTTATCTGTCTTCATTTATTTGAGGGATCCGATAGCAGATCTCTGCGAACCTCGTCAAATATCTGTGCCTCCTCCCTACGGCTCTCCGCACCTTGATCACCATCTGATGCCAGTACGGTTTCGCTTGTTGTTGCTGGCTGAAGCGTAGGTATAGCTGCCCCGTTTCTTGATGCCGAACTATTTCGTCTGCTGTCCAAGCTCTTTGATAGGGTTTTAGTAGCTCCCCCGCCATAAGTTGTTCGTTTTAACCGGATACTTCCCTTTGCATCCACATGTGCGGAAGCAACCGTACTCTTCCCGAGTCCCGGAGTGCTAGGAGCCCGTGGCTTCTCTTCTGATGCATCTAATAGATACCATCTCAGGCCATCCGAAAGCTCGAAAGGATTGTCATCTTCAATGGATGCACCGTCATTTCCTCCCGTTGAAAGACGGTCTTGGTTTGTCCCGTTCATGGATTTCGAAAGGTCAACTACCCTCTCCTGCACCTTTGTGATACGAGCCAGGAGCCAATCCCGCGTATGGAGTTTATGAGTCTCTTGCTCCCGAAGGAAATAGTGCGGTGCTCCCACGTTGAAAGCAGCCCATGACCGAATTTCTTGGTTGCGAGTGGGAAGGAAGAGCGCAAGATCCCCCTCTTTGAAAGATCGGTAAGCAATCTTATCATGGGCTTCACTTTGAGCACGGTGATATTTGTCTCGATATCCTCGGGCTTCCTTCTGCCATTTGCGGGCCAGAATTTCAATATCTTTGACCCTTTTAATCACTGCATCGCCGCAGGCGGATATATCCATCCGGTCGATGGCTGTCATGAACGAAGAAAATTGAGACGATTCATCATTCTCATTCCCTGCTTTGGCCCAGTGAACATGTTCTGGTGCTGTGATTGTGCCTACCAACGTTGAAGATGACATACTCTCCCCCACGGAGAGTCCATTCATTACCCTCGATGTTCGTTGAATTGCCATGGAGCCGTTTTGGGAAACGATTGTAAACCCGAGTTCTTCCAAGATACGAGATAGCTGTTCCACAAGCGCATGGGCTTTCACTGATATATCGCCAGCACGGACACCTCTGGCATCAAACCAAGAGCTGGAAGCTTTGCCATCGATATGAACATTTTCAGCTCTCTGTTTCCATTCTGAGAGTTCCGCAGAGACTGATGTCTTCTCTTCTTCCATGCGCTTTATCTGCTCATTTACGTCGAGGACGCGTTGTTCTGCTTCCATAACGCGCCTATCTGATGCCTGCGTTTTGCCCCTCTCAGAATCAAGCTCTGCCTTCAACGATTCTATTTCATTTTGCCCCGTCTTTAGCCTCTCGTTTACTCCTTCAAGCTCAGCTCTGACAACTTTAAGCTTGTTCTCAAGGTCAGATGCATTTGCTTTCTCCGAATCAAGCATTTCCCTGGTGGTCTTCGCATCTTGTTCTGATTGAGCAATCTTTTGTTTCATTTCGTCATTTTCCTCTCCCAGTCGTGCTAAGGCCTCATCAGAGCTCTTCGAATGAATAGCTAGACCTTCTACAACAACACAGAGGGCATCAACGAGTTCTCTGATATTATTCGGCGGCGCAGAGTTGGAAGCATTATGATATGCAGCTTGCAAACCTTGTACCAGGTCCTTTTGTTCCTTGTGAATTGATTGAATCTGTTCGCGGAGCTCCGTATTCTGGTCGGTCAACTCGGAAAGTCGAACTTGCGTAGTAGCATCTTCCTTGTCTTTCCCTCTTACTATCTCGAGTTCCCTGTAAAGTGACTCAATCTTTTCATCAAGCTCGTGTCTTTCATGGTCATGAGAGTCTAGGACCCTATCTAGTTCGTCTTCGAGCTCCTCAATCCTGGACTTGAATTTGGAGCTCTCTGACTCCAAGAACCTCCGCTCTTCTTCGAATTCGCGTTGCTTAGCTTCGAGATTCCTCATTAGATCCTTCTTGGTAAGCTCGGCTTCTTCGATTTTGTCGACATTAGACTGGCGTTCGAGGCTGGTTTCTCTTTGCATTTTAGTGATTGCATCACGTTCAACTGCGAGTTCAGCTTCCAGTGCAACGATGCGCTGTATCAGTGCCTTGTCATCCTGAGGTTGATTTGACGACATGCGTCTAGAGGACATGGAAGATCTTCTAGATGCATTTTCGAGACGAGCATTCTCTAACCGTGGAGAGGCTGGAGAAGTAGGTATATCGGGTCCAAATTGCCCACTAACAGGGCGAGAGATATGACTTTGACGATGAAGAAGATCCTCTAACCTACGGACTCGACTTTCTGAGCCTTTCAGCCTCTCCTCGACTTTGGACTTTTCCTCTTGAAGACTGCGAACAACGTCGTTGTCACGTAAAAGGAACGAGCTACGGCCCATTTCAAATAGGCTTCCCTGCTTGAAGGCTTTAGTCCTTCGCCTTTGTTGTCTGCTAGGGGTATCCAGTTCTTTAAATAGTTGCGTCAGTTCCTGAACAGCATCCTCCATGTCGGCTTTTTTCCCAATTAGATCAATATATTCCTCAATTTCTGCCCGAGAGACCTCTGGCCAGTCTGTGTCCTTTGCAGCCTGCATGTTAACTTCTACAGAGGGAGCATTATCGTCTGGCAAGTTAAGGAATTCACCCATGCGCTTGGCCCATTTTCTTCGTCTGCGTTGCTCTTCATCACGGAAAATAGCTAGTTTCTCTGCAATATCTCTCGAGTCAGTTTTTATCTTGTCAGTCCATTCATGGCGGCGAGTAGATTCGATCAGAATGGAACCGTAGATAGATGGCAGATGGTAAAAAAGGCACAACACGTCGAAAGAATCGGTTTCAACATTTAATTCTGCTATATCGGCCTGTACCTTCGCTAACCGCAATTCTATGGATGATATCTTTTGCATTTGTGCGGACGAATTCTTCATTGCTGTGCTGAGGCCCTGGGCGGTAGCATTCAGCATATCTCGCAAGCTGAGACTCAAGTCCATCATCCTCGGGAGGACCTTTTTGGTGTGCACTAGTGCTACTTTCGAAATGCTTGATATCGACCCTGGGTCATTCTGTAGTGATAATACAGATGTGTAATCTGCAGCAATCTTCTTAGCATGCTTTTCAATTTCCCCCAGGAGAGCTTGCTCTGGGATATTAGTGGAAGCATTAGATATGGCATTGCTTAATGATTCCGCTTGGGAGGAAATATCGCGGACTTCTTTCTCCAGATCACCAACACGTCGAGCAAAGCGTTGAGACTGTGAAGTGACATCTGACACCGCATTCTGCAATTCTTCCGCTTCGATATAGTCCTGCAACGTTCCTGTACGATAGTCCTTTGACTTCTTTGGTGCTGCACGTCGCAGAAACGTGAAATCGCTCTTAGCAGGTATTTCACCAAGGGTGCTGTAGGCTCGCTGCCAGTCTTTGAGCGCAGACCGTTGGTCTTTCATGAGATCATTGGCCCAATTGTGAGTATCTTGAAACTTGTGCTCCAAGTTTCCAACATGTGATTTCAGGTTCTCCAGGGCTACAGAAACACCACGCTGGATGACTCCTATCCGTATATTGTAATCGTCAACCGACTTGGCCATAGTGCTGCAATGCGCCGCAAGATTGAGTGCCCATGACCGACGGGCCATGAAAAGATCCTTCCATGATTGGAGGTTGTTTCGGTCGGCTAGGACATCAGGAGGGTCTTGAGATGTGAATAAGGGCGGTGACAGTTCTTCAGGTGTGCTACTGCTTGCTTGCTCGCTCACGTTCTGTCTATCGTATACAAAGATCTCGTTCTATTTCAGTTAGCAGGGACTCCTTTTAAACATGCAAAAACGGAGAAGAGAGGACTTACCTCTGTAGCTAGGCTCTGTGTCTTGACACTCTTGCCCTTTGCAGTCATCAATATCTGCCTCTGTACGGGAATCTGCGTATATCGAGATATCCATGAGCGCAGTGCATCTGGCCTAGATGCCGGACGGTTAGCTAACGTTTATATCGGAGAGCAAGGCGGTACACCCACGAAGCAAAAGAGACTGGGTCGGCCAGCATCTGCTCACCGCTGTGAGCTATGTATATGTGTAACGACATTGCCAGGTACAATGTCTGCGCGAGGCTGGAGGTCTTCCTTGGATCCGGAGGGCTCGTAGAGTAGATTAATAGAAGCTCGCATCATCAAGGCACGCGGCACCGACAATCCACTCGATGCCTTGTGATTTCTCCAGCGCGCAGCGGGTACCGTGTGCCTGCAGAGAAGCTCTAGTACCGATCCGCTGGCTGTTCGGCACTTCAAGGCGTTTGTTGACTGGCGCTCGCATGCAACTACTTCAGGTCCCTGGGGAGCTGAATCACGATCGCCCCGGGTTCTAGCGCAAGTCAGTTGACCCACAGAAACAACCACAAGGCCGGTCAGGTCTATTTAAACCCACCACAAGCTTTCACGCGATCTCACACAGACAGAAAGGAATCTTTAAAAAGGCAAAATTAGGACGAGAAGGAGGAATAAGTTGAAGTTGATGACGTTGAATTTGAACCGCCGAAGCTCCCGTCGCCTTCTTTCCACGTGATGAGGCGGTGGCTCAAGTTTGTATAGGGAGAACAAACAGCATTGTCAGGATCAATCAAGACCTCAGCTTCATTATTTGTTATTTGGATGAGATGAAACGGGGGTGAGGAGGAGTCCATGGCTCAGAGCAACAAAGATGAGATGGAGAGCTTGGAGGCGTCGACAAGGGCTCTTCTGGACATCGCGACTCAAGATGAAACAGCAGAGAGCTTCTCGTTCTCACAGAAAGAAACTGAGATTTTAGAGCTCTACGACCGTGTTTTTGAACTGAAACTGGAAGAAGCACTGTTGAATCATGGTGCGTTTGTGTTTTATGGCCAACTTTATCTATCTGAGCGTGGGTGCTAACAGGTTAGTTGTGCAGAACTCCCTGAAGACACCGAAATGGGAGATATTGACGTGAAGCTAGCAGAGGCAGAGCGCGAACTGCTCGAGGTTAGGGCAAGGGTCTCGGTTCAGCGAAAGGTTGTTGAAAGCGTTCTCATGACTGAGCCGAGCCTGCAGGCAGTTCACTCAGCGCCTTCATCACCGCTTGACAGGTATGGTTTCTTCTTTTATCTGGTAGCCCTATCTAGCTTACTGATTCTACTAGGACCCTTCTTCGGCTTATCAACAAGCGAGATATTTTATCACTCGCCTATGAGAATATGCTGACCACACATACTACCTGTCTTCGAAAGCTATCCAGTGCTGAAGTCTCCAATATCCAAAACATCAAACAGAATCAGGAGCTGGTCCAGTCCCTGCTTAAGCTGACTAGCAGTGAGAAGTCGGCGGATGAGGAGATACCAGACCTTGAGTTGAAGGAGGAACTAAATAGCTTAAAATCTGAGAACAAACAGAAAAAGGCCCAGTGGACGCGCATAAAGCGCATAGTGAGTGCTTCGATCGCTGCAAGCGGAGTCGACTGGGCCAGCGATGAGAAGCTTGAAAGACTTGTCCTTGATGATGATGAGTTTGATGACGTCTGATCTTGCGCACGACTGTCATTTCAGATGATTCTATCCAATTTCTGTGGGACTTGGCTAGATGAGAATTAGTCTCTCATCATACCTTGGATGGAAGCCAGGGCATACACTTCTTGAACATGCTACAAAGGGGCCAGACTATAGGATATTTGTCCATGGACTGCTCAAATATTCCTCCGAGCCGCTAGGTACTCCGCCCACCTCTTCTCTGAGACCCTACACTCAAAATGCAATGCTCTAAGGGTACCTACAAGTCCACTATGGAAGCCCCCTTGGTTCGTTAAGCTGATGGCTGGGCCCCGAGCGCAGTTACAGCTACCAAGCACTGAACTACTACTATAGCTCCACGGGCCTATCGTCTATCCACGAAGCCTCAATAAACCAATTCACTCAATAGATATCAATTCAATAATATCGCTCTTGCATGTCGTCATATTACATAACTTAACTTATATTACTAAGCATAAAGTCACGTGCAATGGTTATCTTATCGCTCTGATGTGAACGCGAAATATGGAAAATGAGAAAAGCGCGTCGAAACGTCGAAAAATTGCCGACATCGAGACTATCAGCGGCAGTCAGTTACCACCTAATATCATCTCTTTCATCGATACACCTAAGGATACCTTAAGAATACTGCTCAACGAGGTTGTCATTTTATTCCCGGTTATGATTGCGAGCTTTATTTAAGCTACAACATGTTCGCCTTCCCACAACCTGTCATCCCCCAGCCACTTCCACGTCCTTTCGGTCAATTCGGCACGACATTTGCATACTCTATGTCGGATCAAGATACCCCCTTATCGCCAGAAAATAGAGGTCATTCAGGTACAAATCAACTTGACTCAACACCATTCACATTCTCCCTATCATCTCCGCCGCACCCGGGCTCCACACGGACATCCAATTCGCGTTTTGCACAACGATATGCATCATCTATAGCCCGGCCTGCTGCACGGGTAGCAGAGCGGCAATCTAGAGAATCCCGACGGGATAGCTTTCTGAACAAAGTCAAACGCAGTCGGCAGTCGGATCAGTTCGAGGCACGGAGTGACCAGATTCAGAGAAGTGACTTTTTGGAGCAGAGGAAGCGGTTTGAAGAGGAGATGGCGAGGTCAGGACCTCAACTCGATAATATAGAAGAGGATGAAGGTGATGACTATGTAGATGCTTACCCACAAGAGGAAGATGAAGGTGAGAGGACGGTGTTATTTTTTATGACGCTCATTGGACACAAGGCTAATTTCTACGTATAGATGTCGACGAATCTCTTCTTGAAGATTTTATTGCCCAGGAGGAGAATGAATACATGACATTAGCTGAAGATATGCCGGACAGCTGTGCTGCTGAAGAGCCGCTTAATAGCGATATACTCTACGGTGACATGGAAGAAGACGGACTTTTAGTTGATCTCATTGATCAAATCGAGTCTCAGTCTCACCAACAGATGGATATGTCGGGTACTTGAAGCAATTCTGGATATTCCAGAAATTTTCCTTTCGGATTAGCAGCGTTGCGGTAATGGTGGTGGGTTATTGTTGATCAACCCAAGTTACCGACGGGAACGAAAAGCTTCCTGTTGTCAAGATATGTCGGCTATGGCCATCTATAACTGCGGTTATATTTGTATATGAACCCTCCACGTTCAAGATGCAAGAAGGTTCCTTTTTTTTTTTCTTCTTTTTTGGCAAAGGCGACATATCAAGACCTAGCTTTGCAACATTCACATGTATCAAAGCTACTTCCTGAAAATGCGTGTCTACACAGACAGCTAACATCTCATTCCCTTTCCTGCCCTGTTGGAAATAAACCGCGAAGATGGCTAGTGAGAGGGTGTAAATTTATGTACAGTACACTGACAGTTTTTGATATATGGAGGGAAATGGGCAGTATTGGTATATTAAAAATTATTGCTGCGCGCACCCTTCTTGACCAAGTGCCTGGAGTTTTGATTCGTCCATAAATGGAGCAGATATGAGATCATCTGGAGGACTTCCAGCGGCTTGCATCTAATGAATAAGTTAGAGCGAAAGACAGTCACAGCAGAAAGACTCCTACGTACCTTTTGCATCTTCTCCCAAATGTAAGCTCTGTCCTCGGGTTTTTCATCTGAAAAGTTCTTCTCTTCGAACTTCCGAACAATGTCAGATACCAAGGAAGCCTGCAATTCGTATCTCTCTCGATCTTCCTCCCCTATCTTTTCCTTGTTCTCTCTCAACCAAGGACCGAACTTGTCATCAAGTTCCTTCAAAGGTTCATACAACATCTCCTTATTCGATAATTGCTCCATAATCCCCATGAAAAGCTTATCGAGGTTCCCATCGTCTCCCTCACCAGCACCAGCAAGACCGCTGCTCTCCATTGCCTTGAGAATTTGCATCAATACGTCTTCATTCCCGCTTTCGTTGACTTCTGCGGTGGCTTTGTCACCTGACTCTCGCATTCGTTCCATCGTCTTCTGAATCGTTTCCTGGAAGTTATCTTCCCCTTTTTTTGTCGAGGGCGATGGCTGCTTCGCTGTGCCTGATGCTTTATCTGTAGTCGTTTCCATTCCAGTTACGCCTTCTCCGCCTGTCATTAACTCCTCACCCATCATAAGTTTCATCACATCTGCCATCGTAAATCCTTTCTTCTCGAGTTCTTCTGTCAGCGCATTCCAGTCTTCGTTTCCGGGAAATTGCGGCATCCCTGGTATATCGTTTGTTTTCTCCTTCGAGGAGTCTCCCTCTTTTGTCTGCTGCCCGCTCGCATCTGTGGGGAGAGCGCCCATCAATTCAGCCATCCCAGCCTCTAGTTGTTTTAATAGGGCATCCTGGTCGGCAGCTGATAGTTCTGAATTTGATTTTTCTTGCTTTTCCTGAGACTCTGGTATTATCTTGTCTTGCACGGCTTGGGAGGTAGTCTTTGTCGCGGAGAAGTCGTCCAAAACATCTACCAAATAGTCAGCATTTTCAAAGACTCCAATATATATTTATACACATAGCTAGCTCAGCGTATGGATTGGCGCTCTTACCATCAAGCTCTTCCCAGTCTGATTCCTCTTCCTCCGCTTGTGTGGGCAGCTCGTTCTTCACCTCCTCGGGTTTTGATGGCTGGGCTTCAGCGACTGGTTTGGCTTCTTTCTCTGCAGGTATAGGCGTGTTTGTGTCGGCCATGGTATATGACAGCTCTCCAAGGTAAATATAGGACTGATCTCGTCAAATAAAAGTATTCTCCCGGCTCTAGTTTGCTGTTGTATTGTTTCTGGCCGTGAAACTATGCAGGCCAACTGCTGTAAATATGTTTAAAATAGGTTGTCGGCAGGGATGTTCTTCTCTTTCAAGTGGCGGCCCCTCCTTCGTGCCTCGGCTCGAATCACTAGCCTTAAACCCCTGGCACAGCAGAAGGTAATTAATTATTTAACTACAGCTTGTGTTACAACAATAGAAGCGGCCACTGGATTGGTGCTTTGTTTCATTCATTGCTAACTAACGCCATAGGAATATCCACATTGAGATCTGAGGAAGGAAATGACCCAGAGAGATTTATGGTGGCCTGATATAAGGTCCATATAGTAGATAACTATATATCGCAAAAGACGCCTGTCAAATCATTAAATGTGCATGCATTCGTAACCAACAGGATGGTTCGCGTGTCATATTTAGAGCTGTCGCCGGAGCCAACATAGACAAGTCTATGTTCGGTTAATGGACCATGACTTCGGACTGTTGCTGCGCTTCCGCGGCCTTGGGGTCGGACTGATTATTGTCAGCGGGATCTCCATCGCCCATTTCGACGTCTTCGTCACCGTCGCCCTCGTCCTCGCTCTCACTACTCTCTTCTTCCAAATCTTCACTTCCGGCTTCATCATCGTCTTCATCTGCATTGCCCTCGTCGGCAGCGGGACCCTCAATTTCCATGCCATCATTGTTCGCTTCTTCTCTATCCAACTCTTCCAGTTCCTTCTCAAGTGCGGCCTGAAGCTCTACCTCCTCAGCGCCATAAGCTGTGCCGTCATCATCAAGTGCATCTACATCTGGCTGGTCTGGGGGATACTCTGCAGGCGCAGAATCCTCAGAATCCCTAGTTTCAAACAGCGCACATCAGTATCTAACCATTAAAACATACGGAAACGAACAAAAGTTCAACACAAGTTTACCATTTGATCGCAAACCGTGTGACTCGAGGCTTCTTCGCTAGTACATTGCGTACAACTCTCTCGATAATCGGTTTGGTCGGCGGCTCGGCATTTAATTCTTCTGAGTCGTATTCATTATTGACGTAGTATCCAACTCGAACAAACTCTCTACCATCGTAGCTGCATGTAAGAAGGATGACCGTGACTCCTAGAATCTCTGATGTAGGTATTCTCTTTAAATCTGGAGGATCGGCCTCAAATATAAACTTGTTGACACCAACTGGGATTGGGCCGACTAATAGCGAATCAAGTTCCTGGTCATACTCAGACCTAATCAGTCAGACTTGCGTGCTCTCCCACAATCGCCGTTCTCAATGTCAGACTTACGAAGTCGCAGAACCGACGTAAGTCAGTTTCCACTCCAGATCTAGAAATGAGCCGATTAGAACAAAATTCAAACAAATCAAAGTATTTTTCACCAGAGGGTTTATCTATCACACCTTTTTGTAGTTGTTCCAGACACTCGAATGTGATCTCGAACTCGTAAGGGGCGGTAAAGGGGGCCGGGTTGTTCACCACCCGTACACCAAGCAGCGAAACCACCGACATCTCGAAGTATGTGCAATCCCTAGTCAAGTCAAAAGAGCCAAACAGTTCTATCACACTGGCTCGACAGGAGAAGCTGGCTGCTGTCTCCCCGGGGCTAAGTATCTCGTCGCGCTGCGCTGTGGCGGGGGAGATCGTTCGTTATGCGTGAGGAAAGCGGGTTTTCTTTTCTTTCGTCTCTCTCGATGCGACGCGGAAAACCAATTTAGCAAAACTAAAAGTCGCGTCTAGATTAGTAAGATTTATTATATAATGCTTATATAAGGAACCTTGTATCACGTGATGAAGCTCGGTGGCGCATTCAAGAATAGCAAAAGGTGATACAGCAGATGTGTAGCAGTTTGTGCAGTTTTCTTTATGAAAGCTATAGGAGATCCCGGCAGGAGAACTGAAATGTAGCGATTAATTCCTTTGTGTCCTCGTTTCGCGCTCACTGCTGTCTTTCACTTCTCCACGCCTTGGTTTGCCCGTCCTATCAGTCACGTGATGTGACCAAAGAACTTCCGAGCTTTTTTCCTGACAACCAACACCTGGAAGGACGCTTACAAGCTTGCTCGAAGTTTTCACCAAACAACCACACCAGCCTCTTACAGACAGCAGGTAGCCCTTCCTCTTCCTCGTTGGTTTTCGCCCATTTGCGCCGTTAGCTGGGAAGGGGAAGTTTTTTTCTTCTTTCTCCTAAAGGTCGGTAACGAACGCCTGCGATTTCATTTCACGTTTCGACTCGAGCTAATCAAACCATTTCTTGCTCCTCCAGACAGAGAGCACAGGAAGAAAAAAGAAGGACACTCGAATACCCGTTTGCCATCTCATAGAGAGCAAACATGGCGGAGGAGGGAGCTGAACAAGGATACCTGCAGTCTCAAAATTTGAATACAGATGCTGATGCCGCAGCTGGCTCAGACTCGGACGACTATGATCCTTCTGAAACAATTCAAGAGCAGTTTCCTGCGAATATAGCAGCTTCAAATTATAATACGATTCCTCATATGTCTCCTTTTGCCAGCTCTTCCACCTCAACCCCTGCTCCAGGCGCGAACTTGCCTGAAAGGATGCCTGGGGAGTCCTATAACAACAATGATTCGACCTTTTCACTTCCCACGTCTGGGGCAGAGCCCAAAGGTTCTACCACAATATCCCAGATTGGTGTCTTTGAGGAGGGATCAACAGGTGATGAAGATGGAGGGGACGCAGAGTATGAACCGCCAGCTGCGGCCTTATCAGCTCAAGTTCAGAATTCAATATCTACTTCTGCAGACATGTCTCAGCGCTCTCTTTCTGAAAATATAAATGAACCTGTTTCACATTTCCATGTACAACAGCAAAATATTGCTTCAGATCAAAACACTCCACCTGTTTCCATTAATCTTCCTGCTTCCGATTCCCACGTTGCTTATAATGTGCAGAACGATAGTGCACCTAAACCAATGCAAGGAAAATCAAAGACCCCAGGACGATCCGCTATTCAATCCGCGAACAGCTCCCTACCTTCCACGCCGCCAGTTGCTGCAGCCGCCTCTAGGACCCGTCTGCCGCATGACCGAGTTGGCATCCTGGAGGACAGAATAAAAGCTGATCCTCGTGGCGATACAGATGCATGGCTGGAATTAATTAGCGAACATCGCAGCAGGAATAAGCTTGATAGCGCCAGACAGGTTTATGAGAGGTTTTTCAAAGTCTTTCCATCAGCGGTACGTTGTTAGCCTAGTTTTATCTTCGTTGCAATTATATCAAACCTCATTTCTAACAATTTGCTAGGCTGAGCAATGGGTCGAATATGCCACCATGGAGTCCGAAAATAACGAACTGTACAAGTTGGAGCAGATATTTACTAAATGCCTTTTATCTATTCCTAATGTCCAGCTTTGGTCGTTGTATTTGGATTATGTCCGCCGTCGTAATAACTTGACCACCGATACCAGTGGCGATGCACGACGAACCATCACGTCGGCCTATGATCTTGCACTTCAACATATTGGCATCGATAAGGACTCGGGTAATATCTGGGTTGATTACATCCAATTTCTCCGTTCGGGGCCTGGTAATATTGGAGGTTCTGGTTGGCAAGACCAGCAGAAGATGGATCTTCTGAGAAAGGCATACCAGCGGGCAATTTGTATTCCTACGCAGTCCGTCAATACTCTTTGGAAAGAGTATGATCAGTTTGAGATGGGCCTTAACAAGCTAACAGTAAGTGGAATACCCTAGACTAGTAGTATATTATTAGGGATTTGCTAACTATTCGCTTAGGGGCGCAAATTCATACAAGATAAATCTCCCTCCTACATGACAGCGAGGAGCTCTTATACTGAACTTCAAAACATCACCAAAGAACTTGTCAGATCATCACTACCCCATCTACCTCCAGCCCCAGGGTATGAAGGGGATTTTTCTTTCTCCAAGCAAGTTGAAATCTGGAAACGTTGGATACAGTGGGAAAAAGATGACCCTCTGGTTCTCAAAGAAGAGGACTTGGCTAGCTACAAGCAACGAGTTCTATACGTCTACAAGCAAGCACTTATGGCATTACGATTTGTGCCAGAGGTGTTTTTCGATACCGCGGATTTCTGTTTCCAGAATAACATGGAGACCGAAGGAAATGACTTTTTAAAACAAGGTATAGAAGCAAACCCGGAGAGCTGTCTCCTTGCCTTTAAACGTGCCGATCGACTTGAGTTATCCTCAGTTTCGGAACAGGACCCTAAGAAACGTGGTACCCTTGTCAGAGAGCCTTACGACAAGTTGCTTGACGCACTTTATGAATTAATAGCCCAGGTGCGAGCTCAGGAGGCAACGGATATTGCCAAGCTCGAAGAACAAGCTGCACAGGCAGAACCTGAGCAGCCAACTCAGCTCGAAAATGATGATGATGATGATGACGAAACGGGTAACCCGCCAACTCAAGAAAGTGCCAAAGCGAAGGAGATTGAGTCGGTGAAAAAAGATTATGCCGCGAAAGTCGGCGTTCTATCCAAGGCCATATCCTTTGTCTGGATTGCGTTGATGAGGGCAATGCGCCGTATCCAAGGGAAAGGCAAGCCCGGTGAGATTGCCGGATCCCGTCAGATATTCGCGGATGCGCGTAAACGCGGGCGTATCACCAGTGATGTTTATATTGCCAGTGCCCTGTTGGAATACCACTGTTACAAGGACCCTGCCGCAACCAAAATTTTTGAGAGAGGTGCAAAGCTCTTCCCAGAAGATGAAGTATTTGCTTTGGAGTATCTCAAGCATCTGATTGATATTAATGATATTACGAGTATGTTAACTTTCGCGTTATCTCAGTGAATAACTCCTCTCTAACTTATCGTTATAGATGCACGGGCGGTTTTTGAAACCACTGTTCGGAGACTTGCCTCAAATCCGAAGAATGTTGCCAAAGCCAAACCCATTTTTGCCTTTTTGCATGAATATGAATCCCGATATGGGGATTTGGTACAAATAAATAATTTGGAGGCCAGGATGAGAGAATTGTTCCCCGAGGATCCTTCTCTGAAGCAGTTTTCCCACCGATTCTCCGCTCCATCCTTTGACCCTACCACCTTCCAGCCGATTCTATCACCAAGCCAACTAAAGCCCAGAACGATTTCATCCCTCGAAGAGCCCAGCTCTCGGCCCAGCTCACCTTCTATCCGCCATCCAACTAGCAACACTCACTCTCCTAAACGATCCTTCCCCCTTGACGAATATAGTGACGAATTAAACCGGCCACGAAAATTCATCCGTGCCGAATCTCCGCTGAAAGGAGCCGCCGGAAGACGTGAACAGCAGAAACGACTACAGTCCAACGGCTCTAGTGGTGGCCCGACTGCTGCAAGGAAGCAGCCACAGCAGCCACCTCCTTCAGCAGGACCCCTACCTAGAGATGTCGTATACCTTCTAAGCATCATTCCTCCAGCCTCTACATACGACGCAACCAGGTTTTCACCCGAGATGATGGTGAATCTCCTCCGTCAGATCGAGCTGCCTTCCAGTGTATCACAGCTTCGACTCCCACAGCAAACTGGTGCTGCCTCACACCAGTACCCCCAGTATGGTATGTTATAGCCTAGTCCCGCCATCGTCCCTGCAAAGCGGCGATTAAACTAACTGAACCACATAGGAGGCTATCGTCCAAACGTATAGGATTAAGGCAACATAGCCACAACTCACAGGCTCTCGTGTGGCGGGAGATGTATCTAAAAGTGCATGGATTGGTACCACTTGTAACATAGCCGTTTTTTTCTTTCCACCTTTGGGGATCTATTTGCATGATAAGGACTGCGCATTCAACTAGAGCTCGAGTTACTTAGGGCAACCTAGACTGGCTTATTTTATCTCAATTAATCACTTTGTCCACTATTAATTCAGTGTCTCTGCTTTTATCTTCGCTTTTTACGTATACAAAAAAATTAGAGTACAGGACCTCAACATTAAACGATGACATCTACGCTTACATCATCAGGAACCCGATCTCTGTGCTAGTCCTGATACAGCCTAAATGCCAAGAAATTATGACGTCGCTCGCCTTCTTTATGCGCTTTAGCTTTTTTTGTCACCCAAAAGGTTATTAAGTAAGCATCGATATAAAATGCTCCAGGGCCAAGTTCCGATCTTTGGTTTGCTCGTCATTCCATCACCAACTCCCCGTCATCTTCACACTCGAGTTTCACACGTTATACAGCAGAGAAGGAGAACAGTTTTGGCCGACAGTGCTGAAATATGTCGGCTTCAAAGGACGTAGGCTCTGGCGTTCCTGCGTCTAGCAAGGGGTCTTGGGCTACCTTCCTCAAGGTAACGAGTTCCCCGCTCCCCAGCAACAATACCCATATAGGAGCCTAGTTAATCTAACAGAAATCCATAGTCCATTGCTTCATTTAATGGCGATCTATCCTCTCTTACAGCGCCCCCGTTTATCATTTCGTCTACCTCCCTGGTCGAGTTCTCTGCATACTGGGCTGAGCACCCCGCCCTGCTAGTCGCACCGTCACGCGAGCAGGACCCTCAGAAGCGTGCTCTGTTGGTTTTGAAGTGGTTCCTTAGTACTCTACACCAGCAGTACTGCAGTCGAAGTGAGAAGCTGGGAAGTGAAAAGAAGCCATTAAACCCGTTTCTGGGTGAGCTATATCTAGGGAAATGGGCTGATGACGGAGATGTCGGCGATACCCTTTTATTCAGTGAACAAGTGAAGTATGCAGACGTTCCTCCCCCGAGATAATGCCGGACTAGCATTTCAAACTTTGACTTGCTAACATTATACTCTGTAGTCATCACCCTCCTGTTACAGCGTACGCTATCGAAAACCAGAAGCATGGTGTCCAGGTTAGTTACCTCGCTCACAGTACTGACATAATGTTTTGCTAACGTGAGATCGCCGGAGGAATAGCTACAAGGATATAATGCTCAGAAAGCGTCATTTTCAAATACTATCAATGTTAAGCAGATCGGCCACGCCCTTTTGTCCTTCCCGACCCCAGGTTCCACTGAAAAGGAGACTTACCTCATCTCACTGCCGTCGCTGCACATCGAGTCTTTGATCTATGGAACGCCATTCGTTGAACTTAACAAGTGCACTTATATCACTAGTTCTACAGGGTACATGGCCAAGATTGACTATTCTGGTCGCGGCTGGCTAAGCGGCAAAAAGAACAGTTTTTCTGCTATCCTGTATAAGCAAAGTGAGGGCGAAAAACGTCCTCTGTACACTGTCGATGGCCAGTGGTCAGATTCGTTCAGTATTAAGGATGCTTCGACCAAAAAAGAGATTGACAGCTTTGATGTCAAGAAGTTCAAGACCACCCCCTTGACTATTGCTCCCATTGAAGAGCAGGATATATATGAATCCAGACGTGCATGGAAGGATGTTGCCGCTGCAGTTGAAAAGGGGGACATGGATGCGCTATCAGCAGCTAAATCGAAGATCGAGAATGCGCAAAGAGAGCTTCGAAAGATCGAAGCTGAAGAGAAGCGGGAATGGGAAAGACGGTTTTTCAAGCGCATCGATCTAGATGGCAGTGAGGGCGACAACGAAGACAACACGGCCTTCAAGAATCTGCTGAAGACGGTTGGCTTTGGAACTGACGGCTCATCATCAGCATGTAGCTTCATTGATTCCGACAAGACCGGTGGCGTCTGGAGATTTGATTCTGCTCGATCCAAGGATGCAAAGTCGCCGTATCATGCCGATTCTGCAAAGGGGGTCGGCCTTGCTGTAAGCCCGCCTACCGCCAATTAATTTTTCACCCTTGAGAAGGTGTGCAGCACACCTTTTCAACATGAATTACGGCGTATCGTCCTTTCCCCTTGCATTACATATTAAAGCCTTGATGTCTTTCATTTTCCCATTGGGTTTGCCCCTACTATAATTGCATTCCATGGCTGCGGGAGCTGCTGTAGGGTCATTATTATGAGTTCATTCTGTCTATTGATTCTATTTTAACATTAGATAGAGAAGAAATAGCGCGATACAATGAGCATAGAACAGACTTTTCTGTTTCTTCATACATCATAGAGGCCGCCAACCGTACATTAGTAGATCAAGCAAGTGATTATCATACCAGTCATACCCGTTCATCTAGAGGCAGCTCCTGAAAGTGCCCCTGGCCATCGTCATCCAGTATCCATTTCCCACTCCCCGACTTATTCTTGTTCTTGCGCTTGTTAGCCTTCTTCGGCTTCTTCTCAAACTCACTTCCAGGTCCGACAAGGAATCTACCGGGATGGAAGATGTTCAGTGCAAACAGGGCTAGGAACATGGGGGTTGCATCGAGGATATAAAAGGCTGCTTCGTTTGTGGCGATGGCTGAATGAAGACCTCCCGAGTACTCAACTAGTCGATAGATGATTCTTATTGTGATCAGAACAAGAGTTGCATAAACGGTGTACAGAAGAGGCCTCCATGGACCATTGGAATGCTCTGTCTGTTCGACGATGGCCATCTTGTACTGGAACCGAACCGCAAGACCAATAAATATTAAGATGAAGAGCTCCTGAAGGCCAATACCTCCCATATCTATGCTCATGTTAGGGGGGAATTGACTCGTTTGAAGAGTTAATGAAGCAAACGTACAAAGGTTGATCCCGATCTTGATAGAGCTTGCAGAGTCTGAATTCAAAAGACTGGTTGAGGCTCCCTGGGTGAGGAAAGCAAAGATATCCAAGCAGACGAAGATGACCGTCAGTCTCCTGGCTGAGATACCAAAACATCTCTTATCAGGGAGGAAGAAGTGCACCATCCGCCCAAGAACCATGTAGACATATGCGTTTATCCATAGGGGAGCTAGGGCAATGAGGATATGATGTGGCAGGCCGAACCCCTTTTGATATATATTCTTTGCGCCAGCTGCCCGTAGGCCATAGGCAATGGCTTCCCATGCGCCGCCAACTATGATGACCCATGAGAACGTCTATATGAAGAAACGAGTCAGTTTCGTTTGCAACTCGGATGGGATAGAAATGAAAGGATTTTGCTGACCTTCTTGAACGTAAAGGCTTGTATAATGTGGCTTCCTGTGGTAAGGAAGAAGAGCACAGCAAAGAGAACCGCCGGTACGAATGTCGGACAATACTGCCATGTCACGTCATCGTTATTGATAAAATCAACTCCTTCACACGAAGACATCATGGATGCCTTTCAGGGGTCTATACGGAAACGTGTATTGGTATCTGAGGATGATTCCATGGGTACAAGAGTGGGAATGAAGTTGAATATATATATACGTCTTCTCGTCCACCATAATAGTATCTTGAGTCCATGTCCATCTTTCAATATGAAATCCCATATAGATAGAGTGGTTACGAATGAGTTTCTAATTCTGGAATCAGTGATCCCTTCGAGGGCCGCAGAAAAGTCTTGTATCAATCAAGCCCCAATGCGAGGAATGCGAGCCAATCCGACGAGTTCCTTCGAGCTCTCTCCCCTGGTCGAACAGAATGCTAAGAGCTTCGCCCATGCTTAGCTAGTGAACGTGGTTCTGGGTATCAAACGGACAGGTTCTCCCCGAAGGATCGAGATAGAGCCAAAGAGCAAGTCCACGCATGTTGCTGTCGTCAGCTTCTGGGCACTCGATGCGGCTGCTGCGACTTTGGGGCTGGATCGCATTCCTCGTATCTGCAAACACTAAAACTTGAATCCCTCGCAAGTCGTCTGCGGCCGATTCAAAATGGGGCGCGATTCGTCGGGGGAGACGTAAGCTGGCCGGCCGAACTTGATATCGAGTCGGCGATGCTGGGATGCTATCTACCAATGCTGGTGCTGTACGTGTAGCAAGAGTGGAAAGGGTCAACTCGGTTCTCAATTTCCTAAAGATGCAGCAAATTGAATGCAAGCCATGCAACTAAGGGGCTATCAGGGTACAAGAGAAACGAATGAAAACAACAGCATTAGAGTAAGATATGGTGGTAATGGTACAAGCCAGCTCAGTTTTGGTCACTGATGACTGACTGATATAACGACTGAACCCGACAACAGAGAGGATAATACCACGGCAAGACAATTTCTTTTTATATCCCTTCCATTTTCCTTTCCCTCTGCACGAAACGAATGACGCCTGGGAATTGATCTTCCTCTGTCCTCTTTGCCCTCCGTCCCATTCAAGTTGATTAGCTGTACAGTTCGAGCATTAGCAGCCGAACTCCTGGTGAAAGAAACACACGGAGAAGAGAATGATTAAAGCGCGTAGACAAGTCCAGCGGTATCACGCCATACCAGAATGCACGGAAGAAGCCAAAGCCAAGTTTGAACTGGTGGTTGTGTCTGTCCGCAGGAAAGCAATGCACATTGCACTCCGTTGGCAACACGCCCTTGAAAAACAACCTCAATATTGATTTGGATGAAAGGGGCCCGTAATGCAGACGAGCAGAATTTGAAAACAAAAAAAACATCATTTGATTGGTTTAAGAGAGAAGAGGAAAAGAGACATTCACAGCCAGGGCTCCCAGGAAAATGGCAAAGAGAAGATGAAAGTAAGAGAGAAAGGAGGAAAAAGGTAATATAGGCATCGCGTAAGAGTAACAGAGAAAAGAAATAATAAATGAAGAAACTGAAATAAAAAACAACAGAAACAGCAACAATCCCATTTCCCCATTCCCCAATCGCAAAAAGAGATAAGTGAAAGGTTTCAGGTCAAGTCAGCGCAGAATAAAGTACGGAGTAGAGTTAGGTATGCAAGTGTGCGAGAGTAAGAGAGGAGGACAAAAAAAAAAAAAAAAAAAAAAAACAGAGTGAAATAATAGTAATAAAAAAAGGTCCACCAGTTCCCATAGTTATTTCTTTTCCATTTAAGTCGTTTTTCATTCTTTTCGTTTCTCTTCGTTTTTTTCATTTGTTTTTATCTTTTGTGGTCGAGAATCTCCTCAAACGTTTCCCTGGGTAGTTTTAAGGCATAGCATGGCATAAAACATGACTCTGATGCTTAGTGGCCATAGTTTCCACCCCAACCACCGCCGCGGCCGTTGTTGCCGTAGTAGTTGCTGCCAAATCCAGCACCGTAGTTGTTGTATGCGGTGGCCTGATGAGTGGTACCAGCTTGGTGGGCACCCAGACCTCCTAGACCGCCATACTGCTGGTTGAGGTGAGGGTAGCCGCCAAAAGCTTGCTGGTTGGCTTGCTGGGCGGCGGGGACTGGGGGAAGGCCAGACTGTCCGGTGGTGGCCGGCTGGTGCGGTGCATTGTTAGCTGCAGAGCCAGGGCGGTTGACCTGGGAGACAGATGGGGATGGGCCACCAGTCTTCGAGGAATCGTAGGCCTTGGAACTGCCTGTCTCGTCAGCGCTGGTTGCCTGCTGAGAAGGGATAGGCTGGTTCTGGCCAAAGCCGGACTGAGTTCGACCAAAGACATCGGGAATGCCGCTGAATGCATTGGCGCCGGTGGACTGTTGCTGTTGACCATCGGCAGGCTGAGCGGAGCCGGCTCGTCCGTATGTAGCGGTGTCACGCTGGGGAGCAGCCGACTGGTTGAAGGCAGCGGTGTTGGCTGGGGAAGACTCATAGCCGAATCCGTGTTGCTGAGGCTGTTGACTGTACATTCCACCCTTGCCATAAGGGGCGTACTGGGTGCCGTAAGCGTACTGGGATTGGTGAGGAAGGTAATGCTGCTGCTGCTGCTGTTGTTGCTGCTGCTGCTGCTCCTCATATCGGCGAGCATCATCGTACATTGGACGGTTGCGGCCGTACTGGTGTTGCTGATGCTGACTCATTTGGTTCATGTATGCGTTGGGGTAGTGAGGGTTAGTGTAGTAAGGATAGCCGTAGTTGAATCCAGCATGCGCTCCCTGGCTCTGGGGCATGTGGTGTGATGGCTGCTGGGCAGACTGTACTTGGCCGGGAACAACAGGCTGGGGAGTGTTCTGGCCACTATTGGGAGCTTCAGCATGCGCATAACGGCCTGGAGGCTGCGAGGCGGGAACTTGAGGTTGTGATTCCGCTCCGCTGGCAGCGAATCCGGCACCGACACGCTGGCTGGCGGCAGGATCCTGAGGTTGGCCATATGCACTGTAGTAGTATGGGTTGCGGGACTGGTCAGCTCCGTAGAAGGCAGAGTAGTCGGCAGCAGTTGTGACGGCAGCAGGTTGGGATGGAATTCCTTGGTTGGAGAATGGTTCCTGGCTCTGTGGTTGCTGGGCCTGTTGATCGGCCTGTTGGTTGAAGATATCATATGGCTTTTGAGCATCACCGTACCGGGAGAAGTCGTTGAATGGAGTGTCAGCAGAGGCAACAGGGGCTGGGGGGAGGCCCGGGGCGGGTCGGGGGACAGTGGCGGTGGTTTCAGGTACGGCAACGGGTCTGGTGGAGGGAGGGAGAGAGGCACGGGGAGCAACGGGGGAGTGTTGAGGAGGCTGAGGGCGGGTTTCTGGTTCTTCTCGTTCTTCATCAATGTTAACATCGGTAGTAGATCCGTTCAGGCCCATGCTGCCAAACTGGACAGTGGCACGGTCCACGGCGTGGTTTCCGGGCATAACAACGGGTTCTTGCTGTTCCATAACACGGCGCTGGAAATTTGGTCCGCGAGCGGTACCGGCCGCAGGACCCTTGGGATAGGCATAGGAGGTAGCGGGGGTGCGGGCTTGAGGCTGTTGCTGTTGCTGTTGCTGTTGCTTATGTTGAGAGGCAGGTTCCTTTTCGATGTCAGCAGGAGATTCAGAGTCAGGTTGAGCAGGGGCTTCAGGTTCGGCAGGGACAGATACAGATGGAGGAGCTGGTGGTTGTTGTGGGATGACAGGTCTGGGCTGTTCGACTGGTTTTGGTACTGGTACTGGTACTGGTTGTTGTTGTTGCGCGGGAGCTATCGGTGGCTGTTGTTGTTGTTGTTGTTGTTCGGCATTTTCTTGTTGTTGGTCATTAGGGAGAAGTTCTGGTTCAGGTGCGGCAGTAGGAGCTGGTTCGGGGACACTGGGCTCCACAGGAGCTTCGGCGGGTTTCTCAGGTGCACTTGGGGCAGTGGGCAATGGGGGTTCCTTGACGGGTTCCGGAGCTGGCTTCGCAAACAAGCTGGCCCAACCTCGCTTCGAGCCTTCAGGGATCAGACTGCTCTTCTGAGTCGACTGCTCTACGGCAACCTTGGGAGTCTCCTGGACAGTATTCCATTCCGGCTGAGGCTTGGACTCGACAGCAGAGGTCTCGACGCCCGCCGGGGGCTCTACTGCTGAATTAGAATCCCAGCCATCCGTAGGAGTCAGATTCGAAGTAGTGCCGTTGGCGTGAGAAGGCTGGAGAGGCGCATGGGAACCAGCTCGTCCACCACGACCGCCACGGCCACGGTCCCCACGACCACGGCCACGCTGGTCGAAGCCTCCGCGTCCGCGTCCTGGTCTTGATGGGGGGATGTTCTGCTCTCCGCTAATAGGGTGGGCATCCTTGGACGAGGCCTTTTGCCGGGTGCGATCAGAGCTCTTTTTCTTTACCTCACCCCACTGGGAGACGTTTCCTATCAGATAACGGTCAGTAAGGGACCACATGTGTGTTATGGACATCTATGCAGAGGAAATGCACAACAAAGGCCAACCTTCTGTGATGCGTTCAATGGCCACTTCCAGATCACCGTTGGCGTCCTCGAGGGCAAAAACCAAGTCCTCATCCGTCCAGTCTGCGAAGAGCTCCTTTATCGTCGACAGACTGCCGGCATACTTCTTCTTCAGCTGGCCAATCTCCCCTTCGTCTTCGTGCGAGGTATCAGCAGCGGTCTCCTGGCTGGCCGCAGCAGACTTCGCTGCCGCTGTCGACCTGGCGCCGCCCCGGCCGCCTCTAGAGATGTGGCCACCCCGTCCACCACGCGCTGAGCCGCGCCCACGCGAGGCAGACGGCCTTGATTGCACCTCAGACATAGCTAAGGGACTGATGTAGAGAAAAGCAGAGCGTCAACGAAAGGGCGTGAGAGTCGAGGGACTGCAGAGATGCAGCAGGTCGTGTGAGGGAGAATTTTCGACGGCCAACAATCAGCCTGGGGCAGAGACGAAGCACAACCTCTCGCAACCAAGCGGCGGACAGAGGAGTAAGTTGGGAATTCAGAGGAGAATGACAACTGCGATATTTGACTGGAAGAGAAGAAAGAAGATGAAGCTGAAGAATGAAGATATTGGAAAAGCGACTTGGGAGTCTTTCTTTTGCTTCCAGGATGATTTCGTTTGCTTTGGGGCGAGTTTCGCGATGGACACGGAGAAGCTTTCTTCCGTAAGCGAGGTGATTGGAAGCCGGCCTGGGGAGAGACGGGACGATCATGAAGACGATGTCGAGGGCCGAGGACGAAGAAGAGGAAGACGACGATATAGCCGTGCAAGAGTATACAGAAAGGAGCTGAAGTTGGCGTTGGCGCTGGCGTTGACGGTCAAGGCATCTCGATGCGCTGGTAGAAGGACGACAACAGCAACGACAACGACGACGACGACGACAACGAGAACAAGACCAGACAGAAGACATCTACAGCCACAGGCACCATGACGATGAAGAGATACTTCACCTCGCTGGCAAGAAAGATCCATCCGCCGCTGCCCAAGACCTCCCGCGAGTCCCAGCAGCTGCTCAACCTGCTCACCTCGTCCTTCCGGCGGCATCTCGACAGCAGACACCCCCCCGTCAGCTCGCCGGACAGCAGCAGCAACCCGCCAGACGCGGCCGGCAGGGCTGGTGGGAGCAGCAAGGCCGATGCCCGGCCTACAGCCACGGAGAGACATCTAAACTCGATCCTCGAGCATCCCTTGTTCAACACAGTGCCGTCGACGCTGGGAGCCCGGGATATACGGAACGGGAAGCAGATACAAGATGACCCCCTCGGAGCGTTGGACGATGCCATGGCCTCCGGGAGGGCTGACAGCCAGTTGCTGCATGACTGTCTCAAGGCTCACAGGTCGTCTCTGCGTAGCATGTCCGATGAAGAGGCGCTTAAGGTGCTGAAGAAGTCTGGAGGCGGTTCACGCATCATCTCCTGGTTCATGGCCGCGGACAGTGAGTCCAAGAAGCGGTTCTTTGGCAATAGACACACCATGGCGCTGGCAATGCCCTATCTGGCTGTTGAGAGACGCCAGCGTACCGTGATTGACTGGCTACAGCTTGCTAGAGCCTACCGTCCCGCCCACAGACAGCCGAAGCACGCTGACGACGGGAGCTTCCTCGAGTTCAACATCATGTACGAGTACGTTGCTGCAGAAGTCAAGTACGGCAGAGGCGGGATCAATGATGCCCTTGCTTTCTTCATACGAGCCTCAGATGCCTCCTGGAGATGCGAGATAGTCGAGCCAGGCAGCCATGCAGTGCCTACATACCCTTTCCGTCCGACGGCGTACTACCTTGCCCAGTGGATTTCAGCTCCAGAGCATGCCTCAGCTGTAGAAAACATCCGGCCGGAGCTGTTCAACGCTTTCTATTCCATTTGTCTCTTACTTCCGAACCGGCTCTGGGCTGCCTTCTTGCCCGTTTATCACCCCACTGAACCTAATGTCACGTCCTCGCTTGAATATATCCGGAACTATAAGAGGTCGGATCGTGATAACATCGAACGCTTGCTCCATCTTTCGTTCCGGCTGGCTTCGTTGTGCCTTGAGCAGAAACAATACGCTGCTGCATCAGAAGTGATCAGCTTTACCAAGGACCTCCTCCCGGATGATACGGCAACCCAGTCTACCAACAGGCAACGGCAGCAGAAACAACAAAGCCATCAAGTGGTTTCAGCCAGTGACCTTGTTTCCAGGCTATCGTTTACTTGAATGCCCACGCACCCGGGGTACTTTGTCCCCCTTTGTCTACCCAAGTCGCCGATGCCCGAGGACGTGGTAAACCCGTCCCGTTATTTCATCATCTCCGGGGGTTATTATTACGATCCCCTACACCTGTGGCTCTGTTAGACACCGCAGATACTCCACAAGACACGAACTAGAAGCCTCCAGCCTCAGTGGCGAGCCGTTCGTAGTCTGTTACTAAGAACTGCAACGCTGCCACTCAGCTTCTCCACGGAGAGCTCTACCTGTACAGACTTCGTTTGAAGCCATGTACATAGCTCAGTCTATGCAGGGCTATGCCGATTTCCATGCTGTTTCAGCATATGTCTTTTTTACAACCCGGATCGACTCAGCCCGGTGTCCTGCCAACGGCAAGAAAACTGGCGTCATCCACGCACAAAGAGCCGAAGCAAGGAGAAAGAGATGGAAGTTACCAGTTGAACCTCCAAAAAAGGTAGTGAAAAATTCAGTGGCATTATGTCATAGACTCTGCTTGCTTCCGTTTCCACGCCCTTTGAACCAAGGGTCACAGCTGTCATCGCCTTCTACGGTGTCTTTCATATATATCACCACTACCAGATTCCGTTGTTCTCTTTTCCTCCTACTTCCTCTTCTCAACCATACCATGGCTGTCTTCTATCTTCAGACACCGTCTCAGCTTCGTGGTCTGCTCGACAGCTCAACATCCTGCTACCAGCCAACCGAATAACACACGCAGCAATCTAGCAAATCAACCGACCGCACGGTTATGGCCAAATCATCCGGTCTGCCTACGTTCCCAAGCCCGTCAGCTTCCCAGGAAGAAGTGGATGTCTTCTTACACGAATGGGTAGCAACTCGTTGGGAAGTGCCCGTCTCCGACTCGCGAGTCCAGAATGTTTCATTTCACTTCAAGGGGACAGGCTCAACGCTATATTCTCTTTCACAGGAAGAAATGGAGACTTTGATGGGAAGCAAAGCACTAGGGGACTCCCTATATTACGCCCTGTGCTATGATTCTCCCTATGGGAGTGTAAGCTGGTGTCTTTCATTCAAGGAAAGGTGGAGGAGAGGAGTAATACTGACCCCAACGCTATCTAGGCAACGAGAGGCAAGTATGCCTCTGTCGTCTCTGGAATCTCGAATGCCGCCAGGTCCCTTGGGCCAGTGATCCAGGGCCCTTCATCATCATCATCATCATCATCATCATCGGCCTCACCGGCCCTCTCATCGGCTTCGTCTACCTCGATAGATGAGTCGTACGCTAAGCCACCGCCGCCTTCTATACGTCGTAGCGGGTTTCCGACTCGCTGCCTTTCGGAGAAGCCTAGTGCGCAGTATCTTAATAAGTTCTATGTGAAGTAGCTCTTTCCAAGTAGCTCTTCCGATACACTTGATGTACTCTGGTGCTTGGGCGTCACTACAGGGTTGATATATCCAGCACTTTGTGTATCATACACATCATCATCATACATCCACCAGCTCTGAAAACAACCAAACTCGAACAAATAAACACTAATATCAAATAAAAGAATATAAAAAAAAAAAAAATAACCACAACAACTATCTCTTAATATACTCCGTACTATCTTCTGTAATGAATGCTGGCCTGGCCTTGCAGCCCTAGAACTCACCACCGCCAGGCCGTCGCTGCAGTGGAGTTCGTGGGCCATGCAAGTCAGCAAGCCTCTCGTATTCATCGCCCGCTCGTTGGCTCGCCGCCTGCAGGGAATGAAGGCTGTATCCAGCTTGTTTTTTCTTTTCGATGTCTGGGGAAGAGGACGGGCAAGCTTGTTGTTGAACCGCCGAGGGCAAAAAAACATGGATCCAGGATGAAGGAGTGAACGGCCAACTTTGGGTCTTCTGCCACACAACAACATCGACGTCGCTTCGTCGCCTTCGCCTTCGCCGTCTTTTTCTTCTTCTCCATCGTCGCCCTTCGTCTATTCCATCTTGGCTGCCCGTCTAGTCCAGCTAGTCAACTAGCTAGTTCGAGCTCTGCCTCGTGTGCCCCGAAGTATAGCTGCATCTCCAATTGCCCGGCGGTGCGCCATCTAATAACTAGTTAACACTACCGATCGACACCACCACCACCACCGCGCATCCTCGCGCAGCCTCGATCATGTCGAGTGAAGGAGTCGAGGCGTCTGCGACTGGCCAGACGAACCAAGATGGCATTGGTACGCGTTGACTGTTTCTATACCCTGCTTCTCCGTCGGCTATTGGCCGGTCTACTCATTAGATACATACAGCTTGGACGGGAACTAACTGTCGTCTTGTAGCTTTGGCTCCAGCCGCAGACACACAGATCACTTCTACTGGCACGGATGCAGACAAGCCAGAAGCCACGGCTAATGGCGATGAGAAGCCGGTATCTACGGAAAATACCGAAAAGCCGGCGGTAGAGACCAACGCACCAGCCGAAGATAAGAAGGTTGAAGGGGCCAAAGAAGAATCCAAAGAAGAGTCCAAGGAAGAGCACAAAGAAGAATCCAAGGAAGAAGCCAAAGAGCAGCCCGAAGAGGCCAAGGGAGAGAAGGAAACTGGACAGAAGCGTGACCATGCTGCCATGTCTACTGCCGAACCCGCCGCAACTACCGCTGACTCCAAGGACGAGAAGGAAGAGACCAAGGCCGAACCCACCGAACCAGCCGAGAAGAAACAAAAGGTTGAGAAGAAAAATGAGCCCGTCTCTACTACGGCTGCTACTGCTGCTGAAGCAACGGAGAACGGCAATGCCAATGGAAACAGTAATGGCAACGAAGCCGCGAAGCGAGGACCAGGCCGGCCCAAGAAATCTGGCGGAGTCTCAGCAACACCCCAGAAGAAGAAGACGCCTACACCACGCAGCTCTGACGGAGTGGGAAGCAGAACTAGAAGCCGTCGACCCCAGGCCGAAGCTTGAACTACGTCGGTTCGAATCCACAAGATTATAAACCGTCCACTGTGCAGCACTCCCGCATCATTGCTTCCCCCGTTTGACTGATAGTATTATGTTCCAGCCATCTATCTGTCTACTTCTTTCTTTTTCTACTGTCATGATTGTGATGTTAATCTTCTCAGCGCAAGATGTAGGTATCTAGGAGGTCTGGGCCAACTGGATGGATGCAAGGGAGGAACGAAGGTAACAATGGATGGACGGGTCTCTCTCGTCGATTGTCGGGTGTACAGTAACGAGCGTGCTATTGAGGTCTATGATCATGAACCGAACGCTGGAGGAACATGACAGGACGACACCAGGCAACTATTCTATCTAGGCCATCGAATATCAAAAATGTTTTTGTCTGCTCCTGGTCCGCCAAACTACCTAACTACGTATGCCTGCGAGGCTAGGTAACTGCATAAACCTCCGCCGGCGCAAACAAAAACACTTCTGCCTGGGCCGCGGGACAAGAGACAGGCCAGGTCTACGTAGACGATGACGCCGGTTTACTTACGTCTTCTTCTCCCTGCTGTAGTTCATATTGTTGCAGTCTCTCTGAGTCCGTCTGTTGGCGCCGCTGCTCGTATCGTCGACAGCAAGATGCCTGATATAAATAGTTGTATCTCGTACGCGGCCATCTCGACTGCAACGGCTTCGTCGTCTCATCAGCCCTGGGATATAGCCAGATAACTACTTCGTAGTCAACTAGTTATTTGCCAGAGTCCTCGATAACTAGCTAGTTAAGCCTGACTGTTTGTTTGTTAGCGACGGAGCAAGCGACATCCAGGCCTAAGCATCCACGCCCGAACAAGAGTGACTCTCGAAACCCACTCTTAACTCCCAAGGAACCCGGCATATTTCTTCTTCTCGCCCTCGTTGATCGCTCTCTCGATCTTCTCGCGTCTCGTCTGGCTGTGATCTCCATCGCTCGCCCTCGCATGGGCCCTAGTCTCCGCTAGAATCCGAGCAACAGCCCAGCAGCCGAGCAACAGCCGGGGGGGGGAAAGCTCGCTGACCGACAACTCCTCCAGGGGAGAAAGGAAGCAGACGAAACAGCTTAACCAGTCGAACGAAGACGAGCGCCAGGGCTTGACGGACTCAACAGCCTGCCTCTCGCCCTCTCCGTCGAAGGATGGACTAAAAGCAAAGAAAAGAAAAAGCCCCGGCCGTCTCTCTTGTCTTCTGCGTCTCTGCCCGTCCGGACATCCATCGAAACTCTTTATGCCCGAGAAACCAGCCACGATAGCAGCCTACGCTGCTGGGGCGTCTCTGGCTGCCATCACCCTCTTCTACGTGTTCGGACCCAATTTCACGATTGACGGCGAAGATTCCAACATTAGCGGACGCAAGAAGGGCATCGTTGGCCTGTCCAACCCGGCCAATGACTGCTTTATCAACTCTGTTCTACAAGCCCTGGCGGGCCTAGGCGAGCTGCGAGTATACCTCATCCGCGAACTACATAAGCGAGACCTCGAAGGCGCTGAGATATACGATGCCTTGCCACCGGCAGAGGACCTCAGGGCCGGTCAGGATGCGGAGAAGGTGCAGAAGCTGCAGCTTGCGCCGGTTACCAGGGCGCTGAAGGATATGCTTGACGGGTTGAATGAGCGGCCGATATACAAGAAGACCATATCTGCGAGGGCCTTTGTGATTGCTCTGGAACTCGCTTTTCGAACGAGGATAAGTAGGAGTCAGCAGGATGCGCAGGAGTTCTTGCAGGTCGTGGTTGAGCGGCTGTGTGATGAGTATCATGCCGGTGAGAGGGCGAGGAAGCGAGCGCTAAGAAACAAGCTCGCCGCTGCTTCTACCTCTTTACCCATGGCCGGTGGCAGTGAGGAGCTGTCGAAGGAAGAGATCGACGGCGAGGATGCGAGTGCTGCCATGCCCATGATAGAGCTCGCCCATGCTGGGTCTGATACCGAATCAGAGAACGGCTTCCCGCTCGAAGGAATGCTCGAATCCCAGATTGAATGCCAGCACTGCAAATACAAGTATAAACCGAAGCAGACATCCTTCGTCAACCTGACCCTACAAGTGCCCCAGAAGAGCTCGGCGACTTTGAGCTCCTGTTTCGACGGGCTTCTAAAGACGGAATTCATTGACGATTTTCGCTGTGAGAGATGCCAGCTCGTCTATACCCTTGAGCAGAAAGTTAAGGCCCGATCCCGCACCTCGTCAGAAAAGACACGGGAGTTACTGGGTAACGAGATAGCGCTTCTTAAGAATGCTATTGAAAACGACCCCGAAATCATCCCCGAGGGCGTCACCATGCCCAGTCCGTCGGAAGTGCCTCGCCGCAAAATAGCAAAACACATGCGAATTACAGTGTTTCCCAAGGTGATTGCTATCCATCTCTCCAGGTCAATATTCGACCATGCTTTCTCTACCAAGAATGCAGCCAAGGTTTCATTCCCCGAACGTCTAGCCCTGGGTGGTATCCTCGAGAAGAAATGGTACAAACTGCTTGCCATTGTCTGCCACAAGGGAAGCCATAACAGCGGCCACTACGAGTCCTTTAGACGGAACCACGTCTACGCGCCCTTTTCAACACCGGATGCTTTCCGTTCATACGCTCAAAGCCGGTCACAGAGCCAGAATCCATCTACGTTCCCCAGTCCTCGCATGAAATCCTCCTCCTCATCAAAACAAGCCACAGACGACATCACCCCCTTGAACATATCGCCCATCTCCAGATCCCCATCTACCACTACATCAACATCTTCATTCCCAGCCGCAGCAGGCACGCCCACAGACGCCACTACGACGTCCTCTATACCTTCCCGGCCTGCCTCAGGTCAGGCGCAGTCGTCTGCACCACACCTATCTCCCCAACAACCTCGCTCACAGTCACAGTCACATTCCACGTCAGACACCCAGTCAGGTGTCCCAGATAGAGCACCTTCTACCTCCTCGTCTTCTGCCAGACGGCACATAGACGCAGCGCTACCTGGGGACCTTCTCTCGCCAAAGCGGGATTCAGCCTCCACCAGGAGGAGCAAGGCACCTACCCCTTCTCCTGACTCGCCACGGCCATCAACATCGTCTAGGTTCAGATGGAAGAAGAAACCAAACGAACGTTGGTGGCGTATCAGTGATGAGAAAATCAGGGAGTGTAAGACAGCCGACGTTTTGAACATGCAGAAGGAGGTTTATCTATTATTTTACGAGCTGGAGCGACCTAGCGATGAGGCATGATATCATACGGCCTTCTCTCTCTCTCTCTCTCTCTCAATCTCCTATTTTTCGCTTTTCGTTCGGCTCCTCGTTTTCTATGGTCCAGCGGTTGTTTACTGTTGGATGCTTTTTACCATTGCACATATGCATCACTCGGACCAAGCATTACTATATATATCTCATGGCCAGGGGAGATTGATTTGTATGTCTATGACTAGATACTGATTCCTACTTAGAAACATGACCATCGTATGATACATGAGCTTGCACTGTAATTCACAACTCTCCGGTAGCAGAACTGCCTTTTGGTAGGCCAAGGGCCAGGCTGGACTCCAATATGTTAAGGTTAGTTATGGAAACACGCCCTCGCTTTTTTAGACGCCAACATCAGATACTCCTCTGCGGCTCATCATATCTGTTTGCCGGTCAATACTTCCAGCTAAGTGGTCGAGTGGACGGAACGGACGTTGCCAGTGACCTCAAGGATCCAGACAGCGAGCTGTTAGCATCCATCTGCGTGCCAGTTGCTCTTCTACTAGTTTCTTTAGCGGCGAGAGGCCCCCTCCGTGCGATAGTAAGTTTCGCGTAGGAGTAGAGCATAACTGTCTTTAGGATCGGCCATATGGCTAGCAGCCAGGCTGCCTTAGGTAGTTTCCTTTCCGCCGGCAATTAGGTAGAATTCCGTAACGAGGTATGAATGGTATTTGGTGTGGAATTGTTACGCAGAACGCGTGGTATTCGTATACAGAAACTTGCTAGCCGAGGGAATGGAGGGGCCCTTGTAGAATCTGATTATAGGGTATTTTTCACCAGGGTGATATTGGTATTCGACGGTTCACCGGCTGTTTTTATCGTGGGAGGGAGCCACGATATGGAGATATCGAAATGCCATGGAGTTGTTGACAGAGGATGAAAGAGATTGGGACAACAGAACGGAAAAAGAAGTTGATTTAAGTATCTGTGTTATCAGCCCTTTCCAGGGTTGATAGCAAGACAGTGCAACCCGGAGATCGACCCTTCCTTAGATCAAACATAAAGCTATGACGAAATGTAAATATTGATATCAGCCTACATAATAGGCAGTAAGAGTCCCCGTTAGAGGCAAGTAATGATCCGAAAGAAAAATGCCCAGGTGGGTAGGTAAACCGGGTCCTGTTAAAAGAGTCCCAGTAGATTGCAGTAATAAACCGCAAGGTAAAGCACAATGGTACCAGTCCATAGTGGCGGGTCGACGTAGAACTTAACGATCATTCCGACCTCTTTATAACAGAAATAGTAAAAGAAATGGTACCACTGAAGATGCTTTCCGCCTAGCGTCATCCAGACTCCTGGCCACAAATGACCTAACGAATATCTATAATTATTGTTGAGTAAGTATGATTCGTTTTTGTCAGTTAAGGATGCCAGTGGTGGGCCTTCTGCATCCTCAAACAGGGATACATTCTCCTTAGACGACGACTTTACAGGTTCCAGGTCGACGGCACGCTGTTTCTCGTTATTCTTCTTCCACCGGATATCCTCAGGATCAAGGCCAGCTCCAAGGTTGGTCCATTTAGTAGTGACCAGCGCCAGTCTATCCCTGTCAAGAGCCCTCACCTCAACCTGGTAGTCAGCATCACAAGCTCTACAGGTGAATATATCCGGTTCAATAGGAACTCCACGCTGCTTAGACAAGTAGAATTTAACATAAGCCGATCTCACCAATGGCAGCAGCAATGGGTTTTCGAACCCCATTCTAATATGGTCACAGAGAGATACGAAATCAATCTTTCGGATGAGCCTTTCTACGCTCCGAGCCTCTACTGCGGCCCAGAATTGAACCCGCAGATACAGACAAGGGCCAGAATAGATCCGGGCTTCAACAGATAATAGGGAAGTGGTATAACACTGTGAATCAACATGGATTTCAGTAAATTGCAGGGAATCGGTCGAGATACCATGTTCCGGTCCACAATAGTGTCTCTTTATAGCGAGTTGTAGGTGGTAGAAATAGAAGGAATAAAAAGTGGGTGTACGAAGAATGGACGGAGCAACCCGACTTCGTCATAAAAAGAATCGAGAATTGCCTGAGGAACGTTGGTACAGGAAGACTGTAGCGATCCCTATGATGGAGAATGGAACAAACGTAGCAGAAGTAAAATGGTGGTAGATCGGCTGCCAGTCTGTTTAGAAACACCTTCCGGTCACTGGGAAACGCGTCCATGTCCCACACCCCACGGCCGAGTGAAAAGAGCTGCACGGTTACATAGTGCGAGGCAAGCCGTATCAACCGGTGAGAGGTGACTTGTTATCATAGCCATAATCTCCGGTGGCAGCGTTGATAGGGCTGCTGGCCGTCGTTGCACTTTGGCTTCCACTGTAGTGGTGAGATATGGGTATACAGAAAGTGTGTGCGTCATATAAGAATTGAATCTAAAGACGGTAATATGGAATTATTGAGCTGGCCCTGGAGGAATTGTCGAGTATCAGCTGTTCCAACCCGTCAATATCGAGCTGGATGTCTCTTGCAGGACGATGGATGTCGTTGATTGTCCGCTTGATGGATTCGTGAAGGACGCGATGCCATCTCGGGCCGGGCCACTTACTTATATAATCTGATTACTAAGGCAGAGCAGAGTGAATATCATTGGCCAACTGGGAATGGCTATCCTTTAATTGGCTGCATACTTCTGTAAGTACTCCTATTGGCCAGATTATCTTAGTCAGCATCTCGAAGCTGTTCTGTTCGAATATCAAACTCGAAAGAAGCGACGATGAAGCGGTTGAAGCCGATGAGTTTTGATTCCATTGAGCAGCAAGAGATGCCTGCTAGCTGCAGTATATAACAGTGGCCGGACAGGATGCCACATTGACTTGTCGCCGCCTGCACAATTGGAAGTCTAGGCTTGCCATCACGGCCTCGGACCCAAGCCGTGCTGTAAAATTCCATGGTGAATAACTAATGGTGACCACCACGTTTCCTATGTAGTTTGCTTGCATAGAGTGCTCTATTTTATTGACATCACTGTAGGAGCTTCAGCGGTTTCAGGGCTGGTACGGGGCACACATAAGTGCCAATCACGGGTGCCAATGGCCCAGATGCTGCTCCAGCCCACCCACGGCGGATCTGTGGGGGGGTTTGTCTCTCCATCTAAATATCTTCAACCAGGAAGCAGCCCCGTCACAGATCGAGCCCGCCGAAGGACCTCCCGCCGCTTATCTTCGGTCTGCGTCGAAATACCCACGGGATGCGGGAACGGTGGAAAGGACGTCGTCAGGCTTCGATCCCTTTCGCCGCCGCTCCTTGTGTGTTGGGGCCGGAGGGTCAGTGTCCGGCGTGAAAGTAGCCCTCCAGCAGAGAGATGTTTCCGATGAGACGCTCTATATAATGGGCCATCGGTTCACAGTGCCGTTGCCAGATTGGCAGTCTAGCCAAAAGGCAGAAACGTAGAGCACGTAGAGGCGTAGCCAGTCGACAAGTTCTCGAGTTCGACATCAACATCAACATCAAGCAGCAAAGCAGCAAAGCAGCAAGCCCAGGGCAACGGCCGGTTAGACCACTGACTACCTACTACTAATAATATAATAGCAAGGAAAAAAACGAGGGAATCACGCGGGGAATTTCGGAATTGCGGCGAGGGAGAACGAAAAACCGTCGGCTTTTTTGCTTGTCGGGCATGACGAAATCAAAACAAGACAGAATAAAATCAACGACTCCGTCTCCTTTTCCCCTTTGCTGTCTCTCTCTCCCTCCCTCTCTCTCTCTACTTTCGACACTGCTCTTTCGCATCTTGATTCTCCCAGCAGGCAAAGCAGGCCAGTCTCTCTAGGTACGTCGAGCTGCCCTCCTGCCCGCGCCTTTGTTCTGCTGCTCCCTCCTTGCCCCGCCATAGCTAGGTTGGTTGCTTAGCTTAGAGCGCAGTTTGCCGTGGCGGGGTTCTTTTTATCCCTCGTTTTTCAACAAGAACTGGCAACAAACAACAACCGGCCTTTTCGCATTCAGCTTCTCTGATATACCGTCTCAATTGATTCAAGAGGCTGATCGTCTGACTGTTCTTCTCTGGTTAGAAAAGAAAGCATCACAACAAAAATGGGTGTCCAGGAGGTTCTGTCCCGCAAGACCGGCGTTATCGTCGGCGATGACGTCCTCAGGCTGTTCGAGTACGCTCAGGAGAAAACCTTTGCCATTCCCGCTGTCGTAAGTAGACATGATAATACCGTGGATGGGGAGGAGATGAAGGAGAGGAGATGGATGACTGACGCTGCTGCTGGGTAGAATGTGACCTCCTCGTCGACCGTCGTCGCCGCTCTCGAGGCTGCCCGTGACAAGAACTGCCCCCTGATTCTCCAGATGTCCCAGGGCGGTGCTGCCTACTTTGCCGGAAAGGTGAGCTCTTTGCAGACATAAAGAGTCAGTCTTAAGCTTGATGGACTGTGATGGCTAACTTATTTTTGATCGATCCAGGGAGTTGCCAATGGTAGCCAGGAAGCCTCTATTGCCGGAGCCATCGCAGGAGCCCAGTACATCCGCGCCATTGCCCCCAGCTACGGCATCCCAGTTGTCCTGCACACCGACCACTGTGCTAAGAAGCTGCTCCCATGGCTCGACGGCATGATGGACGCCGACGAGGATTACTTCAAGAAGCACGGCGAGCCCCTCTTCTCCAGCCACATGATCGATCTCTCCGAGGAGGAGGTCCAGTGGAACATCGAAACCACTGCCAAGTACCTCAAGCGTGCTGCCCCAATGAAGCAGTGGCTCGAGATGGTGAGTTTGTCTTGTCCTGTTCCTTCTTGGGCCAAAGTTCTAACGTGGAACGACAGGAAATCGGCATCACTGGTGGCGAGGAGGACGGTGTCAACAACGAGGACGTTGACAACAACTCCCTCTACACCCAGCCCGAGGACATCCTCAATATCTACAACACTCTTTCCCCCATCAGCCCTTACTTCTCCATTGCCGCTGGCTTCGGCAACGTCCACGGCGTCTACAAGCCCGGCAACGTCCGACTTCACCCCGAGCTCCTGTGCAAGCACCAGGCCCACGTCAAGGAGAAGACCGGCTCCAACAAGGACAAGCCCGTCTTCCTCGTCTTCCACGGCGGCTCCGGCTCCACCAAGGCCGAGTACAAGGAGGCCATCAGCTACGGTGTCGTCAAGGTCAACCTGGACACCGACCTGCAGTATGCCTACCTCAGCGGTGTCCGTGACTATGTCCTGAACAAGAAGGACTACCTGATGAGCGCTGTCGGCAACCCTGACGGCGAGGACAAGCCCAACAAGAAGTACTTTGACCCCCGTGTCTGGGTACGCGAGGGCGAGAAGGCCATGTCCCAGCGCCTGCACGTTGCCTTTGACGACTTCAACACCACCAACCAGAAATAAACGAGCAAAACAATAAACAAAACAGCGAATGTGTGCCAAAAGTCTTCTACCGAGTACATATTATTATTGTTATTATTATTTTCAAACAGCTACCTAGTAACTAACTACCCCAGCTTTCTGCAAAGAATATACCTTAACCTTACCACTTTACCACCTCGATCAACTAGTCACCAATAGTAGAGTACCCTAAAGTACTACTGTAAGGAAGCCGAGCCCTGCATGAACCATTTTTCTTTTATCCGTGGAGAAGAGGCGTCTCCAGCCCATCTGAGACATGCGTTTCCTCCGTCTCTCTCTTGAGTATCTCTCTCTCTCTCTCTCTCTCTCTCTATAAATATATAAATATCCCCTTGGGTAAGGCTGCTCCAGGAGATGCCAGTGTAGCATCAACTTTTTGACAGCTTTGACAGCCACAGCTGCAGATCATCCATCGGCTGCAGGGACAACTCTTGCAATTGCACTGTTACGTTACTCGTATTATCCAAGACAGCAGGATGGTAGTGACATCTTGTAGTCGCAGTCGTAGTGGCGATCATCGGCGGCTGTTAGTTACTCTGCCTGGGCCTTGCAGGTGGACCAGCACTGCCTCAGCCAGCAACTCTCTGCGTCTTGCTCTGCGTCTTGCGTCTTCTCTGCTTCTCCGGCCGTCTGCTGAGTCTGTCTCTTATTCCCCGGCAGCGATGGCTTCAGGCAGGACTTCAGGGGTCGAAGGGCCTCCGCCTCAGGAGCAAGCCAGGGGACGCTGGCAGCTTTAACTAGCTTAACCGCCAACCAGCATCGCTCGACCGTCGACCAGCCTTTTCTTCCTGCTCTTTCTCTCTCTTTTCCTCTCTTTTCTTTGCTTCTTCTTCTTCTTCTTCTTCTTCTTCTCCGTAAAAGTCGCCCAACAGCTGGTGGAGTCCCCCAAACGGCTAAAAAGGGCCAGAACGCAGTCGGCAAAGGAGCCAGCAAAAGGACGTCGACGGTCGATTGAAGCCCAGCGTAGACATCCAACGCCCATAAGACTTCATCTTCGTCATCAGCATCTTCTCATCATCATCTTCTTCATCTTCTTCATCTTCTTCATCATCTTCATCATCATCATCTTCTTCACCTGCATCCTCAGAGTCCACAGTCCATCAGCAGATCCTCGTCTGTCTTGTCTTGTCTTTCTTTGCTTTTTCTCTCTCTCTCTTTCAGCTTCATCATCAGCTCCGTCAGCGCCCTCTGCCTCTGCCTCTGCCTCTGCCTCGCTCCCTCGCCAATGGCTGGCGTCTAGGCCTGACCTGGTGATAGCAGCTAAAAAGGCTGCTGCATGCTCCGTAGACGACCTGATAACTAGCCATCACTAATATAGCACTGCCTGCTATTGCTCGTCCCCTCGTTTCATCCCATCTTATCTCGTCGTCGCCCTTGCTCGTCCTCTTTTCTCTTCCATCACCGCCTGAACCGACCAGCGTCCGTCCTCCAACCCGCCAGCGCCCGCTGCCTCGCTACGCCCTCCTCGCTGACTGGCCTGCCTGACTGACTTACAAGAATGACCTGGCTGGCCTAGGGACTCTGGCTCTCACGTCACTCGTTTTTGTTTTTTTTCCTGCTTCTTTTTTTTTTTTTTTTCTTCCATTGCTTTCGTTGCTCTGGTCGAGGTCTTCATGCCTGCTACCGCATAGATCCGCCGAATCTCTATCTTAGTCTCCAGCAACGACCTCGCCGGGAGCGGACAGTGACTGACGCTGCTGTCCTCGTCGTCTTCTGCTCAGAGACGCCGAGACGATGGGGGGAATCGCTCAGCGTGATGGTCCTCCTTCTGGTGCTGACGAGTTCCTGAAGCTCATCTCAAACCCCTTCACCTCCAAGGTTGGTCTCAATTCCATCCGTTATAGAATATGTGTTCTAATATAGCTAACGCATAATGTGAATAGCTCAACTACAATGCCTTCTGGGTCTCGCTGGGCACTTCTGTCGGCATCACTGCCGGCCTGGCGCTCCTCTTCTCGCTCGTCCGGCCGCGGAACTCGGTCGTCTACGCTCCCAAGCTCAAGCATGCAGACAAAGCCCATGCGCCCCCGCCGCTGGGCAAGGGCATCTTCGCCTGGATAACGCCCATCATCAAGCTCAAGGAAGACGAGCTCGTCGACCGCATGGGCATGGATGCCACCATCTTCCTGCGTTTCACCCGCATGTGCAGAAACATGTTCTGCGTCATGAGCATCGTCGGCTGCCTCATCATGATACCCGTCAACGTCCACTACAGCAACCGCTCCCTCGGCCAGGACAAGTCGCTCTTCGACTTCATGACCCCCGAGTTGGTCTGGGGCGAGCCGCTCTGGTCGAATATTGCCTGCGCCTGGGCCTTCAACTTCATCATCATGTACTTCCTCTGGCACAACTACCGGGCCATCCACAGGCTGCGTATCCGCTACTTCCAGAGCCCCGAGTACCAGAAGAGTCTGCACGCCAGGACGGTCATGGTCACCCATATCCCGCAGAACTATCGCACGGACGAAGGCCTGCTGCGGCTTACCGATGAAGTCAACCCTACTGCCAGCATCCCCAGAGCATCCATTGGCCGAAACATGAGAGAGCTGCCGGGCCTGATAAAGGAGCACGATGCCATGGTCAGGAAGCTCGAAGAAGTCCTCGCCAAATACTTCAAGGACCCAGACAACCTGCCTCCAACCCGTCCAACTTGCAAGCCATCAAAGAAGGACCATAGTGGACACTCTGCCTCTGAACCAGTAGATGCCATTGACTATTACACCGACAGAGTCAGACAGCTGGAAATGGAAATCAGACATGTTCGGGAGTCCATCGATAAGCGAAACGCCATGCCGTATGGATTTGCCAGCTGGGACACCATCGAGGATGCTCATGCCGTTGCCTTTGCTGCTCGGAATAAACACCCCCATGGGACCACAATCAGACTCGCTCCAAGACCCAACGACATCATCTGGGATAACCTCGCCCTTACCAAGAGCAATCTCAAGTGGAAACGCTTCATGAACGCCATTTGGTCGACTATCCTGACCGTCATCTGGATCGTTCCAAACGCCATGATCGCCATCTTCTTGACCAACTTGTCAAACCTCGGGAAGGTCTGGCCCGCCTTCCAGACCTCGCTGAACGGGAATCCAAAGACATGGGCCGCCGTCCAGGGTATCGCTTCACCTGCAATTCTCTCGTTGGTCTACATTGTGCTTCCGATCATATTCAGACGACTTGCAATCAGGGCCGGCAAGAAAACCAAGACAGCCCGTGAAAGGCACGTTATCCACAGTCTCTACGCCTTTTTCGTCTTCAACAACTTGGTCGTCTTCTCCCTCTTCTCCACCGTCTGGCAGTTGTTCGCGGTCATCATCGATGCAAGCAAGAACGGAGAGGATGCATGGAAAGCCCTCCAGGCCAGAGGTACGTTTCAGAGCTTCGTCGTTGCTCTCATCCACGTTGCGCCGTTCTGGGTCAATTGGCTGCTGCAGAGGAACTTGGGTGCCGCCGTCGACTTGATCCAGATGATCAACATGGTCTGGATCTTCTTTGCACGCAAGTTCTTCAGTCCCACTCCTCGCAAGTATATCGAATGGACTGCTCCACCGCCGTTCGACTATGCCAGCTACTACAACTACTTCCTCTTCTACGTCACCACCGCTCTCTGCTTTTCCACCCTGCAGCCCATCGTCCTGCCCGTCACGGCCCTGTACTTTGGCGTCGACTCGTGGCTGAAGAAGTACCTCCTGCTCTACATCTTCGTCACCAAGACCGAATCTGGTGGGCGTTACTGGCGAGTCATCTACAACCGCGTTGTCTTCGCCGTCATCCTCTCCAACTTCGTCACCGGCCTCATTGTCACCGCCCAAGGATCCTGGACCATGGTATACTCCCTTGTCCCGCTTCCCCTCCTCATGCTGGGATTCAAATGGTACTGCCGGGTCACCTTCGACAACAAAATGCAGTACTACAACCGCGCTCTGGTCACCGATCCCGAGGCCATGGCAACCAGCAAATCCTCCAAGAAGATGGTTGAACGTCTCAGCTCTCGTTTCGGCCACCCTGCCCTCTACAAACCGCTTACCACCCCCATGGTCCACGCAAAGGCAGCCGGTGCCCTGGAGAAATTCTACCAGTCCCGTCAAGGCTTGGGCGCTGAAACCGGTGAATACTCCGACATCGCCATGCACAGGATGTCATCCACCCGGCCCGGAAAGTCAGAGCACACCCGTGACAGACCCTTTGAAGTCGTCGCTGAAAACCAGCTTGACTTCTCCTACTTCAAGGATCGGCCGGACTTCCGCGACGAGTTTGGCGGCGGCATCTACGGCAGGCCAGACGACGTCTTTACTGAGCGCTCGCATACCCCCAAGAGCTTCCTCATGGGCACGGGGGATTCTCCTAGCTCTTCGCGGGCATCATCGCCTACGCCATCAACTTACAGCCAACAGGCTCGAGGCAGCATGAGTTTCCCAGCCCATGCTCATAACCGAGTGCCGCAGCTTTCAGACCACCCGGCCTTCCAACCGAATGAGCCTGAGGAGCCGTCGTTCTACACGGCTCCCAACGAAAGTGAACGCAGACTCCTATCCCATGCCCAAACCACACCCTTCAGACATGACGCTGAGATGTCATCCATCGACCGTTGGCAGTCCCATACCTCAGAGGCCCGAGAACCCAGCCCATCCGGCTTCACTCCGTACAGAGGCCACCGCTAATCCCCGTCCCGGTCCTGCTAATTCATCCATCCGAACTTTTTTTGTTATAGACTTGATGTTTCTGTTACATTGGCTGCCTTCCTTTTTATTTACTCTGCCCTTTTTTTGTCTGTCTTGGGGGGATCTGCTATTGATACTACTTGGCTGGCCGTGTTTCCTTTTGGTGTTTCCATGAACTGGGAGGGATGTCTTTTTATCCACTGCACATACAGGATCTTGGGTTCTATGTTTCTTGAGTAAAGCGTGGCACATGTAGATTTGGGGTTCTTGTTATCTACCTTTCTTTTCCGTTTATAATGACAATATATGATGAACCGCTCCTTTACGCTTCTTGGCTTGTTTCAACTCTTCCGTTTCCCGCTGTTCAGCCTTCGTCGACTCTTCCCGCTCACGCTCCACGTTGTTCCACGTCGGACATGGTCGACTGCTCTCACACGCCCCTTGTCCATCTTGTACAAATCTATCTCGCTGCCCTCGCACAGCCATGGAGGTGGCTTATCCACGTGACTGTGGCTTAAACCTTAACCCTTAACTCCATAGAAAGTCCGTCTTCAGGTGAGTCGAGCTTGCGCTGCTTTTGCTTTTGCCCTGCTTTGCTTTGCTCTCTGAACTGCGCCCCCAGCTGGTCGTGGACGGACGTGGACGAGGCACGGCAGATATATCTAACATGAACCATACAGCGACTGCTAAAAGGACCATGTCTCCGCCCCTGAAAGAGTCTCCCTGGGCAAAATAATACGCCGACAGACAGACCAGCCTTGTACAACAAACAACACGGCAGGTAGACTGAACATACATACCCTGGGCGCTGCTATCCGACTGCGGTGCTTTCCACAAGTTTCAACGATACGCAAGACCGGGCAAGAGAACAAGATGACCTGGTACTCTCTTCTCCCCCAGGAGCTTACCGCATTCGAGGGGTGGCTGATCCGTTTTTTTGTATGCACCTTTCCCTCCCCACCTCCCCGTCCATAATCACGCCCGCCCACATCGACACAGTAGACCAGCCCATCGTATAACCGTGTCAGGAAACCCTCGCTAACCCGGACGCTGTCTCGGAGCATGTGTGACCTCTAGGTTCTTCTCGGCACGCTGATGATGGGGCCGTTTCTATTTTTCCTCGTGTACGATGTCGTCCTCTATATCTGGCGGGCAGCAACATACGAAATACCTGTCATCGGGGGTCGTGCCAGGGGTAGACGACGACCCGTTGCGCCAATTCCCATCTTTTCCGAATCTGCAAGTGGGCGCAGAAGGGCATTCAGTATGACTGGGATAGATTTCTACGGCAGTGCTAGCACCAGAAGTGAAGCGTCGTTGGCGAGGGGCGCGCAGGATGAGAACGTTGCTCCGCATGGGACAGCGGCGCCCGATGCAGCTGTTTCTCGAAGAAAAACGCTCACCTTACCTGTTGATGCCAGGCCGAGTTGAAACGGCGCTGTTCACAACCAAGGATGTCCGAGATCGGAAGCCGTCCGGAAGACTTATGGCCTTTCCGTTCCCGGTCCGCCTGCTGCTATATGACAAATGGAAAGCCCCGTGGTGTTCGTTCATTCCTAGATACCAAGTGCTGTGCTCGAGGAGATACTGTCTCGCTTGTGTATGGCCTGTCTACCCATGGCACTCCTATGAGCTGTTGGTCACACGGAGCTATAGCACGGTTTGAAGGGCAATTATCAGCCTCACCATGTAAACACGTGTATGACCCGGTTAGAGGTCTAGGATGTCTTACAGGTACTTCTCAGGCAAGGGGGGGGGGAAGGACTGCATTCTGCAACCGAATGTTTCTAGAAATGTTCCTGGAGCTTTTTTTGGATAGGACTCTGTACCCCGTTAACAGGGTAGGGATGGCCTGATATCCCTTACTCCCAAGTACTGGTTTGGGCTAAAGAATCCCTCCTTTACCTACGGGACTTCTACCCAACCAAAGCAGCGCCGTTTGGTGGCTAGGTGTTGTTCACCAACATGAGGCGAGGGTCATTTCTTGGGCGGAAAAGCACCCAGTCTGCCCGCTGCCTTTCCCCGGGCGTTCCATACCTTCATTGAAGTGCGGAATACAGCGCATTCACCGGCTCATTCGTTCAGCTGATCTCTTTCTCAGCGCCCGTTTGGTCTGTTGCATTGCCTCTATCCAATTTAGCATATGGATGTTTGTCATAGTTAGAAAACTCTATATTGCTATGAGTTGTCAACTATTGTGTGCAACGGATCAATTTCCCTAAACTCTTGAATCTAACTTGCTCACGAAGCGATACCTGCCCTATACTTGTTTGTCATTGATAGCTAGCTATGGCCCTTCAACACCTTGCATTGGCTTATGTCTGCGCCGCTCCCCATACCTCCGGGCGGAATCCCCCTTGGGCATTGGCCTTTACAACGCCCTGTGCTACACAGAATTCCTCCGCATGACAGCCCAGTATGATCTGTTTGTTGTCTCATCCTGCCAGTTTTCCCTTCTCCCCTCCCCTAGGGTATGAGGAATTGCAGATGAAATTGGCAATGAGAAGAAGCTCATGGAGGGAGCATTCGCAGGATGTACAATTGTGTTGCCAAATTGTCCACAGCGTGTCTATTCAAGACATGTTTCCCTGTAACTGTCCGGCTCCTAAGCCAACAGCAAGGACAGAATAGCTCAGTGTCACAATTGAACGTGGTGCAACATCCCAATCGCCCTATATTCGTATAGCGTGTTCAGCTCGCCCTCGGTGCTGCTGCTGCTATTCTTGCCTTTGATATCGAAATATATTAAAGTCCGCTTCCGGGATTCATGTCTGGAGCCGAAGACTCTTACTCATCTCCTCTCTCCTTGACTAACATACGGATCTTAAATTCCGCCCTATTTGAACACTGCCTGATCCTCTGTTTTGAAGGATTTTTACTCTACTCTTCGGTATTTAATTGAACAAAGACAAGGAAGATATATAACCAATTCTGTTGTTCACTTACTCTTTACTACCCGTGAATATACACAAGACACGACTATGCTTCCTCGTGGTGGTGATAGACACAGAACTTCCGCATTACCTGGCGGAGCATACGGGATAGACCCCCGGTCAATGACAGCAAGTGATGTTGGCATTGCATTGCAGCAGGCCCAGCAGGGAGTGCAAGGCTTTGACTTTGGAGACCATCCCAACATGCGCCATCAGCTTGACCCGGCCTCACCATACTATAACCCACGGCAAGAAGAGCAGCTGAACTACAATGGGGGTCAGCACGGAGTTTCCCATCATCTTGGGAATGGCTTCATGCAGAATCCCAACATTGCTCACAACGACACTGCGCTGGCTGAGCTTGTTCGCCGGACGAACCTGGCCGTGTCCCTTGCAAATCACAATATTAATCCCCGAAGCCAGTTCACACAGGTACATCCCATGATGTGCTTTGACGGGAGATTCCCTACGGATTTCCGCAGTCCCAAGACCGTTGAGTCGGTCAAGCTGCTAGATGGTGAGTGTCGTTATGCATATCCTAGTTGAATATGATAATCGGCCTTCATATTGACTATGCAGCAGTAACCCAGCTAGACCGAATATTACAGGAGTACAAGCTACCTTACGATACTCGCTCGATAATCAACAGCACAAACTCGCACCTGTTACGAGACGGTAGGGACTCGATCAGCTCATCCCGTCTGCGACAGGCCAAATTGCAGATTCTATTCGAGCATCTGGGAGCCAGCAGGATCGTTGAGCAAGAGAGGCAGAAGCGCCTATGAGAGAAGTAAACCATAGCCCTACTACAAACGCCATCCTGCGCTTGCTCACTTATTAGCTTACTGCCCTGTCCCATCATCCCCTGGCAAACATATAATAAATTCGGGAAAGCTACACTTCGGCGTCTGCTTTGCTTTTCCCCCCCTCTACATTATCTTCTTTTTTTTACTGCTAAAGACCTTGTTATTATAATTTTGGCTACTGGAGTATAGGAGTATACCACCCCCCCGATTCCGAAGTTGCGATACTTATATCACGATGAACATCCTGTCAGCCTATAACTCGTACATTTCTGTCCTAGGGTGGCTGTTCTTCTCAATTTGACCCTCGAGTCCATCGCATATCTACTCCTTTTTCTCTCCTGACGTCTCTCGTTGATCCTTGCATGCATTCCTTAAGTTACGAAGCGAACAGAGATGTTAAGCCATAACTAGTTAACGCAATTAGATGTTATCATATATTCTTTCTTGTCCCCTTAAGACGTACTCCGTAAATATCACAGATTTAAATCCCGCTCGCCTCCTTATAACACATTCATTATCAGTGACAAAGAACTCGACGGATAGCCTTGGGCTCGACCAACAGTGTGGAGTTGAAGGGCGTCTGGCTGGTCCACCGGCTCACTAGCTCGTTAACTTAGTGCTGGGCCTATTAATACCACTTGATGAACACCAGTTCCCCAGCGTACTCCGTACTACAGCCACTTCTCCACACCAGGGAGCGCTTCCACCTCGGTTGCATTCTTAATACAATTTCTGGATATCTGCTCTGCTCCGCTATTTTTGATATATATAAGATCTGTTACAGACTATCATAGCTTGTTCTGATTCTTGGGGTGGTGGTTTGATACCCAGGGCTGCGGTTTCTTGCAAGGTTGATCTCAGTTGCATTTCTCGAAACTCTGGTCTAGTATTGATATACCTACATTTTGGAGGAAAAAGGACGGTTCAAAACCATGGAGAAGGTTCTATCCGACGTGATGCCATACTGGAACTCCGTACGGGGATTTCTGGCCCAGCTGAGAGATTCAGTTCCCACAAACGTCCTCCTATTACTACCAGTAGTTGTGATGATATGGTACCGATCCAGGTCTGACGGACCAGTATGTCATCCACGCTATGCCCTCTATGCCTATGCTGCTTCACTAGACTAAGAATATAATTATAGAAGTCTTCCGGAACGACACGCAAGCTCACGGTGGTCGCCGAAGATGATTTCCCCCCGATACAGCCGCTTGACAAGTTCAATTGGGAGACCACAGAGCCTATACAGCTACGGCCGTACAAACCAAAGTACAACCTTACCATGGGTGAGATTTTTCACCTTCCTGATCCTCACAGGCTATATAAATAGAAGATAGGCGGGCTAATTTGCTTATGTGTGCCTTTAATAATAGCGCTTGAAACACTCGAGCCAAGCGAGCTGATACCCATAGACAAGGAATATAAAGATAGGATCTCCGAACGCCGAAGGGTCCTTAAAGAGCACCATGATATTGCCTTGGGTATTCACTCCGCCTCGAGCAAGGGGAAGTCGGATGTAGATGGCGAAGAGGTTCCCCTGGCCCACGATGCAATTTGTGAGTTATATGAATTTGTCATGGGTATCTATCTCCCAAACAGATACCCGACTATGTTTAAATTGATCGAAGCCAAGTATGAAAGCTGCAAGGTGTTCATGCTTCAGAATAAGGTTACAGGGGAGGTACTGCCGGCAACCGTTTCACCCGGTCGCCCGCTGGTAAATGCATTGGAAACCCTAGGCAAAACAGTCGACGAGGATATGCTCATTCTTTTACCAATGGGGAGTAGCGGAGATGAAAGTGACAAGTTAAGGGAGAAGCCGTCGAGCCTTAAGTATGTTCTGCAGGCGTATGTGACGTGTTTCCCCTCTGGGTTCAACACTCGCGAGAAACTGGGCAAGCAGTTGAATGGTGTGCATGAGCCGGTGCCAGGGTACCGGGAGAAAATCGAAAAGAGCATGGATAGATACTTTGAAAAGCTAGAGGTCGGGAAATTTGTGAAACGGGTCAATTGGAGTATCACGACGGGAGCAGGGCTGTTCTATGCATTTGGAGATGAGCACTTGGCGAGAGGGCAGGGGATGAAACAGTTACGGCTGGAGCAGCTGGATATAGATGATGTAAGTGCTATTTCTTCTTGATGATTGAAGTTAGTTTTGGTTAGCCGATTGATTAACGATTGTTCGTTGGTGCAGACATTCCTGCGTTGCGAGAGACAGACCCTCTATCGCCTGCCCAAGTCTGGGGCCATTGTGTTCTCCATCCATACATATAGATATCCCATCCGACAACTGAAGGAGGAAGGGTCCGGTGAGGACCTTGCTGCTGCAATTGAGGGTATTGAAAACGGAAATGTTCCGCTGATGGCCGAGTATAAGAAAGTTCCTGTTTGGGGCGAAGCCGTCAAGAAATACCTAAGAAGTTAAAAAACGACTCCTACACAGATAGGCTCAATATAATATTCCCTAATGTTTATGGTAAGTGTGAGGCAGTGGGTATATATTATATCTAAATCAAATTTCCTACTATGTTATGATCAAGATTGTAAAAGTAAAATACAATTCGACAACAATCGAGTAAGATCACATAAGGAAGAGGAAGATCTAGAGTGGAGGGTTATTAAAAAGTGATAATCAGAATACCTTTTGAGAAGAAGATGCTGTTGATCGCTTGCTTGCGCAGGGAAGGGAGGATATGATTGGAACAGCGGGAGGGAAGCGAGATAAAGAGCAATCCAGTGTATAGAGAAAAACCTGGGGTAGAATGTGGTAACCGTATTGCCCGAAAAAAAAGAGAGTCAAGAGGATAATTGATGAAGATCCTTTAGAAGGTGGAGGAAAGGGAGTTGAATGAGTAGCAGTGGAAGTGAAATAGGGAGTATTAAACCACCCATCAGTTGCACTTTGGGGTATGTGGTAAAGGAGAGCAATGCAATTTATGGGATGCAATGGAGAAGACGAAGAAGATTGGGATGTAACATAGTCATGAAAAAGGAGTGTAGAGAAAATGAAGATAACAAATGGTAAATGATTCCAGTTCCGGATCCAGATCCCCCGCGCGCCGTTTATAAAAGGGAATAAAAAAAAAGATAAACATCAAAATACTACAGCAATGAGATAACTCGTAAAGAAGGATAGACAGCCCAAACCAGAACGTGTGAAAATCCTTTCCCGCGTGAGGTATTGTGAGTGTCTTGATAAATCATGCAAGGCAGAAGTCGCAAGATCCACGTAAACACGCCGCATAATCATCAGGAACGGAAGCCACAAGGTTCTAGAAGTTTGAGGCAGGGTTGACTGCTCCTGGCTTGTGGTATTGGTCGAGAGTGGACTTGAACGGGCTACTTCCAGGAGCCTCGTGGGTCTGGGAACCCACAGCGGCTCCAGTCTGGATCAGGTCATCATCATCGTTATCAGCGTTGGCGTTTCTCTTGCGTCGCAATCTGAAGAAGACAATGGCTAGACCACCGAGGATGATGGCACCGCCAACACCGACAACAACACCGATGATGGTGTTGCGGGTGGTAGGGCTCATTCCACCGCCACTGCCACCGTTCCCACCGTCACCAACAGTCGGCTCTGGTGGAGGAGTGGAGACACTCGAGATGGTCGACTGGGTAACGGAGCCATCACTGTTGGTGTATGTCTGGGTGATGATGATGGTGGTGGGCTTGGGTGTCGACTTTGGGGTGGACGTGGGCTTCGGAGTCGGCTGGTTGCTGGAAGGATTGTCGTTTGTTGGAGCTGGGGGAGTGCTGCTAGGCTGGTTTCCGGTTGGCGATGGCGGCGCGTCCGTGGGCGTGGAGGTAGGAGATGGAGGAGGAGTTGTAGGCGTGTTGGGCTCCGAGGTAGGAGTCGGCGTAGGCTTGTCTGAGGTTGGTGGTGGTGTTGGCGTGGGCTTGTCTGAAGTGGGCGGCTCAGAGGTCGGCTTGTCTGAGGTAGGAGATGGAGGAGGAGTAGACGGCTTGTCAGAGGTCGGCGACGGCGTCGACTTGTTCTCGTCGCTGCTCTTGTTGTCCGAGCCGGACGTGGGCAGCGGCAGCTTGTCGTTGCCATTGTTCGTAGGAGAGTCTCCGCCGCTTAGTATCTGCCGACGGTGACGGGCATGACGGCTAGGCGGCTGCTGGCCAACCGCGACGAGGGCCAGCAGGGCGACGCAGAGGGCGAGAAAGGAGAGCCGCGACGTCCACCGCATCGTGCTGTGCTAAGTATCGATTCTCCTTCGCCGGCTGCGGCCTCAGCTTTCCTCGACTGCTGGGGGGATGGAGGGAGATATTGACTCCCTGTCGACCGTTAGTGATGCGGTCCGCCTGGTTCCGCGCAACGCCGCCCTTCTGCCGCTTTTTCGATCTATGAACGAGAGTCGGGGATTCGAGGGTAGCGAGAGTCGTGGTGGTGATGTCTGTAACGAGTGACCGAGTCGTCTTCTTCTTCTTCTTCTGCGTCTTCTGCGTCTTCCGTCGTCCTTTTCTTGCTGTTTCTTCGCAGCAAAAGAAGCAAAAGGAGAAGAAAAAAAAAAATCATCCAAAAGCGGAAAAAGTGAGACAGCAGGAAGGATGAAGGATCACGGGGCCTGATGACTCAGCAGTACCTGGCGTTACGACGGGCGTATCGGATGGCGTATCCGTGGTTTCAAGGCGGGTGCCCTGATTGGCCCTTGGCGGGTGCCTAGCCCGTCGACTATCGTTACCGCCCGTACCGTACCGTACCGCCCTGCATGCAGGTGTTGCGTAGGTTAGTTGCTTACTAAGACGGTGTTGCATCGTGGAAAAAGCAAGAAAATGCGAGAAGCGCCAGAAGAGGAAAAAGGCGACGACGATGAAGTGGACGAAGCGAAGATGCCCATAGCAGATGGTGGATGACAGTGATGATGGAGATTCTTGCATAGCCACAGGGCATGGGAGATTAGATCCTGCGATGGCACGGTGTGAGATGTGCAGTCTATACGGGAGCTGGAGTTCTTCAGCATGCAACCCTCCTTGCGCGCAGGTGGCCGTGCTGCTGCTGCCTGAGAGCCACCCAAGCTGAGCCTGGATGGAACTCCGTGTTTGATCTCCAGCTCACAGGGCGCCAACCGGTGCCTGGTTGATTTGATTGACAGTGGCTCGTCCTCCGCCTGGACCCTATCAAATGTCCTCAAAGCCAGGCCCTCTCTGCCAGCTGAAACTGCAGTCATGCATTTGTCTGCGTACAGGGGCGGAATCTTGCAGACTACGGTATGCAAGTATGGGTCCCCAGCAGAGCAAGAACCTGTTCTAGTTATGGGATAACGCCTCTTTTCGTCTTTCTGGGCAGATTGAGAGAATGTGCCTGGAAGCGGGTGGTCATTTTCATCACTCAGGTCTGACTCTTGATATTATATAGTTAATGGTCAGTTATTCTCAAACCTGATGACTGAGTTGTCAACATGCTAGGGCGCTGGGAGGAGTCATATGCTCCATATCCGCGTAATAGAGGCTTCACAACCACTACTGTCTCTCTTGCGCAGAGCCATAACCGCCGGACAGCATTTTCCTTATCTGTCAACGTCTTCAACCGAATCTCTCCCAAAGAAAAAGGATGCCGCAATCGTGCAGTCCATAGCGACTTGACATAATATCGGGCAATCCATCTATATATGACTTTTATATATATATATATATTAAAACAAAACAAATTATATATATATATATATATATATATATATATTTTCCAGTAGAATATTAATACTAATAGGTATCGTATATTCGACTCAGCCGTCCCGTTTTTGCTCTTCTCTATAGAGTTATTCCCGGACCGTGTCGGGGAGGCTATAACTATTGTTTAAGTAAAAGGGTTATTAGAAAGTAGAAAATGGTAGGATAATGTAGAAACCGGCTTAATTTATCGATTCTCTTTTACATCTACTTTCAACCTCCTTCCAGCCGGGGTATAACTATTAAATGAAGAATAATAAAATATTGAACTATCAGATATGCGAGGCAGAAGGCCAAGCGAGATCAGACGAACTAGTTAATATCCATATCCTGACAATTGTCAAACAGACGCCGAGTTATCATAAATTGGAAAGGCAATCGTGAAAATCGTGTAAAACAACCAACAGGAGGCGTTCTAGAAACTTTGTGTGAACTCACTTTTCCATCCTCCCCAAAGGTTGAAGGTTTTTGTCAGTCAGAGGTGCTATCGCGTCGAACAAGGCCCTCGAGGCGTCATCAATAGAGATACTGGTGGCCGTGTCATATGATTGCCCACTCTGACGGAGCTCATTTCCGGTCTCCGTCTTATCTAGAAAAAAGATGGTCAGCATCATCCACGCCTACTTGAGGGAGAAGGTAAACTCACTGATATCGGTTACCGTGGACCATAAGCCCCATATCAACTCTGAATTAACATGCCGAAGCTCCACAGTCGAAGTGCTTAGTTGGTCTTGATTGTTATCCCCTGGCGTATGAGGGTCCTGCTTCCGCGGCTTGAGTATCCTCTCAATCTGTGGTCGAAAGGTGGAATAAACCAACTCATTGATGCAATGGATATTTCTGTTCATGGTATCAATATCTGTTTTGGTTGAAGATTCGTTCCCAGCAATGCCGGCCAGTCTCAAGCGAATTGATTGGTTGAAGTGGCAGGAAAGTGACAAGAAGACAAGAGTGGCTAGGATATGTCCAATATACTGTCTTCGCTTCTTGCATATTAGATTGTCCAAGTTCTTAGATATTTTGCTAATCAAGTTCTCCAAGACGTTGCGTGCCTTGGATTTGAACTGGGACTCCACTTCGATACGCTCCTTTTCGCTTTCAATCCCCACCCCGCTCACTTTCAACGGCGTCGACATCAGGTATATTGCAAAAAACAGCCGAACTGAGCAGTGGAGCATTGTATTGGGGTTGTTCGCTTTATCGTCTCCGATAGATGGTATGTGTACTGCCGTGCTTGCAAAACAACAAACCATATCCAAGGCTTGAAGAGCCCAGTCATGGGAACCGCGGAATACAAGCTTGCATGACTGATTATGTTGGTCGTCAGCAACTGCGTCAAGCCACTCATTCCACACAACTGTTATCCTTTTAATTTCGTCCCGCACATAAATGGTTGTGTCTTCCGGCTCAAATGGCTTGCTATGAGAATGAATGACCTCGGCTTTCGGCTTGAGTCGTACTATTGGAAGAACCATACAAGGTCCAATATTGGCTGCGAGCTCAACAACAAAGGTATTATCTTCCTCAGCCGTATCTAATTGTCTACCTTGGCCTCCCCCCGAATGTTTGTTTACCGTTCCTTCTAGCAATTTAAGAAGTTCCCCTAAAGAACAAAGAGAATTTTAGCACGCGACCGTGCGGTAATTATGGGGCCCGTTATTACTTGAGTAAAGGGTAGCTTGTAGGTTCCATACCTGGAAGAAGAGCCATCATTAACTCTGCCATCGGAGGGGTATCACATGGTAGTCTAAATGATGTCGGCCTTTTAACTAAAGAGCACCGATAGCATTCTAATCCACGGGTGGGTGTCATGACATGGCAGTTACACTATACCGGAAATATGTAGCTTCGGAACACCGTTGGATTATTATTCTTCTAAGTTTAAATGTAATAGTAATATTAAATTTATAACTACTATATTAAGCTAGATAATAGCTATATTAAATAAGATAATAGCTATATTTATTTAAAAATATATAAATAAAGCCTATAATATTATAGCTTATTAATTAGTATTCTAGTTTAAATAATTTTTATTATTTTTATCTATCTATCTTAATAGTTTATATATTTATCCCCCCCCTCCTACTTAGTATTCTATAATAACTTATTTCTTTATAGCCTTTAAACTATAAATACTAGAGCTAGTAGCCCCTAGAGTAGAAGTAGTAGATTTAGTAGAGGTATCCGAAGTAGTTCCTATAGGTATAAATATAGGACTTCTAGTAGTCTCTTTAGAAGTAGAGGCTAAAATAGAGACTAGAGTAGAGGCTAGATAAGTAGCTAGATAAATAATATAATAAGAGGAAGTACTAATAATATTAGTTATAAAATTTTTAAATTTCTATTTCTACTATAGTATTTAGTAATAATTATTAATAATAATAATTAATAATTTATATTTAAAGCTACCTTATTATAAGCTATTTATAAGGATTTAATAATAATATTTAGAGTATTATTAATACTTAATTTAATATTAATATATATTTATATATTTAGGTAGTTCTAGAATACTAAATTTATAATTAACTTAATAATTATAAGCTAAATAAGCTTCTTCTACTTTTTTTAAAGCTAAATTATATTTTAAATTTAAATAATACTAGTAATACTAGTATTAATAGAGATAATAATAAAATCTTTAGTTTCTTTTTTATTCTTAGTATAAATTATAAAAAGAGATTTAATAAATTAATAGAGTTTAAAATTAATATATTACTTTATAAAATTATTAATAGTATTAAAGTAGTTATTTAGCTATATAATAAATTTAGTTATCTACTTATAGTAGTAGCTAACTAAATTATCGAATAAATCAAAACCTTCTTGCTTTATTAGAATATAACCAGCTAATAGCTATTTATAGCTAAAAGTAACTTAATTTGAAGCTCTTACTAAGCTTAATTTATAGCTTAATTTTAACTCTAAAATATTTTCTACTTCTAGAGAAATTTCGCTAAATATACTCTAATATTCTAGGAAAAAATTTTCTTCTCTATTTTGATTTTCCTACTAAGCCCTATTTATCTAAGCCCCCTTTTCTTTCTCCCCCCTACCCTTCTTTAACTTTTAATTTTCCTTATCTTATCTCTTCTTATCTTATCTCTTATTACTTATTAATCCTTATCTTTCCTTATCTAAACTACCTTAACTAAAATTAGCGGCTATAGCTAAAATACCTAATAGTTTAGCTAAGCTATTAGGTCCCTACTACTAAGAACTACTAGAAACTAGCTTAGCTATCTCTAGAAAGCTTAGTTAAATATGGTTTCTTTTAGAAGGCTAAAATATCTAAATAAACTAAGCTTTAGTAATATATTTTATATAGATTCTTAATCCCCTTTTAAGAAACTAGAGGCCTCTATAATACTAGAAGGTTCTAAATTAGAACTAGAAGGTAGGGACCTCTACTAAGAGTAAACTAAAGTAGTTATTTTAGTTTCTAATTCTCTACTAAAAAAGAAAAGTAAAATAGTTGACTATTACTACTTAAAAGATAATAGCTTTTTTTCCTAGGATTTTTCTTAGAAAAAATAGGAAACTAGCCCCTACTTCTTTACTTCTATAGAGAAATATACTCTATCTAGTATTATCCAAGTTAGGTATCCCCTAAGGCGGACTATACTATTTAGAAATATCTCTCTAGGTTTTAGAAAAATTTCCTTATAAAAAATCTAATAGTTTAGTAGTTCTCTTTAAAA